ACGTCAACAGCGTCACGCCGACCAGCTCTTCCGGCGCCGACCCCGACCGGCGTCTGGGGCAAGCCCGTCGCCGACGCCGCCTCGTCCGACCCGACCAGCTCGTCGACCCCGGCGTCGTGGGCCGACCAGACCGCCGCCGCGCCCGAGTCGCCCGAGGCGCCCGCCGCTCCTGCGGCAGACGACGCGCCCAAGTCGGACGAGGCCGCCGCCGCTCCTGCCGCCTCGCAGGCCGAGGCGTCCAAGCCGGCGTCGCGCACCATCGCCCCGGGCTCGACTCGCTCGTGGGCCTCGATCGCGCGCCCGGTCTCGCCGCCCAAGCCGGCTCCCGCCCCCATCCCTGCCCCTGCTCCTTCCGCCCCTTCCCCTGCCGCCTCCGCCCCCGCTCCCGCCGCCGTCGAGGCCGCGCCCGAGCCGGCCGCCGCCTCGGAGGACACGTCGGCGCCGGCCGCCGTCGAGGACGCCGCCGCGCCGACCATCTCGCTCCCGAGCTCGACGTCGGCCGAGACCACCGCGCCCGCCCAGCCGGCGTACGACCCGTGGGGCTCGACCCCGGCCGCCGCGTCGTCGCCTGCGCCCCTTGCTGTCGGCGAGGGCTGGGCCGACTCGATCGTCGCCGCCAAGCCGTCGACCGAGCACGACGCCGCCTTCAAGCGCGAGGTCGACGCCCACCTCCCGCCCAACGACATCGCGACCGCCGGCCCGATCGACGTGACGGCCTCGGCCGCTCCCGCCGCGTCGGCCCAGCAGCCGCAGGCCGCCGCCCCGGCGCAGCAGCAGCCGGCGCAGGACAAGTTCCTCGGTGCCGGCCCGCCGGGCCTCCCGCCTAAGCGCCTCCAGCAGGAGGCCGTCGTCCTTCCCGGCCAGGGTGCCGCGAGCGCCGTCGACCGCGTCGGCCTCCAGTTCGGCTCGCTCGACCTCCTCGACGGCGCCAAGCAGCAGGAGTCGCAGCCCGAGCAGGCCGCCGCCCCTCAGCAGCAGTCGACCGACGCTTCGGCCGCGTACCAGCAGCAGCAGCAGCCGCAGCAGGTCCCCCAGCAGCAGCAGCAGCAGCAGCAGCAGCAGCCGCAGCAGCAGGCCCAGGCCCAGCCTCAGCAGGCCCAGCCGCAGGTCCAGCAGCAGTACCAGCAGTACCAGCAGCAGCCGTTCCAGCAGGAGCAGGCCGTCCAGACGGCCTTCTCGCAGGCGCCGTCGGCCCAGTCGAACCTGTTCCCGGGCCAGGCGTCGTCGGCCTTCTCGCAGCGGTACCCGACCATGCCGTCGCCGTACCAGCAGTTCCAGCAGCAGCAGCAGCCCGACGACCAGTCGGCGTACGCCGCCTTCAAGCCCGCCGAGGCCGTCACGCCGGCGCAGCAGGCCGTCTCGAGCCCGTACTTCCAGCAGCCGGCGTCGCACTCGCCGGCGCCCGCCGCCCAGCAGCAGCAGCACCAGGTCCAGAGCCCGTACGCCGCCTTCAACTCGATCCCGCAGCAGCAGGCCCCGGGCCAGGCGTTCGGCGCCCAGCAGACCGACTACTCGTCGCTGTACGGCCAGGACAGCATGCGCTCGATGGTGCGTCCCCTCGCCTCTCTCTCTTGGCCCCTTTCTGAGCGTCGACTGACTGTCCGTGTCACGTTGTGCAGGGCTTCTACGACGCGTACGGCCAGTTCGCCAACCAGGCGCCGTCGCCGCTCCCGAGCCGCCCGGAGGACTCGGCCGCGTCGGCGCAGGCGTCGCAGGCGTCGCCCGCTCCCGGTGCGGCCCAGGCCCAGCAGCAGCAGCAGCAGCAGCTCCCGGCGCAGCACTCGTTCTACGGCGGCATGCCCTACTACAACCCGTACCAGGCCTATGGCGCGTACGGGTACCAGGTCCCGCCCAACTACGCCGCGCTCCAGTCGCAGTTCTACGGCAACTACCAGCAGCAGCCTCAGCAGCAGCAGCAGCCCCAGCAGCAGCAGCAGCGCTACCCGGGCGCGCCGCAGCAGCAGCAGGGCGGCCAGCCGCAGCAGCCCGGCCAGCAGGGCCAGCCCGGCGCGGCCGGCTCGCCCGCCGTCCAGGCGCAGCAGCTCCAGCAGGGGCAGCAGGGCCAGGGCCAGCAGGCGTTTGGCGGCGCGGCTCGCTACGGCGCCCAGGCGTACGGCGCGCCCGGCGCCGGCGTCGGCCAGCAGCAGCAGCAGCTGTACGGCTCGTCGTACGGCAAGGACGTGACGCAGGACTCGTCGAGGTTCTTCGGCACGCACTGAGCCCCGTCGTCGTCGGCCTCGCCCCTCCCCTCGTACCTGTTCTCGCCCCCTCTTTTCTCTCCTCCCTTTGCATCGTCGTCGCGCTCGCAAGCCTCCGGTACCCTCCTCCCTCCCTCCCCAAAAGCCCCACCTCCCTCGTCGCCGTCGTCGTTGTCGTCTCGACGGGAGGAACATCGTTGTGTGTCCTGCGTCGCTTTCCTCGTCGTCCCTCCCCCCCGTCGGCCGCTCCTCCTTTCATCCTCCCTCCCTCTCGAGCTATCATCCAAAGCCTTCGTCGCTGTAACCCACCGCCTTTCTGAAGCATGCCTGCCCTTGTTCGCCCGCGAGAGTGAGAGAGCGGAAGCGTGCCCGCGAGTCGAGAGAGAGAGCTTCGGCACGGCCGGCAAGTCGTTGACCTCGAATCACCGCCCCGCACCCTCGTCGTCAGCCCATGGCGCACGACGCAGGGCAGCAAGAGCCCGACTCGCTCGCGTTCCCCGCCCTCCCGTCCCTCGTCGCAGCCTCGTCGGCCGCAGAGGACGCGAGCAGCCCGCCGCCCTCATCGTCTTTCCACCAAGGAGGAGGCCCCGCACCGCTCCCCTCGCTGCGGTACCGCATGCTCGGCCAGCTCGGTGGACAGAGTCAGCAGGCGTTTGCCTCGATGAGCGCCCTCGCTGCCGCCGCCGGGTCCGACCCTTCGCCCTCGTCGTCCGCCTCTCCCCACCAGCCGCCCTGGCTCGCCCACTCGACCCCGGCGTCCGCCAGCTCGACTCTGCCCAGCATGGCCACGCGTGACAGCTCGGAGGAGGCGGCCGGCGCGAGCGCGTCCTCCAAGCGCAAGAACTCGGGCCTCGTGTCGGTCCACGACGACGGCGCCGAGTCGCACAAGGCCAAAAAGGTGCGCCCCTCCCTCGTTCCTCCCTCTCAGACCCGGTAACCTGACTCTTGTGCCCTCTCGCCCGCAGCCCAAGATCCCGCGAGCGTGCGACGTCTGCCGGCGCAAGAAGATCCGGTGCGTCCCCGCCCTCGCAGTCACGAGGCCAAGAGGTCCAGACAACGGGGCTGACATTCTCGAGTCTGCGCAGGTGCAACCCGTTGCCAGATCACGAGGAGAAGCTGTGCACCTACTGCCAGAAGCACCGGCTCGACTGCACCTGGGTGCGTCCTCTCTCTCTCTCTCGGCCGGGCCCCTCGTTCGAGCCGTCCTGACGAGCTCTTCCTCTGCCGCCAGTTCCTGCCCATATCCGAGACGCGGTTCAAGAAGCAGCGCGAGAAGGAGGAGGCGGTCAAGGCGAGCGCGTCGGCGGCCGCAGCGGCGGTCGCGCTCCCGACGGCGGCCACGTCGGCGACGCTCGCTCGGCAGCAGGCGCGCGTCGACGACACGCCGCCCGTCCCGTCACCGACGTTGTCGGCGAGCGCCAACGCTGTCGCAGGCCCGAGCGGCATCCCGTCTGGCAGCGCCGGTGGCGGCGGCGGCGGGCACAACGTGCCCAAGCAGCAGATCTTCCCGATCGACGCGTACAACCGCTCGGCGTCGTCGCCCGACTCGCAGCAGCCGAGTGGACCGCGCAAGGAGCCGCGCATCGTCGGCTACACGTCCATCTCGCACCTCATGCACTCGACGTCGACGTTCCCGACCGAGCGCATGATCCCGGTCGACTTCAAGTACTCGCAGAAGCTCAGCGTCAACGAGATTGGCGACGGCTTCATCCGGGTCATCTCGGCGGGCGACGGCGACCCGACCCAGGGCGGCGAGCCGGTCGCCATCCAGGGCATCGAGCACTCGGACGCCGAGAAGCTCATCAAGTGCGTCGCCCTCGTCTCTCCCAATCTCTTCTGCGCACCCGACCGCTCACATCTGTCTCTTCGCAGCTACTTTTTCACGACGCACTCGAACCACTTTCCGATCCTCGCCAAAGCCGACTTCCTCGGCTCGGAACGCCCGATCCCGCTCCTGTTCAACACGATCTGCGCCGTCTCTGCCCTGTCGCACCACGTCGCGCCGTCCATCCTGCGCACGATCAAGTCGACGATCCGCTCGCACCTGCGCGACGAGGACATGCTCGACAACTCGACCATTCCCAACATCCAGGCGCTCCTCATCTACTCGTTCTCGATGGAGCTCGAGAAGGGCACGGCCGCGAGCAAGACGTGGAACGTCCTTGGCCTTGCGATCCGTATGGCGCAGGACTTGGGCCTCCACCGCAAGCTCGGCAGCGAGCGCAAGGAGCAGAGCGAGGCCGACCACACCGAGCTGAGGAGGAGGGTTTGGGGAGGGTGCTTGATCGCCGACCGGTGGATCGCCGCCATTGTGCGTCCCCCTCTCTCTCACTATGTCTCTCGTCGTCGTCGTCGTCGTGCTCGTGCACGTGCAGGGACCCTGACCCTCTCGTCGTGCCCGCTCGCAGTACGGCCAGCCCATGATGATCGACCTCGCCGACTGCGACACGATGCTCCCCTCGGTGTTCGACATCCGGCCCAACCTCGAGTTCGACTCGGAGCGGCGACCGTACCTGTTCAACAGCGCCCTCATCTCGCTCTCGATCCTCCTTGGCCGGATTCTCAAGGCCGTGTACTCGCCAAGTACGTCCTCCTCATCCTCTCCTCTCGACCCCTGCCCGTTTGTGACGAGACTAATACTCTCTCGATTCACAGCCGGCATCATGCTCTTGACCGAGAAGGAGGCCAAGTCGCTCGTCGACGATCTCGCGGCGTACGTCCCCCTCCTCTTCTTCTCGAGGACGCAGACTGACTCGCTCTCGCGCCACAGATGGGTTCGCGGTCTGCCAGAAGAGCTGCGGTTCCAGGGTCCCGACAAGTCGACGCCCGAGCAGGGTGCGTCCCCTCTCTCACGCTCGCCATCCCCCGCACGGACCCCTGACCCTCTCGCGGCGTGCGCAGGCTTCCTCCACCTCCTTTACGTCCCCGTCCGCTTCCTCGTCACTCGGCCGTTCATGCGCATCTCGTTCCAGCTGCCCGAGCGCTTCGCGTCCCTGTCGGTCGGCACGCAGCAGTGGTCCGTCGTCGAGACCGAGGCGCGCCTCGCCATCGAGTGGGTCGACAAGAACGAGTCGTGCCTCGAGGGCTGGTTCGTAGGGACCTACGCCTTCTTCATCTGCTCCCTCATCCAGTGCGTCGTCGTCGTTCTCTCTTTTCTGCCCGAACCCGAGCCGACTCTTTTCGAGCGACCGCAGGTACCACTCGCACATTCGCCGCCGCGACTCGGTGTCGCTCGGCACGCTTCGACTTGCCCGCGACTGCCTTAAGGTGCGCCCTCTCGTCCTCTTTGAGATTTTCGAGGCGAGACTGACCCCTGTCTCCTCGCGCAGCGCCTGGTCGTTCCCGACGGCGAGTGCTACTTGCGCGCCAAGATCGCCGAGATCATCCACCTCCTGTACCACACGGCGTGCTCGGTCGCTCGGTGGGCGCCAGAAGCGGCAGAGGGCATGTCGCCGGCGTCGAGTGGGACGACGGCCGTCACGACGCTCAACCCGACCGTCGGCGTGCGGCAACGGTGCGTCCCTCGCCTCTCTCTCTCTCTCTTCCAGTCGTCTCTCTCGAGCGCCTCAACTGACTCTCTTTGCGCACACAGAGAGCAAGACTGGCACCTGCGCTATAAGAAGGACGGCGGGTACTTCGTCACCGACCGCCGCGTCAACGACCCGTCGGGCCTCATCCGCTCGTCCGCCTCGCCCGGGTCGCCCACGGGCCCAAGCCCTCGCACCGCCGGCTCGCCGTACGCCTCGAGCTTGCGCTCGACCCACATCGCCGGCGAGAACGACAAGGCCGACGAGGCGGCGGCGGTTCCGACCGCGAGCACCAGCACCCCGGCTGCGGCAGCAGGCACCCTCGCGACGCTGCAGCCGGCCTTCTCCGGCAACGGCGACGCGACCGACGCGACCGACGCACTGCCCTCTGCCTCGACCTCGGCCGCGCCCGCGCCCAATCCTCCTCCCGACCTCTCGTTCGCCTTCCCCGACTCGAACTTCGACAACCTCAGCTTCAACCCGACGCTCAACTTTGGCATCGGGCTCGACGGCGCATCGACGCCGGCCTCGGGCGCGAGCTCGACGCTCGGCTTCGGCGGCTCGAGTCGCGCCGGCGCCGTCGGCGGCGGAACGAGCGCGAGCGACGCGCTCGGCGGCCTCGGCGGGTCGAGCTTCCTCGGCGGGACGGGCGACGCAGCGTCGTTCGACCCGTTCGGGTTCGCGACGGACGGCACGCCGTCCATGCTGCCCGAGTCGCTGTTCGACTGGGCGCAGTGGCAGAACTTTGCCGACTCGCTCGGCCTGCCGCAGGACGGCAAGACGCCGAGCGTCGCGACCGACACGTCGGCGCGTCCCTGAGCTCTCGCAGACGGTCGACGATGTCGCAGAGGGTCGACGGTGTCGAGGGAGGGAGAGGGAGGTCGAGGGAGAGAAGGGCACCCGCAGTTTCAGTTTTCCTCGTCGTCGTCGCGTCGCTCTGTCTGTCCGTCGCCGATGTCCTTGTTGTTCTCCGTTACTCGACGCTCTCGTTCCATCAGGCAGAGAGAGAGAGAGAGCCGCAAAGATAGATTGCAAGTCGCGCTTCTAGGGAATCTCGCTCGCGTCAAGGCCGTTTTGCGCGTGCGACTCCTCCTCGGCGGCGAGCATCGCCTTCTCGTCGACGACCGCCTCGCTCTCGTCGGCAGGCAGAGGTGCAGGCGGAGCGACCTCGTCGACCATGTACGGCGCATCGTCGCCCTCGTCCTTGACGCTCGGACCGTTGCCGTTGACGTCGAGAGAAGGCTGAGGAGGGTCGACGAGGTCGGGAACGGCAAAGTCGACAGGCTTGGCCGAGCCGTTGAGGAGGACCGTAGGGTCGAGCGAGACGGGCTCGTCGGACGACTCGGTGACGGGCGAGGCGGCAGTGGGCGAGGATGGGCGAGGTTGAGTCGGCGCGTCGAGAACAGGGAGCTCGGCCCTCTGGGGCGCTCCTGTCGACCCGGCCTTGCCGTTGACGACGACAGGCGCGTCCTCCACCTCGAGTTCCCGCCCCTCGATGCGCGCCACGAGCGCCTCGCACCGCCGGACGGCCTCGCGAATGCCCTTCTCGCGCTCGCTCGCCTCGGCCGGCCTGCGCCCCGTCGCGCCCAGCTCGGCGTACACGCCCTCGTCGAGCGCGCCCTCGCACCAGGGTACGACGGCGCGGCCGAACCACGCGATGGCGCAGGCGACGACGCGGCGCTCGGCGTCGCGCTCGGCGACGAGCGTCTGCTCCTCGCCGCTGAGCGACGTGCCGTTCGCGCCGCCGTGCTCGAAGCCGCTCTGCGACGGGAGCGGCGTCGCGTTGAGCGAGGCGAGCCACGCGTCGGTGAAGGCGGCGAGGACCTGGGTCGCCCGGTCGAGCTCGACGGCTTGTGCGCGCCGGAGCGGGAGGTAGAGCGAGACGGGCGGGATGAGGCGCAGGGCGTTGAGGGCGGTCGCGTGGGCGTTGAGGAAGCGGGCGATGGGAGGGAGGAGGGCGAGGATAGGCGAGGGCTGGTGGTGCCAGGAGGAGGGCGTCGTCGACGAGGTCCGTGCGGCGTCCGGGGTCGGCGTCGAAAGGAGCGACGTGACGCCCTCGGGTGCGACGAGCCAGTCCGACAGTGGGACACGCCCGGCTCGTCTCGCCTTGGCCGCCGTCGTGCCCGTCCCGCCCGAGTTCTCCCACCCGTCGCGCCACTCGCGCTCCCACTTGCGGCCGGCCGTCTCCCACTCGGCGGCGACGATGCGCCCGATGCGCAGCTCGATGCGCTCGCGCAGTTGGACCCAGTCGCGAAAGTCGAGGCCGTACCGCGCGAACGAGTGCGAGCAGTACGTGAGCTGCGTGAGGAGGGAGGACAGGGACGCCGTCGAGCTGAGGCTGGCGATGGCGCGGGTGAGGACGCTCGCGAGCGAGTTGAGCGACGTCGAGAGGAAGAGGTGGAGGGGTGCGGAAGGCGAGAGGGCGTGGGACGGGATGGCGAGGTCGACGCCGTCGTCGCCGCCGGCGCTCTTGAGCTTTGCGCCACCGCTCAGGTGCGACGACGCGAGGAACACCTCGGCGAACATGCCGACCGTGTCGCCGACGACTTCTCGCCACACCTCGATCCAGCGCTTGGTCCACCGCGTGCGCTCCTCGTTCTCCTCGACCGTGACGCTCGCGTCCTGGTGCGTGAGCGGCGGCTCGGCGCCGCCGAGCTGGATCCCGCTCGCCGCCATCTGCGCCTCGACGCTCTCGAGCTCGGTGCGGAGACACCGCCACCGCGCGACGAGGAAGACGACGCGCAGGGCGTCCTCGTCGAGCTCCTTGCGCTTGCCGGCGGGCTTGGCGAGCGCCTCGTGGGCGTCGCCGGCGCCGACGCCTCGCTCGGCGATGCGGCGCAGGATGCCGACGCCGCGCACGGCGCCAGGGAGCTTGAGGGAGCGCTGGAGGAGGCTCTCGAGGACGCGCGCTCGGAGGCTGAGGAGCGCGACGCCGACCTCGCCCCGGACGCGGTTGACGAGGCGCAGCGCGCCGGCGCCCTCGCCGTCCGGGTCCGACGAGATGATCTTGGCGAGGCGCTTGTGCAGGTCCTCAAGCCGGACGGCGACGTCGATGGCCTCGCTCCAGTGGCCCGCCCGGACGCACGCGTCGACGACGCTCGGCGCCTCGAGGAGCTCCTCGACCTCCTCGACGCGCTCGCGGACGCGCGCCATGCGCTCGCGCTTCTCGCGCACCGTGAGGACGCGCGCCTCGAACGACGACGCGGCCGTCTCGAGGGCCGAGGTCGAGTCGAGGAGGGCCGAGAGCGAGTCGGACAAGGTGGTGAACGAGGTCGAGATGGACTGGGCGGCCGTGTACGACAGGAGGAAGGACGAGTAACGAGTGAAGGCGAGGGACGACAGGTCGTTGTCGAGCGAGGTCGACAGGGTTGCGAGCGAGGTAGGGAGGGACTGGAGGGCCGAGAGGGGTTGGGCGAGGAGCGACGAGAGGTAGGGCGGTGCGGCCGGGTGGTTGAGGAGCGACTGGGGCGAGGTCGAGAGCGAGAAGGCCACCTTGGCGGGCTGCTTGCCGACTGCAGGACGTGCCGGTGCCGCGGTCGGGGCCGACGAGGTTGACGACGACGAGGTGGAGCGCGATGCGAGCGACTCGGCCGTCGACAGGAGGAGGGACGCCAGGGTCGGGATCGGCTCGAGGTCGGCTGTGCTCGCCGCGTCGCTCACGGGCTCTGGCGGCCCTGCAGCTGCTCGCGGCGTTGCAGCCGAGTCGGGCGAGAGCGCGTCGAGCGGGGAGCGCGACGTCGACGCAACCGCATCGCTCGAGGTCGCCATGCTGCCGATCTGTTGCGTGGACGCCTGGTGAGCTCGACGCACGCTAGTACTCCCCGGCAGAGAGGGAGTGGGAGTGCGCACCTGGTGGAGCTGCGTGTCCGGCTGTCCGCTCTTGCGCGGCGACGGCTCGTGGTCGGCGGTCGAGGTTGGCGTTAGGGGCGGGTGCAGAGCTCTGCGAGCCCGATCTGGGGCACACTCGCAGCAGGCGAGGGTTGGTTGAGGTGCAGCAACCCGCCCGCTCGCCTCCTCCTCATCTGCTCGCTCTCCCCACTTGTCGACCCTCGCGCTTCACCCACTCCAGCGACGAGGCCGCCGACTGTAATGCCCACCTCGCGTAGCCTTGCTGTCCGAGCTCCGCGAGCATGCCGCCTGCTGCGCTCGCTTCTCTCGCTCCCGCGGTCGCGTGCGCGAGCTGCTCGCGCTGTCCCTCTGCTTGCTCCGAAGGCGACGAGGTCCTTTCTCGCTGCGGCAGAACTGAGCACAAGCTCTCGTCAAAGCCGGCACGGGCGCACATGCTGTTCAGGCGCCGCTAAGCATTCCAAACCTCGCTCGTCTCCCTCGAGTCGCTGCTCGTCCACGCCGACGACTACAAGCTCGCTCGTCGTACTCTGCACGCCCCGACGCCCACCTGCTCGACAGCTTGACGCCCCTCATGCTGCGACTCGAGCGCGGTTGCGGCGGCAGCGCACGCACAGGTTGGCGCGACAATCGTTGCAGCGCTGCAGGCGGGGCGGACGCGACGTCAGTTGCGTTGGACGGCTGCGAGTCGGCGAGTAAAGTCGTCGACGGGGACGCTTGTCGACGGAAGGGAGGAGAGACAGGAGAAGACGGAGATGAAGGAAAGGGAGGGACGCACGAGGAGGAAGAGGTGCAGGTTGGCGGCGCACTCGGTGCACCGGCCGGCGCCCTCGATCTTGACCACGTGACGGTGACCGCAATCGACGACTTGAGGAACAGCAGGCGGCGCGACTGGCGCGCGAACGGGCGCCGCGACTGCAGCCGCTCGGACCGCCCGGACGACCTGCGCCGGTGCGGCCGCTTGAGCGACGCCGAGGTCCTCGTTCTGCGCGTGGAGCAGCCGACGCTCCTCCCAGAGCGGACAATCGCACGTCTGCCGCCCTCCTTGCCACTTGGCGGCGCACAAGTAGCAGAACTCGTGGCCGCACCGGCAGTAGCTGCGTGCGAGGTTGACGACGAGTCAGTCGCAGGTCAAGGGAGGGCGCTCGGGAGAGGAAGGGAGACGTATTGGACGCACATGTGGTGGCAACCCGAATCGAGCTCGACGACGCGCTTGCAGCTCGGGCACTGCTTGAACTGGAACTCTCGCTCGAGCGCCCTCGCCGCGTCGGCGTCCGGGCTCGCGCCGCACACGGCGATCGGGCCGTGCCACGGGCCCTTGCACCCTGCGCACGTCGAGCGCTGACATGTCGGGCATTTGACGGCGACCTGATGGCCCGACGCGGCGCCGAGGAAGGTCGAACAGGTGGCGACGGCGCAGTACAGGCGCTTGGGCGTGCTGAACTCGGCTGCCTTGCGCGAGTACTCGAACAGTTCTTGCTGGCTCAGGTACCGCTTGACGAGGTCGAGCGGGATCTCGGCGCCGTCGCACCGCGGCGGGAACAGCGACTCGTCCTTGGTCGCCGCGACGAACAAATCGTGGAGGCACGCGCCGCAGTACGCGTGGTTGTCCTTGCACCGGACGTGCACGAGAGACGACGACAGGAACGTGTCGGTGCAGGCGATGCACTCGCCGCAGTACTCGGTCGAAGCGACGGGTACAGGACGGGGCTGGTGCTGCGGGCCGACGGGCGCGACGGGTCTGCAGTAGTAGTCCTGCCGCATGGGCTCGTCGTCGCCATCGTCGTCGACCTCGGTCGAGAGCTGGAGCGCGAGGCGGTGGTCCTCGCGAGCGGCCTCCTCCTCGCGAGCGAGCGCCTGGAAGAGCGGGCCGTCGGTGGCGGCGGCGGCGGCGAGGCTGCGGGCGAGCTTCGCGTCCTTGTCGGCCTGTACGAGTCCGGCGAGCTCCTGCTCGTAGAGGGCGAGCGCGTCGTCCTCGTCGCTCGTCGCCGAACCGGCAGCCGCTTGCGGCTGGCGGGCGTGCTGTTGGCGCAGCTCGGCGAGGTCGGCCTGGAGCAGGCTCGCGATGAGCGCGAGGCTGTCTGGCGGGAGGACAGCCATAGCTGGTGCGAGCGCGAGGGAGGGGAGGGGGAGAGATGGAGGGCGGAGAGCTGCAGGCCGGCGAGGCGCGAGCGGCGACTCACCTTTTCTCTAACGCTTTCGCCTTTCTCGCGGGGAATGAGAGGCTCGGAACAGGTACCGCGTTACAGCGCTGCGAGGAGAGAGGCGAGGAGAGTGCTACAGCAAGCCCAGGTGACGTGGCTGCGGCCAATACGGGCTCTGCCAGCTCGAACCGAACAGCGCCGTGCCGAGCGGGACGCCTCGACAGGGATGCCTGGTACCGTCGGGGAGGACTATGGCGCCAGTGGCGCCTGCCGCCAGCTCGTCCGGCGTCGCCTCGTAGCGCGGCGGGAGGAAGAAGGTGGGGCGGGCAGGTGGAGCGATCGGCGCAGGCTGTCGGCGCGCACAAGGGACGGTCAGTATGCTGCATGACGTCCATGACGTCGAGATAGACGAGACCGGGCGAGGGGAACGCACCGATTCGTGCCGGGGTGACACCGCTTGGACCGCCGCCGGTCCCGGCGCGGCTGCGGCTGCCAGCGCCGCTTGCCGCCGCTCGACACACACCCACGCGTCCCGCTTGATCGCGCCGGTCCACCGGAATACGGACTGCCACGCCGGCTGTAAGGGCGAGGATCAGCGACGGTGGGAGAAAGAGGGCGAGGCAAGGGGGGAGAGGCGACGGACCAGTTGCTCCTTAAGGTCCCCTTCTGGCACAGCCCACATGAAGAAGGACAGCCAGCGCAGACGCTCGAGGGTGCCCGAGTGGCGGCGCACCTGCTGCTCGCGCCACGCGGCCAGCACGTAGCGGTTCGTCCACGCGCTGGCCCACGTGCGGATCTCGTGCGCGCGCCGGGCGTGCAGGCTGACGCCGTAGTCGGCGATCGTCTCCACAGTCTGCGCGAACGTCTCCCAGTCGTCGCCCGCCGGCCAAACCTGCAAAGGGAGAGGCCTCAGTCGCAGGACGAGGGAGGAGGAAGAGAGGGAGTTGGGCGCACGAGATCGAGCAGTTCTGCGGAAAGCGGGTCGACCAGTTCGGGCCTTGACGAGCTAGGCTCGGCCATTGACCAGGAGCGCAGAGGAGCCGGCGCAGCAGGGGAGACGGAGCGCGAGCGAGAGGAAAGAGGCGAAGCGACGACGACGATCGGCTGAAGGACCGCAGAGCGGCCGCCGGACAATCCGATCGGTCGCTCAGGAGGAGGCAGTCGCACCCCTGTGCGTCCCGTCCGCGGACACACAGCGAGGACGCCGGCGCGGACGAGCAAGGCGGCCAGGAGGGGGCCGGGGCACACGCAGCGGGGCGACGAGCTGCTGTGGCCGCGCAGTGCTCGCAGACCGGGGGAGCATGTCGCCTGGCCACTCGCGAGCTGCAGCGTGAGCTGGTCGCGGTTGGGCGCGCAGGTGGTGACGCGGCGGCGGCGGGGCGGGTCGCGTGCGAGGGAGAGGTTGCGGCGACGAGTAGAGGGCGGGCGAGGCGAGGTTGGACAGCGTGCGGATGTGCTCTAGAGTCAAGCAGAGCTCAGCCGTGTCGAGAGCGAGAGTCGCACAGGCGCGATCCGGCCTCGTCGTCGTCGTCCGTCGTCAGTCGCATCCTCTCACCCTCGCTCTTCTCCCACCAGCTCGTTCCGCCTCGAGAGCACATCAGCACCTCGTACACCGACAACCACAGCTCCCTACACCGCCGACAGGTGCGCCCCTTGTCCCGATCCTCGACATCCACCTCTCTGCCTGAGGGCTGACCTAACCTCGCATCGGGCCGCCACACCTCTCTCCTGTTGCACGATCCTCGCAGCCTACTCGCACACCGCACCTGCACATGCTCCCCGCCTCGGTTCGAGCCCGCGCAGGCCTCGCCGCCTCGCGCGCCTCCTCGCGCGCCTTCTCTCGCGCCTCGACCGCCCTCCGCCCCTCGTCTCGTCCACCCGTTCCCGTCGCATCCACCTCCCAGGCGACCCTCGACACGCCTGCGACCGGCCGCCGCACCCTCACGACCTCGGCGCCGCTCCTCGACCTCGGCTTCCTCCACCCGTCGGCTCCACTCGCCCTCGGCCGGCGCGGCCGCGTCTCTCTGCGCGACGAGGACCGCGGCGACGAGGGCGGTGACGGCGAGGGCGAGACCGACGAGCCCAAGATCCCCATTCGGCGACCGGGCGTCCCCGATTCGGACCAGCCTCGGAACGGCTTGCGCTCGCCCAGCGCGCCCGAGTCGTCCTCGGCGGGCGTCGGTAGCGGCGCAGAGGGTGGCGAGGCGTCGAGCGGGTTGGGCGGCGCGTCGTCGTCGGGCGCAGGAGACGGCGGCGAGTCGGGCTCGTCGCTCGCCAAGCGGTCCGTCCCCGACGTCTACCCGCAGGTCATGGCGCTCCCCATCACTCGCCGCCCGCTCTTCCCCGGCTTCTACAAGGCCGTCGTCATCCGCGACGCCAACGTCATCAAGGCCATCAAGGAGTCGATCAAGCGCGGCCAGCCTTACATCGGCGCCTTCCTCCTCAAAGACGAGAACGACGACCGCGACGTGTGCGCCCGACTCTCTCTCTCTCTCGTTCCTCCTCACGTTCTCAGGTACTGACTCTCGCTCCCCTCGCCAGCATCACCGACATGAACTCGGTGCACCCTGTCGGCGTGTTTGCCCAGATCACCTCGACCTTCCCCGCCAACCCGCCGACGCCCAACCCGAACGACCCGAACGCCAAGCTCGAGGAGCCGGGCCTCACCGCCGTCCTGTACCCGCACCGCCGCATCCGCATCGACGAGCTCCTCCCGATCCCAGACGTCGCCCAGGCGCCGTCGTCGTCGTCGTCCGAGGCCGCGCCTGCACCTGTCGAGGGCGCCGAGGCGAGCGGCAACGCGCCCGTGTCGCACCCCGAGGCGCACAGCGCCGTCGACGACAAGCGGCCCCACATCGACGGCCCGCAGCGGCCTGAGGAGCCCGCCTTTGTCGGCGACGCGCCGCTCAAGCCCGAGTCGGCGCCCGAGAGCTCGTCCGACGCTAGCGAGCCAGCCAAGCCGCGCCCCGACGTCCTCGTCGGCCGTGACGGGCAGGTTGTCGACCGCAACGGCGAGCAGCAGCAGCAGCCGTCGTCGTCGTCGTCGTCGTCGGGTGACTCGGACGCGCAGCCGTTCCAGACGGCCTACCTGCACGACTACGCCGTCTCGATCGTCAACGTGTCGAACGTCGAGATGGACAAGTTCGACAAGAAGTCGCAGATTGCGCGCGCCATCGCCGGCGAGATCATCGCCGTCTTCAAGGAGATCGCCAACCTCAACCCGCTCTTCCGCGACCAGATCGCCAACTTCAGCATGTCGCAGTCGGCCGGCAACGTGTTTGAGGAGCCCGAGAAGCTCGCCGACTTTGCGGCGGCCGTCTCGAGCGGCGAGGTCAACGAGCTGCAAGAGGTGCTCGAGTCGATGCAGCTCGAGGACCGCCTCCAGAAGGCGCTCCTCGTCCTCAAGAAGGAGCTCATGAACGCCCAGCTGCAGAACAAGATCTCGAAGGACGTCGAGTCCAAGATCGCCAAGCGGCAGCGCGAGTACTACCTCATGGAGCAGCTCAAGGGCATCAAGAAGGAGCTCGGCCTCGAGTCGGACGGCAAGGACAAGCTCGTCGACAAGTTCCAGGACAAGGCCAAGGGCCTCTTGATGCCCGAGGCCGTCAAGAAGGTGTTCGACGAGGAGCTGAGCAAGCTCCAGACGCTCGAGCCCGCCGCGAGCGAGTTCAACGTCACGCGCAACTACCTTGACTGGCTCACGTCGATCCCGTGGGGGCGGCACACGCCCGAGAACTTTGACCTCAAGCACGCCGTCACCGTCCTCGACGAGGACCACTACGGCCTCAAGGACGTCAAGGACCGCATCCTCGAGTTCCTCGCCGTCGGCAAGCTGCGCGGCACGGTCGAGGGCAAGATCCTGTGCTTCGTCGGCCCGCCCGGTGTCGGCAAGACGTCGATCGGCAAGTCGATCGCGCGCGCGCTCGACCGCCAGTTCTTCCGCTTCTCGGTCGGCGGCCTGTCGGACGTTGCCGAGATCAAGGGCCACCGCCGCACCTACGTTGGCGCCATGCCGGGCAAGATTATCCAGGCGATGAAGAAGGTCCAGACCGAGAACCCGCTCGTCCTCATCGACGAGGTCGACAAGATCGGCCGCGGCCACAACGGCGACCCGTCGAGCGCGCTCCTCGAGATGCTCGACCCGGAGCAGAACTCGCAGTTTCTCGACCACTACGTACGTCCCGCTCTCTCTCCTTCATGGTGTACCCTCGCCGTGCGCCTCGAGCTCACGTGCGTCCTGTCGCCCCGCAGCTCGACGTCCCTGTCGACCTGTCGCGCGTCCTGTTCGTCTGCACGGCCAACTCGCTCGACACGATCCCGGCGCCGCTCCTTGACCGCATGGAGGTCCTGGAAGTGTCGGGCTACATCACCGAGGAGAAGGCGGCCATCGCGAGCCGGTACCTCGCGCCGCAGGCCAAGGAGGGCGCCGGCCTCAAGAACGCCGACGTCGAGCTCGGCGAGGACGCCGTCGCGGCCCTCATCCGGTACTACTGCCGCGAGTCGGGTGTGCGCAGGCTCAAGCAGCAGATCGAGAAGGTGCGCCCACGCTCGCTGTCGTCGTGCGGTCCTCGTGCGCCCCCGTCGCTAACCCTCTCGACCTCGCGCAGGTGTACCGCAAGGCGGCGCTCAAGATCGTCCGTGACCTGCCCGAGGACGTCGTTGCCGAGTCGAAGGCCGAGACGGTCGCACCAGCCGCAGCACCCGCCGCCACCGCCGTCGCCGACGACGCACCCGCAGACGACGCCGTCGAGAAGCAGGACGGCGACTCGGTCCCGGCGTCGACCGCCTCGCCCTCGACGCCCGAGTCGAGCGTGACCGAGGACGAGCGCACGACGACGACCAACGTGCGCAAGCCGCTCGAGGTGCCGTCCGACGTGAGCGTCCGCATCACGGCCGACAACCTCCTCGACTACGTCGGCCCACCGCTGTACCAGAAGGACCGCCTGTACACCAAGACGAGCCCTGTCGGCGTCAGCTGCGGTCTCGGCTACCTCGGCAACGGGTCGGGCGCCATCATGCCGATTGAGGTCACCGTGCGTGCACGTTCCCCTCCTTCTCCCTCTCGACCTTCCTGACGCCCGCTCTCGCCCTTTCCTGCCTCCTCGCACACAGTCTATGCCTGGCTCGGGCATCTCGCTCACGGGCAAGCTCGGCGAGGTCATCAAGGAGTCGGCGACGATCGCGTTGACGTTCCTGCGCGCCCACGCCTTCGAGTTGGGCCTCACCAAGGACGCCGACACCGATCTGCTCGAGAAGAGGGCCGTGCACCTGCACATGTACGAGGGCGCGATCGGGAAGGAGGGCCCGAGTGCCGGTACCGCTCTCTTGACGGCGTTCGTGTCCCTCTTCAGCAAGACGGGCATCTCCTCCGAACTTGGTGCGTTCCCCCCTCCTCTCTCTCTCCTACGACCTCCTGACTGACTCTTGCACCGTGCCCTCTCTCCCCCGCGCAACAGCCATGACGGGCGAGATCACGCTCGCCGGCCAGGTCCTCCCCGTCGGCGGCCTTCGCGAGAAGCTCCTCGCAGCGCACCGGGCGGGCATGAAGCGCGTCATCGTGCCCTTGGGGTGCAAGCCCGATATCGAGTACAACGTGCGTCCCCTTGCGTTCTCTCTCTCTCTCTCTCCCTCTCGTCGTCCGTCGCCCATACCTGACCTCTCTCTCCATCCTCGACTCGCGCAGGTCCAGGAGTCGATCAAGGAGGGCCTCGAGATCCTGTACGTCGAGAACGTCGGCGAGGTGCTCAAGATTGCGTTCGAGGGCAAGCCCATCGCCGACAAGGTCGACGCGCTGCGAGACACGCTCTTGCCGCGGCAGTGAGGGTCGGGTCGAGGAGGAGGAGGTCGAAGCGAGGACGCGATGTAATTAATAGAGTTCTCCCATCGCCCTCACCGTTGCGAGCAGCTACGAGTGAGCAGGCAGTCGAGTAGAAAAGCTGCAAGCTGAGAAAGCCGGACCACGTCGGGCGAGAAGTCGGGTGGAGGAGGAGGACGAGGCGGCTCGCTCCACTCACTCGACTTTGACAGCCCGCTCAGCCTCGTGCACAGCTCGCCAGTCTCTCTCCCAACACAGGTGAGCCCACGGCTGCTTCTCTTGCCTCGCCCGTCGCGCACAGAGGCGCTCCCTCCCTTCCGCCGTCGACGAGGCACCACCCCGACCTCGCGCAACAAGCCCCGCTCTGGCGGGCCAGCACGTGCCCGTGTGGCTTCGTGTGCAAGCTCTCCTCGCGGCAGATGCAGCGCCACGACCGGCAGAGCCGTGAGGAGGACAGGGTCCACGACGTTCGAAACTGACCTCATCGCTCTTCGCCCGCAGCCTCGTTCTGCCTCGACCCGCACCTCCGACTGCCAGCCCGCCTGTACCACAGCCGCCAGAGCATCACGAACGACACTAGCGCGACCGCCCACCCCTTCCCCTCGACGCCATGACCTCGCCTCGCACCCACGACTTTCACCCGATTCCAGTCGCCATCCCGAGCGGCCAGCGTACGGGCGCCAGCTTCGGCGAGACGGCCGCCATGCCGACCGAGTCGGCCATCCTGAGCCAGAGCGAGAGCGACGTCGAGGAGCGCGACTTTCGCTACGGCTCGCAGCCCGACGCCAGCATCCTGTACGGCCAGCCGCAGCGCCGGCACAAGACCAGGACTCTCAGCGCGGTGCGTCCACCTCGTCGCATCTCCTCGCGCTGCAGGCCACGACCTGACCTATTCCCTCCCCCGTCGCCAGTCTGAGGGTCCGCAGACGATCATCCGCCAGCGCAACACGTACGGCCCCGAGCAGGCCGTGCAGACGAGGGCGAGGCGCATGTCGCACGGTGCGTCGTCACGAATTCTTCTTCTCTCTGTCGACGAGGACGAGAGCCTGACGAAACGCCGCCGAGCAGACGAGACGCACACCAAGTCGCGCAAGTTCCTCGTCGACGTCGAGGAGACGATGAAGCTCGTCCTCGAGCAGGAGGACACCGACGCCAACTTCCAGATCCACGCGGCCGACAAGGGCCCCAAGGTCTTCTCGCTCGGGACGGCGAGCAGCAACGGCTACAACTCGTTCGACGTGCGTCCCCTCTTTCCCTTCCCTTCTTCCTTCCCAGGCCGCCCTTCTCACGCAGCCCTCGCATTCAGATTCGCGGCACGTACATGCTCTCCAACCTCCTCCAGGAGCTCGCCCTCGCTCGCGACCACGGCCTCAAGCAGATCGTCCTCGACGAGGCGCGCCTCAACGAGAACCCGGTCTCGCGCTTGACCCGCATGATCCGCCACTCGTTCTGGAGCAACCTGACGCGTCGCATCGACGGCGACGGTCTCGAGCGCATCTGCGCCGACCCCAAGGTGCGTCGCGCCGTGCCCTCGAGCGCTCCCTCCTGTGCTCGTCGCGCCGAACGGGTCAAGGCGAACGTCCTGACGCGTCGACCCTCTTGCAGAACCGCGGCAAGAACCAGGCGCCGCGCATCTACGTCCCCGAGGCCGAGCCGATGATGCGCAAGTACTACGAGCGCATCGCCGAGGCCAAGCCGCACTTGCGCCTCATCGTCGACACGGTCCCGACCAACTTTGACGCCAAGTGGGTCAAGGACCAGAACGACCGTCCCGGCATCCTCGCGCTCGCCATGAAGGAGGTGTCGCGCGGCGAGGGCCAGGACCCGGACTTCCAGGGCATCCCTTTCGTCGTGCCCGGCGCACGCTTCAACGAGGTGCGCCGACCCTCCCTCTCTTCTCCTCCTTCCTCGTCGTCGCCTTCTGCAGCCCGAGACTGACTCGAAGACCCACCTACAGCTCTACAACGTGCGCTCAGACCCTCCCGGTGCCGTCGTCGTCGTCGCCTCGTTCGCCCGCACTGACCTCGTCCTCCCTCCCTCGTCGACCTCGCAGTGGGACAGCTACTTCATCTCGCTCGGCCTCCTCGCCGACGGCCAGGTCGAGCTCGCCAAGGGCATCGCCGACCACTTCCTGTTCGAGATCAAGCACTACAAGAAGATCCTGAACGGCAACCGCAGGTGCGCCTCGCTCTCCCTCGTCACGCCTCCCCCTCGCTCTCGAGCTGTTCGGGAACGACCCTGACAGTCGACACTCCCGCAGCTACTACCTCATGCGCTCCCAGCCGCCGTTCCTCACCGACCTCGCCGTCCAGGTCTTTGCCCAGCTCGATCCCGAAACGGCCGAGGACAACAAGGCGTGGCTCAAGCGCGCGATCCAGGGCGCGATCCAGGAGTACCACATCGTGTGGCAAGAGGCGCGTCGCCTCGACCCGGTGACGGGCCTGTCGCGGTACCGCCCCGACGGCCTCGGCGTCCCTCCCGAAACCGAGGCGTCGCACTTTACGGCCGTCCTGCAGCCGTACGCCGACAAGCAGGGCGTCAGCGTCAACGAGTTCATCGAGATGTACAACGACGCCGAGATCGAGTGCCCCGAGCTCGACGCCTACTTCCTCCACGACCGCGGCGTGCGCGAGTCGGGCCACGACACGACGTACCGGTTCGAGAAGAAGTGCGCCGACCTCGGCACGATCGACCTGTGCTCGCTCCTGTACAAGTACGAGACGGACATCGCGACGGCTATCCGCGACCACTTTGACGACTCGCTCGAGCTCGAGGCCGAGTTCGACTTGACGCCGTTCCCGTTCGGCACCGAGGTGCCGTACACGCCGACCGACCCGTCCCTCCCCGACCTGTCGGGCCCGCGCAAGTCGACCGACGCGCCGCAGACGTCGGCCGAGTGGTTCGCTCGCGCCGCGCGCCGCAAGGAGCTCGCCGACTACTACCTCTGGCACGACGGCCGCGGCATCTACGTCGACTGGAACTGCGCCAAGGGCAAGCAGAGCCTGTACGACTCGGTGACGACCTTCTGGCCCATGTGGTGCGGCATGGCGAGCGAGGCGCAGGCCGAGAAGATCATGTGCGTCGCCGCACCCTCTCTCTTCTTCTCTCCTTTTCGCCCGGATCCAGTCGCGCCCTCGATCCGGACGTGCAGGACGGTGCGAGAGGAGAAACTCACGCAGCTCCACACGTACCGCAGGCAGTGCTCGTTGCACAAGTTCGAGGTCGCCGGCGGCCTCGTCTCGGGAACCGAGTCGTCGCGTGGCCGCATCTCGCTCCAGCGCCCCAACCGGCAGTGGGAGTGCGTCCTCCTCTCTCTCTCTCGTCCCCTGTCGCCCTGTGCCTGATCAACCGCTGTCCTTGCCGCGCAGCTACCCGGCCGCTTGGCCTCCTCAGTGCGTCCACCTCTTTCCCTCCCTCATCGCTTGTTTCCCCTTTACTGACGTGCCTCTTCCCTCTCATTCGCGCTCTACAGCCAGATCATGGCCTGTACGCCCCGTTCTCGTCGCTGGAGGGACCTGAGCGAGCCGTACTGACCTGTTCCTCGTCCGCCTACAGGGGTCGGTCTGCAGAAGTACGGCTACAACCACGAGGCGCAGCGCCTCGCCTACAAGTGGCTCCACATGTGCGTCTCCTGTCTCTCCCTCTCTCTCTCCTTCCTCGACCCGTCGCTCGAGTCGCTGACCCTCCTCCCCGCAGGCTCACCTCGGGCTTTGTCGAGGCCGGCGGCTGCGTGCCCGAGAAGTTCGACGCCGTCGAGGGCACGTCCAACATCGACGCCGAGTACGGCAACCAGGTGCGTCTCTCCTCTCATCGAGCGTCTTGTCAGGCGAGTCAGGAACTGACCCTCTCGCCTTTGCAGGGAACCGACTTCCACCTCATTCCGCGCGAGGGCTTTGGCTGGTGCGTCCTCGCTCTCTCTCTCTCTCTTCCCGTCGTTCGTCGTTCACCTTCTCTCGCTCGTCCGCAGGACCAATTCGTCGTACCAGGTCGGCCTCTCAATCATCACCCAGTTCCAGCGTCGTGCTCTCGGCGCCCTCACCCCGCCCGACTCGTTCTTCCGCCACGGTCGCGTCCTCTCGACCTGAGCCGTCGTTCATCCCCTGTACATACCCCTCGCATCCATCTCTTTGCCGCCGGCCCGTAGACGCAGTTTTGAGCCTCGAAGCGAACTTGTCCCTCTCGTTCTCTTTCTTCGAGAGGCAGCGCGTTCTCAGCGACAGTGCTGCTCTGCGCAAGCTCAGGCCTGCGGCTCGTGGTGCCAGTCTCGCTGCTCAAGTACAGCTCCATCGACGAGAGCACGAGAGCAACTTACTTGCGCCTGAAATGCGGCTCAGACTGGCGCTCGCACCTCTCAGTTCGGCTCCCCCTCCGCGTGAGACCGTCTCCTGAGCGAATCAGTCCGTCCGTACGAGCGCCGTTTCTGACAAACAGCCAGCGATCGCCGTGCGTTTGCGCCTCCCCCAGAGCCGGGGGTCGGCGACGAGGCCGGGTCCTGCCATCTCCGACTCGCCAGCTTCGGCGATGCTTCGGCTTCTCGCACCCACCTCTGCTCGCCTGCTGTCACCTGCGCTCTCGCCTGCGCCTCGCACACTCTACACACCGACTCGCACCAACTCCAGTGAGTCCCGCCTCGCCGTTCTCTCGCCTCGGCCCCGATTCTGGAGCGTGCGTCCGCTCGCGCCCTTTACAGCGCCTGTGAGCGCTGCGCTGGACCTGCGGGCACCACGAGTACAGCTTGCGCAGCTGTGCGAGTGCCCCGCTGCGCCCACGAGGTCGTTATCGCCAGAGACCGCCGCTGACCTCGTCCTCCTCCCCGCGCAGCCATGTCGTCCGCCGCCTCCTTCTACGAGCTCGAGGCTGAGAAGCCCAAGGGCGACAAGATCAAGTTCGAGGTGAGTCGCACGGTTGCTCCTCGGCGGGAGAAGTGCTGGACCCGAGCAAGGGGAGCCGCCGCGAGGAGACGAGGATGGCGGCTCCCTCTTCTTCGTCGGTCGAGCCGCGATGTGCAAGTACTGACTCGCTCTCGCGACCTGCAGGACTACAAGGGCAAGGCCGTCTTGATCGTCAACACCGCCACCAAGTGAGCCTTCTGATCCACCTCCTCTTCCGCCTCGTCGCTTCCTCCCGTCCGTCTTCCTTCCCTCGCGGTCCCTGACACCTTATATTCTACGACAATCGATGCGGCTTCACATTTCATTGAGTATTTAGTCTCTCCGTCGTCCGACGAGCCGGTAGGAGCGCGAGCGCTTCTCGGCCGTCGTGCGACCTCTTTCCAGCCTCGTCGACAGCTACTGATACCCGCCTTCTTCCTTCCCGCGCAGGTTCACCGGGCTCGAGGAGCGTGAGTCTCACCGTCACTGTGCCTGACTGGGTCGCGATTTGACCTCGTCCCCCTCCTTCCCCTCGTCCCTGCAGTCTACCAGAAGTACAAGGACCAGGGTCTCGTCGTCCTCGGCTTCCCCTCGGACCAGTTCGGCCACCAGGTGCGCTCCCCTCTCCCTGACTCTCGTCGACGTCGTGCCTGACGTGCCCTCGTCGCGCAGAACCCCGAGGACGACGAGGGCACCGAGAGCTTCTGCCAGCGCAACCACGGCGTGTCCTTCCCGCTCCTCAAGAAGTCGGACGTGAACGGGCCGGCGACCAACCCCGTCTTCCAGTTTCTCAAGCCTCGCGCCAAGGGTCTCCTCGGTGAGCGTATCAACTGGAACTTTTCAAAGTTTCTCATCTCAAAGGTACGCCGGCCCTCCTCTCGTCGTTCCCGACCAGACACTCCTCAGGCGGTTCTTGACGAGCTCCCGCCCGCAGAACGGCGAGGTCCTCCACCGCTACGCGCCAACGACCAAGCCCGACGCCATCGCGAAGGACATCGAGAAAGCGCTCGCCGCCTGAGCCCTCGCGTACCCCGTCTCTCTTGTCCCCTCGTCCCCCGTAATACTATCTCAGTCTCTTCTTTCCATCGTCGCCGTGTTCGTGCAGAGAAAGCTGCAGAAGAGAGCGAGAACAGAGCGAGAGAGTGCGGCGAGGAGGAGGTCGAGAGCCGCGAGAACAGCTCTGCCTTCGACACGACCGCGCCCTTCCCGCCGGGTAGCTTGCGAGCTCCAAGACTGCTCGAAGAACGCCTGCACAGCAGCGCGCGACCAGCACGACAGCTCAGACGCCGACCTCAGCCGTCCTCGACTTCATCAGCTCGCCCTGTCAAACACCCCTCCCTCTCGTCCCCACCACTCGCCAGAACTACGACATGAGCCGCAAAAAGTGCACGCCAGCTGCTTTTCCCGCGCCGACCAACCTCACCGCCTTCCGCTGCGCCGAGCGACTCTGGAAGGACCGCGCCCGACCTCTCGACCTCTCGCTCGCCTTCGACCCTCAGCACATCTCGTGGGACGCAGCGCGGCTCGAGGGGCGCACGAGGGGGATCTGGCGAGCGGGCGACGGCACCGAGGAGGTCGTCTGGCGGGTGACGATGGGCGACCTCGCCGCCGCCGGCATCGGGCAGAGCAGGTGGAAGGGCAAAGGGCGGGAGGACGACAACAACGACTACGCCATTGTGATACCTCGAGTACCAGGTGCGCCCCATTCTCGCCGCCGCTCGTCGCGAGGTGGTTCTGACATCCCTTGCCCCCGCAGGCCTCGTCTTCTTCCCTCGCATCCTCCCCGAGCACGTCCAGCGTGCTCTTGTAGCCGAGACGCTGCAACACGCTCGTTCGCCCAACCTCACACAGCTCGACAAGCTGTACGACCTGCCGCGAGAAGGTCTGTGGGGCGCGTGGGCGGCGGGCAAGGGCGACGAGGTCGTGCCTCGCGCGGTCGAGGAGCAAGAGGGTGCGACGGGCTCGACGGGACCATCGTCCGGGTCGCAGATGTGCGCGGCCGGGCCGGCGTCCATCGGTCGGGAACGAGACGGTGTCAAGTCGGCGCGAGAGACGGTGACGGTGCGCGAGCTCTTGCCCAAGCTGCGCTGGGCCAACGTCGGCTTCCACTACAACGTGCGCCCCCTCTCTCTCCTTCTCTTTCAGTCTCAGTGACGAGCCGACCTGACTCTCTGGCTTCCCGCAGTGGACGACCAAGGTCTACGAGTTCGAGCGCGGCTGCGTCCCCCTCCCGCCCTTGATCCACCGCTGCTGTCGCGACCTCGCTCGTCAAACGCCCTGGGACCGCATCTTCGGCGACAGCAAGACGCCGAGCAGGTCGCACGACTGCAGCACCTGGGCGCGCGACTACGAGCCAGACGCCGGCCTAGTCAACTTTGTGCGTCCCCCTCGCTCTTTCTCTTTTGCCTCTCAGGAGGCGAGCTAACTGTACTTCCTCTTGCAGTATCAGCTCAAGGACAGCCTGACCTCACATGTCGATCAAGCCGAGGTCGACGCCGTCAGCCCGCTCGTCTCGTTCTCGTACGTCCTCGTCTCGCTTCCTCCCCGCCCGCCTGTTCCGCGCTCACTCTCCTCGGCCTCCAGGCTCGGGCACTCGTCCATCTTTCTCGTCGGTGGTACCAGTCGAGACGTGCCGCCGTTGGCGATTCTGCTGCGATCGGGCGACGGGCTCTGCCTCGCAGGCGAGGGACGGCGCGTCTACCACGGTGCGTCTCGGTCCTCCTTCTTGAGCGGCCGGTTCTCCTCGCCCCCCTTACTCACCCGTTTCGCCTTCTGCAGGTCTACCACGTGTCCTCGAGGACTCGCTGCCCGATTATCTGCTCGCCTCGCACAGCGACTCGGCGTTCGAGGCCGACGACTGGCGGCTGTTCGGCGAGTACCTCGAGCGCGGCGCCCGCATCAACGTCAACGTCCGCAGTGTATTCTGAGCCGAATCGTCTTGTCGGTCCTCGCGCAGCGTCGTGACCTGCGCGGCCGCCTTCTCAAGAACCCGAACTTCTAGATCGTGCCCTCCTCTCGCTCGTAGACCTTCTTTCAACTTCGTACCTCTCTTATCCTTCCATCTGGTCGTCTGTAATACGCAACCGAGTCGCTGTGACCTGTTCGTCGTCGTCGTCGAGCGAAAGCTCGCCCGACCTTGACCTTCTCAAAGTCGCGCTTCGAGGGTTCGACGCTCACTCTCTGCTCATACTTCGTACGGGTTGCGCTGTAGTTACTCAGGAGCCTGGCTGCAACAGCTTCCTGTGGCCTGAGAGAGAGCAGAGCGAGCGCGGGGCCACGAAGGCCCAGAACCCCCGCCCGCCCTCGCTCCTCCGTCCCTCGCTCCCCTCGCCGCGCAGAGCACGGCCTGCTCAGCCAGGTGCTCGCTCCTCGCCACCCGACCACCGCCCAGGGCCCCCGCAGTGTGCGCCCGCGCCTCGCCCGCTCAAGCCGTCCGGTCCTCGCTCCCCCTCATCAAGGCCGCACCCGACAACCTCCCATCCTCGTCCACCACGGCCCGAGGACCCGCGCTCAACTGTGTCCAGCCTGCACTGCACCTCCACGAACCAGTCGCACCACCAGCCGTCACCCTCGTCTCGCCAGCGCCGTCACCCACCACGTTCACCCCGCTCCCCGTCCCGGCGCCATGGGCGCTCTCTGCTGCAAGCCAGAGGTACGTGCGACTCTCTCCCGCACGTCAGGAGCCACACTGGGCGCACTTGGAGCCCGCTCACCCTCTTGTTCGCCCTGCAGGAGATCGACTTTGAAGGTCCTGTCGACCTCTGGCACTTCTACCTTCTGCGGTCGGTCGGCAAGGGCGCGTTCGGCAAGGTGAGCTCCGTCGACCGTCCCCTGCCTCTCTAGACGGGCCTGTCCCCTCCTTGCGAGTGCTGGGCGCGAGTCAGGCTCGTTCCGGCAAGCCGCCCTCGACTGACCCACTCGTCTCCTCGTCCCCCCGTGCAGGTCCGCGTCGTGCAGCACAAGAAGACCAAGGCCCTGTACGCCCTCAAGTACATCAACAAGGCCCGGATATCCAAGCAGCGAGCCGTCAACAACGTGCGTCCCGCTCTCTTTCTCTCGCCCTCGTCTCGCCCCACCCCGTCTCGCTCACGTCCGCTTCGGCCGCACCCGCAGATCATCCAGGAGCGGCGACTACTCGAAGAGATCGACTCGCCGTTCGTGTGCAACCTGCGCTTTGCGTTCCAGGACGACGAGAACCTCTTCATGGTGCTTGACCTCATGCTCGGCGGCGACTTGCGGTTCCACCTCGACCGACTCGGCTGCATGAAGGAGGAGGTCGTCCGCTTCTACGTCGCCGAGATGGCGCTCGCACTCGGCGACCTGCACAAACTCGGCATCGTCCATCGGTGCGTGCGCCCTCGAGCAAGTTTCGGTCTCTCTCGAGGATCATCTTCTGAATTCTTCCCGCCCACAGCGACATCAAGCCCGACAACATCCTGCTCGACGAGAAGGGCCACGCGCACTTGACCGACTTCAACATCGCCGTGCACTTTACCGACCGACGACCGCTCACGTCCGTCGCAGGCTCGATGGCGTACATGGGTGCGGCTCTCGTCCCTCTGTCCCTCCTCTCGTCCCAGTCCTGACTCGTCGTCGCACCCACGCAGCTCCCGAGGTCCTCGCCAAGCGCGGCTACTTCGCGACCGTCGACTGGTGGTCGCTCGGTGTCGTCGCGTACGAGCTCCTGTTCGGCAAGCGGCCCTACCGCGGCAAGACCAACTCGACCTTGACGCAGGCCATCCTCAAGGACCAGGTCCGCTTCCCCGACAATGCCGAGGAGATTGTCAGCCACGAGGGACTCGACTGCTTGCGAGGGGTGCGTCCCCAAGATCATTCTCCTCCTCCTCCTCCCCGACGTGCGCCTGACCGCCTTTATCTCCCCTCTTCCTCACAGCTGCTGCAGCGGGATCCCAAGAAGCGGCTCGGTTGCGCGGGTACGGGCGGGCTCGAGGCGCTCAAGCGGCACCCGTGGTTCCGAGAGTACGACTGGGATGTCCTCGAGCGCAAGGAGGCGACGCCTCCCTTCGAGCCGGATGTGCGTCCTCTCTCCCTCCCTCTCTCCCCCTCGTCTCTCTCGTCCTCGGACTGACTCGATCGCCGTCTACCGCAGTCGAAGAAGGCCAACTTTGACGCGACGCACGAGCTCGAGGAGCTCCTCCTCGAGGACAACCCGCTCAAAGCGCGCAAGCGCAACCCGAACCTCGACCTGTCCGAGCTGTCGGCCGACTACCGCGTCATGGAGCAGCAGTACGTCCCCTCATCGCCATCGTACGGAGGAGCGTCCACCCCTGTCCCGCACTGACGAGCGCTCGGACCCCTTCCCCCGCAGCTTCCTCCCGTACGACTACCTGCGCCAGCCTCGCAAGTCGTGGTTCGTCCTCGACGAGACGGGCACGGCTGCGTCGCACGGCGTGTCGGCGTCGGGCACGTCCGAGCCGTCGACATCGTCGTCGGGACTCGCAAAGGTGCACGCGCACGCCGTCCGCATCGACGAGCAGCCCATGGCCGACCTCGCCGCCGGCAGCACGTCGGCCCTGAGCGTCACGGTCGCAGGTGGCGCAGCAGGAGCAGGAGCAGGATCAGGAGGCGGCGGTGTCGCGAGCGGGCGAGGGACGCCGAGCGCGAGGAGCGTGCGCCTCGACGCGCCCGTGAGCCCGAGCGTTGATGGGCGTGCGTCGCCGTTGCGGCGGACGGACACGCCCGACACGCACGGCTCGCCGGTGCGCGGTGGCGAGCGAGCAGGGCAGGCGTTCGAGATGGGCGAGCGAGGCGACACCGGCCTCGCGCGGTGAATCTCTCTTCCCCCTTCCCTTTCCCATCTAGCCCCTCTCTACCCCCTCTCATTCATCGCCTGCAGCAGCATCCATCCCTCTCGTCGCCCTAATCAGTTTTATCGTCCTCGCCTCGTCGCGCCGCTCTCGATCCCCCCTTCTCTCGGTGCCGTTCATACCCCTCCCTGCGCAGTCTCTCCTTGTCCCTCAGCCTCTGTCGGTCGCTCCGAGTCATGTGTAACACCTCTCGTCTCTCATGTGCGACTCGTGGTTCCAGCCGAGAGGGAGAGAGAGAGAGAGAGAGAAAGCAGAGCTCGATACGATGAAAATGCACTCAGACCGCCTCGCTCGTCAGGAATCTCGCTCGTGCTCAGGCCGTCGTCGCCTGCCCACCCTGAGCTGCCGCTCCACCCCTCGCTGCACCGCCCCTGCCGCCGCGAGCGCCACCGCGCGCACCGCCGCGACCACGAGTCGCCGGGCCCTGGTTCAGGAGCGACAAGGGCGGCGGGATCGCGACGCCGCCGCCAGCGAGCTGCACCGGCGCAAACGCCTGCTGCTGTTGTTGCTGCTGCTGCTGACGCTGCTGCTGCTGGAGTGCGGCGTGTCCGGGCCCGCCGGGAGCGAACGGCAGGTGCGCGAACGCCCCACGGCCGCGAGCTCCTGCGCCACCTGCGGCGCCGCCGCGGATGCCGAGCGTCTGCCCGAGGCGCTGCTGCTGCGTCTGTTGCTGCTGCTGCTGCGCCGCCGAGAGCGGGACCGGGACCGGGCCGGCTGCGCCCGTCGCGACGGCGTGGAATGACGTGGCCGGCGACACGGCGCGAGGGTTGCGCATGATCTGGACGTTGCCGTTCATGCCGCCGCGACCGCGACCACGACCGAGCGGGTTCGAGGCGCCTGCGGCGGCGGCAGCCGGGTGGAAGCCGCCGGCAGGGAGGCCGTGCGCCGGAAGGATGTTGGGCCCGCCCGGCGTCGTGCCCTGGCGGAACTTGGCGCTGCGGTTGACGGGCGCCGGCTGCGCAGGAGGAGGAGCGCCCTGGCCCGTCGAGAATTGCGGGTTGGTGAGGTTGAGGACGGACGAGAGCGTAACGGTGGCGCCGCGGTAGGTCGAGCAGCTGCGAGAGGTCGAGAGGGGACGTCAGGATCGGGTTCCTGGGCTAGAGGTGCACGAGGAGACGCGAAAGAGGGACGTACCGGCCGCCGAGCGTCGTGCCGCCCATGAAAGGGACGTCGAAAACGACGTCGATGAAGCCCGACTGGATGCCGACGACGACGCCCTTTGCCGAGAGCGGGACGCTGCCCGTCTCGGCGACGGTGACGACGCGGTCGCCGAGGGAGAAGACCTGCTTGCGGAGCCGACCAGGAGCGTGCGCCGGCTTGAGGATCGACTGGCGCGGGATGCCCCGGATCTGCGCCTTCTTGATCTTGTCGACCGTCTTGAGCTGCGTGAGCTGGTCCTCGGTCTTCTCGATGAGGAGGACAGCGTCCTGCAGGCCGAACAACCGACAGAGAGAGAGTCAGTCAGGAAGGAGAGCGCTCGAGAGAGGAAGAGGACGAGGACGCACCTTGTCGAGCTGCTCGGCGTAGAGCGGGACCTTCTCGAGGTCGCGCACGCCCTTCTCCTTGATCCAGGCCGTCAACTCCTTCATGCGCTGCGCGACCGTCTCGGCCGGGAAGAAATCGGTGGCGCGCATGAGGTCTGTGCGGGACAAGAAGGTCAGGGACGAGAAGTCTGCGAGGGGAAAGAGAAAGAGGGGACGCACCGCCGCGCCTCGTGTCGAGCGTGCCGGCGATCTCGGGGAAGCTCGCCTTGTACTCGCGGATGAGCTCGACGGCCTTGCCGCTGAACTCCCACGAGCCCGAGTCGCCCTTGCGCGAGAAGCCGAGGACCTTTTGGCCCTTGGCCTCGAACTTGAGGTTGAGCCCGACGTTGACGCGTTGGTCGCCCGACGCGCCGTACAGGAGGAAGCTCGACGTGATCTTGGACAGGGCGAGGCCCGACATGCCGACCATGCGCGCGACGGCGTGCGACGGGAAGTAGGCGGCGTCCTTCTGGCTCGCGAGCCGCTGCTTGAACACGGCGTGCTCGGCCTTGTCGTTCGGGAAGAAGGCGATGCGGATCGCGAGGCTGTCCTCCTCGTGGTCGAACACCTGCGCGGGCGTGCCGTACGCCGCGTGGCCGAGGAAGAAGACCTTGGAGCCGGCCGGGTACTCGACGTCGAGCGCGACGGGCGGCTGCTCGATGAAGCGCTCGTCCTGGGCGTCGACCTTGGCGACCGTCGCCTGGAGCGCGTAGTCGCCCGCCTCCTCCTCCCACTCCTTGACGAGCGAGCCGTCGTCCTTGAGCTCGAGACCTGCAGAGGGACGCGCACGAGAGCGTCAGGAACGAGGCGGGCAACGAGGAGGGAAGAGAGAGAAGAGAGAGAGGGAAGAAGGTGCGACGCACCCTTGAGAACCCGGGCGTGCACGACGACCTCGGTGCGGCCGACGAGACAGCCCTTGCTCTTCGAGTACACGTGCTCAATGCGGTCGGCCGCACGCTTCCACTGGTAGATCTCGTTCTGCGTGTGCGGCGTCGCGCGGACGAGGCCGTTCTGGTCCTTGTCGTACCGGAAGAGCTCGTCCGAGACGGCCTCGACGAGCGCCTCGCGCAGGTACGGGTAGCCGACGTGCGCCGTCCCGCCGACGAGCTGGCGAGCGACGTCCTCGACCTTGACGTCGTCGTACTGGTTGTCGATCGAGACGACCATGGTCTCGCGGCGCGAGTCGGTCTGGAACACGTTGACGCCGTGGAAGCCGAGCGACGCCGTGTGCGGGATCGTGTGGAGCGACGGGAAGCCCGACACGGCCTGCTTGCCGGTGAGGGCGCCGGGGAGGAGGCCCTTGACGAGCGACTTGCCGCCGTCGAGCGTCGGGAGGTGGAAGACGTCGAGGCGCGTATGGTTGTTGACGAGGTCGGGGAAGAACTCGGGCAACGACGACGGGTACGTCTGGTTGATGGCCTCGTCGTACGTGAACTTGGTGCTCTCACCGTACGCGTTGCGGGCGCGCTCCTCCTTGGTGAGGCGAGGTTCGCGCGTCGCCATCGTCTTGAGCAGGCGCTTCTCGTCGATGAACGGGATCTTGACGATGGCCTCCCACTCCTGCTTCTTGCCGTTCATGTCCTGCTCGAAGATGGCCGGGTAGAAGTCGATGATGGGCGACGCCGGGTCGCTCATGAGGTCGCGGAACGCGGGCGGGATGTGCTGGGACGACAGGTCGGGCAGGACGCCCATGAGCTGCTCGAACGGCTTGAACGGCGTGCCCAACTCGAACTTGAACGTCATCTTCTCGGCGCCCTTGAGGTCTGCGTGTGCACGAGGAGGACTTGTGAGCTCGCGAAAGAGAGAGAGAGAGAGCGCCGACGAGGAGAGGGCGAGGACGAACCGGACATCTTGGGCGCGTAGTGGTAGTCGTAGAACCAGCCCCACGACGCAACACCGGCGTAGTAGTAGTGCAGGACCCATTGCAGGCCCTCGATGTAGCGGTAGGCGAGCGTCGGGATCGCCTCGGGGTCCTCGGGCGCGAACTCGAGCTTCTCCTGCAGGCGGCGACGACGAACGGGCAGGTCAGGGTCGCGCTCGGGACGTCGAAAGAGGAGAGTGTAGGGAGAGAGGACGGACCTTGTAATAGTCCTTCTTCCACTGGACGATCTTGTCCTGGACGATGCGCTCCTGCTCCTGCTCGGCCTCCTCCTCCGTCTTCTCGTGGATGACCTCGGCCTTGTCGTACTTGGCAAGGACCCTCCGAATCGCCGTCGCCCACTCGGGCTCGTCGCCCGCCGCGCTCGAGTCGGCCGGCGACGCCGTCGAGCCGCGGTCCTTGCGGCCCTTGCCGTCGAGCGACAGGTGGACGATGCCGATCTCCTCGGCCTCGGAGCTCTCGGCGCCCTCGGTCTCCTCGTCGCTGACGCCGGCGAGCGGGCTCTCGACGTCGTCGCTGTCGTCGTCGGCGTCCTCGCGCGCGAGCGCAACGAGCGCGTCGTCGAAGCGCACCGTGACGAGGCTCTCGCCCTCGGGCGAGTAGGCGTCGTACGCGACCGAGAGCTTGAGGGCGTCGGCGAGGTCCGACAGGAAGCGGCGGTCGCGCGCCGTGACGAGCTCGTTGGCGAACTGGAGCTTGGCCGAGGCCGAGTCGGGGGACGTGAGGGTCGCGAGGTGCGACAGGACGAAGGCCGAGATCTGGTCGACGACCTTCTTGTGCGTGTCGGTCAGGACTGTCGCGGGAAGGGAGGGGCGAGGAAGAGCTGTCAGTCGAGGGCGATCGGCGGAGGGAGGGAGGGTCCGAGCGGACGCACCGAGCTTTCCCCTCGCCTGCGCCTTCTGGACCGCCTGCTCCTGGCCCCTCCTGCCGCTCTTGTGCCCGCCGCCACGTCCATGACCCATGTCGACCGTCTCGTGCTCGAACTGCTCCCGCTCGAAGACGGTGAGCTCGTCGAGGATGAGCTGGAGCCGCGGCGCGTTGAGCTTGCCGTGCTCGTTGAGGTAGCCGCCTGCGTGCGGGACGAGAGGAGAAGTCAGTGAGCCTGTTGGGCACGAGGCGAGGTGCGCGCAGCAGGAGAGGGCGAGAGGGGAAGGGGCAGGGGGGAGAGCGGCGACGCACCGGCTTGAGGGAGGATGCGCTTGTAGATTTCGAAGAGGCGGTTAAGCGCGCCCTCGTTGATGTGCAACCCGGGCAAGTGGGGCAGAAAGTCGTTGCCGATGAAGATGTTGATGAGGATAAAGTCGTCGATGATGCGCTCGAGGTCGTACTCGAACGGAAGCGTCTCCTTAAGCGTCGAGAACTCGTGGTCGAGGTACTCGCGGAACAGGCCGAGATGCATGAGGAAGAAGTTCTGGTCGTGCAGGCTGCGGGAGAGGGCGAGGGTCAGTCGTCGAGCGAGAGGAGGGGAGGATGGACGAGGAAAGACAGGGACGCACCTCTTGGCCTTGCCCTTGCCGCCTCGAGGTCCAAAAATGACCTCCTCGCGCAAGAGGCAGAAGTGCGGGTCGTGGCTCAGAAGGCCGAGCATGATGAGGTCGGCGTCCAGGCCGTACATGCAGTGGCGCATGTTGGGGCTGTAGCCCGGCTGCGCCTTGTTGAGGCGGATGTACTCCATGATCTTGTGCTCGCCCTCACCCGGGACCTGTATGAGGAGGAGCCGTCGCGAGATGAGCGCCTTGCCCGTCGACAAAGACCCACTCGAGGAAGAGAGAAAAGAGGGCGACGCACCTCGTGTCCCGAGAGCACGATCTCGACGTTCCTCCAGTCGGCGTCCTCCGACACCTTCTTTGCGATAAAGTACTTGAGCTGCTGCGAGAGCCGGGCCATGAAAGGCGTGCCTGCGGGAGGAGAGGAGGTCAGTACACAGCCTGCTGGCAGGAACGCGAGCGCCTCGACAGCCCCTCGCGTCGCAGAACCGTAGGAGAAACGCGACGACGCACCGGGAGTGATGCAGTTGCTGTCGAAGCCGGCCTCCTCGGGGATTTCCTCGCCCCGGCGCTTGGCCTTCTCGATCGTCTCCTTGTTCTCCTTTGCGGTGCGGAACCGACGGCTGCGCTGCTGGTTCATCTTGGCCCTCGGTGCGACGCCGTCGATGGCGAGGAAGAAGAGCTTCTGGGGCTTGATGACGCTGAAGAGGTGGGCAATGTAGCTGAAGATGGCCAAGAAGATGTCCTCCTCGCTGATGCGGAACGACGCGTCGTCGTCGTTCGGGTGGGAGCAGTTGTGGATGATGCCGTTCATGTCGAGGTCTGCGGTGCTCGCCAGGGACAGGTGTCAGCTGTCTGTGCGGGAGAGGGAGCGTGACGAGGGAGAACCGGCGACGCACAGAGAGCGTCGAACTCGGGGATGCGGTTCTCCTGGATCAACTGCGAGATGAGAGGATACCGCTCCCTGCATGGTGTGAACGAGGGAGTGTCAGTGCCGTGCGCTGCTCGACAGATAGGTGGGGGAGGAGACGAGACGCACGACATGAAGCGGAAGAACTGGGCGAGGGAGGCAGGTCAGTGCGCGCTCGCCTCTGGGACTGGGCATGGGAGTGGGAGCACACCTTTGGAATGCCTGCATGGTGGACCCAGAGGGAGGGGGAGGAGAGGCGGGTGAGCGGACGCGGCCGTGGCGAGCGGGGCGGGGAGAGGAGGACGCACCCATGGTAGCTGTTGCTGGATGGCGTGCGAGGATGAAGCGAAGGACGATAGACTGTACACGAGTCGGGTAACCAGCTGCAGCAGCGTCGAGTGGCGGGAACAGAGGCCCAGCTGCCCCGTCCTCTCGCTCGTCGTCGCGATCCGCAAGGCCACGTTCGCACCTCGACTCTTTGCGCGACTCGGTGCTTGATCACATCCATGAGAACGTCACGAACATGGCTGTCATGCCCGCAGAGAAGCGCGAGGCTTTGCGGTCGAGCCGGCGCGTCGCCGCCGACCCGGCTCAGGCCAAGGCAAGCCGTTCGAGCTCTCCTCTCGCCCTCGTCACCCTGCTACCCGCCGACTCGAGCTGCTCAACTGCGCTGCGATGCCCTCGAGCTCGGCCTCGACCGCGTCGACCTCGAGCGTCCGCCTCGAAGACCACCCTGCCCTCCTCCCCGCCTCGCCTGCGCCCACCTTGTCTCCCCCACTCGCCGAGCACGACCAGCACCCGCGCAAGCGCAGGCGCATCCCCCAGGACCGTGACTCGCTCAGCTATGCCCTCAAGTCTGGCCTCGCAGGCGGCATCGCCGGTGCGTCTCGCCCTTCTCCCCGGACGGCGATGATGCGGGTTCAACCGCGGCACGCGACCCTGACCTCTGGCCTTGCCCTCCTTCCAGGCTGCGTCGCCAAGACCTCGGTCGCACCGCTCGACCGAGTAAAGATCCTGTTCCAGACCCGCAGCCCGGACTACCACAAGTACGCCGGCAAGTCGACCCTCTCTCTCCCTCGCTCCCGGCCCCATGTCCTCACACTGACCTCCCTTCGACCCACAGGCACCTTTCTCGGCGTATTTCGAGCGAGCAAGGACATCTACGCCGAGACGGGCATGCGCGGCTTGCTCCAGGGCCACTCGGCGACCCTCCTGCGCATCTTTCCCTACGCCGCCATCAAGTTTATGGCCTACGACAAGCTCCACAACGTGCGCTCACGTTCCCCTGGACCCTCTCACACGGCCAGACCCTGACCCGCGCCTCTCGGTTCGCAGACGCTCATGCCCACGCCCGCCGACGAGACGTCGGCTCGACGGTTCCTCGCCGGCTCGACCGCCGGCATCATCACGACCGCCGTCACCTACCCTCTCGAACTCATCCGAGTCCGACTCGCGTTCGAGTCGCACCACTCGGCAAAAGACCGCGCGTCGCTCCTGCGCACGATCCGCGCCATCTACCTGTCGCCGCCGCCCGTCGCACCCTCTTCCTCCTCTACCGCGGCACCCGCACCGCCACCGCCGCCGCCCACGTCGACGACGATCAAGCCTTCGATGACGCACTTCTACCGCGGCGTGTGGCCGACGCTCGTCGGCATCGTCCCGTACGCCGGCACGTCGTTCCTCATGTGGGGGTTCCTCAAGCAGGACCTCATGCCGCGGTACCTGTCGCCGTCATTCCGGCGCCGGAACCGCGCCATGCTCGACCTGCTCGCCGGCGGCGTCGCGGGCGCCATCGGCCAGACGACGGCGTACCCGCTCGACATTGTCCGGCGCCGCATGCAGGTCGGCCCCGTCATCCACGCCGACCCGCTCCGGGGCCGCGCAGGCTTCTGGGACACGGCTCGGTCCGTGTACGCCCAGGGCGGCGTGCGCAACTTTTACGTCGGCCTCAGCATCGGGTTCCTCAAGGTCGTCCCGATGAACGCCGTCTCGTTCGCCGTCTGGGTCTCGCTCAAACGTGGGCTCGGGCTCGACGAGCCGAGGGACCAGGAGGGGGTCGAGGCGCAGCGAGACGAGCCGCAGAAGCAGGTCTGAGGAGGGTGGGCGGCTCGAGAAGGAGGAGGAGGAGGAGGAGGGGCGGCGCGCGCAGTAGATTGCCGCCTCGCCGTTGGTCTAGACGCCTGTTGCCATACACACAGTCGCATGCTCGAGCACGATCGTGTCCCGCAGAGTGCCGCAGGACCCAGCGAGAGCCGAGAAAGGCGAGGAAAGGCCCGCCAGACGACGCTCAGGCCCTCTCTCTTTCTTTCTCTCTCTCTCTCGCGCTCCTCAAGACTCGACGCATCTGTCGATCGAGCGTCGTTGCACACAGCAGCAGCTACTCGATGTCCTCCTCGGCCCTCAGCTCGACCCAGAGACTCTCCATCCCGCACTCGACCTCCCCAATCTCCCACCTCGCCTCGCCTTCTCCCTCGCCGGCGCCTGCCTCGAGCCCAAGCTGCCTGAGTGGCAGTGCGACCTCCTGCGGCACGTGAGAGTGCGGCGCGACCGCGGGCGGGATGGACGGGTCGAGGGACGAGGGGGACGAGCGCGAGGGAGGGAGGGCGCCGTGTGCGAGGCGGCCGTGAGGGTTGTTGAGGCCCCAGGTGTAGAGGACCGATGACGAGGCGTGATCTGCGTATGTAGAGGCGGGCGAGGTCAGGTTTCTCGAGCCGGCGGGCGCGAGAGGCAAGGGAGGGAGAGGGAGGGGCAGGGAAAGAAGAGGACGCACCCCTGACCGCCGCAGCGTACCCCGACCCAGCCCTGATCCGACTCACACCCGCTCCCTCAAGATGCTCGACCCGCCGCGGCGCCGCGCTGTGCAGCACGCCTTGACCGAGCCCGAGCGCACCATAGCCCGCCGAGTAGACCGACCCGCGGTCTGCGAACGAGGCCGGCGCCGGCGCCCGAGAGAGTCAGTTCGGGTTCGTCGTGCGGGGAGAGAGAAGTGCGAGAGCTCGAGGGAGAGGGAGGGACGACGCAGCGATCGGGGGACGGCCCGCGCCTCGCTCCTGCCCGACCACCGCCGCATGCCGTGGCCGAGGCCTTTGGCCCCCGACGAGGCCGGACGAGGAGCCGCAGGCCAGAGCTTGCTGAAAGATACGGGTAAGACGGGACGTCCCCAGCCCTCCTTGAGAGGGCGTTCCGGTGTCTGTCGGTCGCGCCTGCTCCGACTCGTGCGCGACGAGCCGAGCGGATCTGATGGCCCCGGCGTCTCTCATCATGTCGCCGCATCGTCCACCGCCCCGGAAAAGAGAGAGAAAGCGGGGCGCACCGTCGAGAGCGAGCGCGAACGAGCCGCCGCAGCGGTAGTCGACGAGGCGGCGGTTCGAGGGCAGAAAGTCGGGCTTGATGGCGAGCGGCGACGTGATCTGGTCGATTTTCTCGCCGTGCATGCCCTGGGCGTACTCCTGCGAGGGGCGAGCGAGAGAGATGAGCTGCCGAAGCCGGAAAGGGGGAGAGCGGACGAGCGACGGACCGAGTTGCCCCACACCCACAGCGTTCCGCTCTTGGTCACCAACGCGCTCGTGTCGGCTCCTGCACTGATGCGCTCGACGCCGCCCTGCTGCTCGACCGCGAGCGGGAGCGGGACCCGCGTGAGCTCGAACACGTCGGACGACGCCGAGCCGAGCCCGAGCTGGCCGTCCGTGTTGCAGCCCGTGCCCCACACCTGGCCGTCCTCTGCGCGTTTGGAGACAGAGAGTCAGTGTTTGTAGGTTTGAAGAGAGAGAGAGAGAACGGGACGCACCGGTCAAGACGAGGAGGTGCTCGAAGCCGGCCTCGATTTGGCGAATAGGCCCGAGCCCTGGCGGTAGAGGTACTGCTGCGGCTCTCGGGAGCGAGTGCTGTCGCGGTTCTTCATGCTCTTGGAGAGCGTCGGCGGGTGGAAAGAGCGCCGGGTGCCCTAGTCGGCCGCGCGCGAGGTTGCCCATCGAGAAGAGCCGAGTGCTGTCTGCAGGTGGTCAGGGGGTGGCTCGAGACATGGCGAGGCGAGTGGAGGACGCACCTCCATCGCGCAGGACGAGGTAGGATGACTGGACGCCGGCTGCGGCGGCGAGGATGCCGTCGCCGTCAAAGCCCTCGACGAGGCCACGAGTGCCCTCCTGGCTGGCGAAGCCGACGCCGAGCTGGCCGAGCTCGTTGCGGCCGAGGGCAAAGATGCGCTCTGTGCCGGCGTGGTTGCGGTAGGCGACGAGCTGGTGGCCTGCGCCGGCGGCGAGGGCCGAGGGGACGAGGCGGACCGGGGCGGTGGTGTCAAGTTCGCGGCCGACCGAGGCGAGCCAGGCGGGCAAGGGTGCGGGTGCGAGGGACGGGTTGCTGGGCGACTGGCGGGCCTGGCCAGAGAGGGCCGAGGACGAGGACGAGGCAGGTGGGGAGAGAGGGTTGAGGCCGGCGAGGAGGAGGTGCGAGATGGTGCGGGTCGTGGCCCGGGTGGTCGACACGGCCATGGTGGAGAGGATCGAGTGCAGCACTGCTGGCTGGACGGCCGCAGTGGTGCTGAATGGAGAGAGGGAGAGACCCTCTCCTCGTCGTCGTCGTCGTCGTCGTCGTCGTCCTCTCCTCCTCTGAATCACCATGAGCGACCCGCAGCAGTTCTCTGCGACAGAGTTCTTCGATTCGCAACCCCCGCCGCCCCGGCTCGAAGAACACCTCGTCGCCGTCCAGCGTTTCGTCGAGTCCAACCTCCGCCAAGGTCGCCGCGTCGTCCTTGTCACTGTGCGTCCCCTTGCTCGCTTGCTCTGTCATTTCAAATCTCTCTAGGGCCCTGGGCCGGGCGCGTAGAGCGGCAGGGAGCGCGGGACGCGCGGGTGAACCTCGCTCGGATCAAGGTGGAGATGAGGGATTCGAGCGACGGCAACAGCTCCCGAGGGCACAAGGGCCAGCTCCACGGAGCTCAAGGGCACCCACGTCGACACCCAAGCCGGTCCACCACCAGCCTGTGCCGTCGCTGACCCCCTCCCTTCCCCACCTCTCGCAGAGTGGAGGAACGACCGTCCCGCTCGAACACAACGTGTGCGTCCTCCCTCTCGCTCCTAGACCACGTCGCGTACTGAACGACACCCTCTCTACAGCGTCCGCTTCCTCGACAACTTTTCGGCGGGCACCCGCGGCGCGGCGTCGGCCGAGCACTTCCTCCGGTCGGGTCGCTACGCCGTAATCTTCCTCCACCGCCAGCACTCGCTCCAGCCCTTCTCGCGCCACTACTCGCACTCGACCAACCCGTTCCTCGACCTGCTCGACGTCGTCGACGGCTCGGCCGCCGCCGCGTCGTCCCACGACGCCTTCACCGTCGGCAAGGGCAAGGCGCCAGAGTTCCCGCCGCCGCAGGACGGCCACCTGTTCCCGCCCATCCCGTCGATGCACTCGCCGCCAACCTCGCCTCGGTCCCGCGCCGTCCCGCTCGACGGCGTCCTGTCGCAGCAACAGCAAGGCCCCGGCGAGGACGTGTCGATCCAGATCCGGCCGCAGAACCTGACGCCCATGCTGTCGCTCCTGCGGTCGTACAAGCTCGTGCAGCACCTCAACCTCCTCGAGTCGATCCCGTTCGTCACCGTCAGCGAGTACCTGTGGCTCCTGCGCGGCATCAGCCGCGTCATGGGCCAGACGACGGACGCCGACGGCCAGGCGCTCGGCCGGCGCGGCATGTACTACCTCGCGGCCGCCGTCAGCGACTTTTTCATCCCCTACACCAAAATGGTGCGTCCAGCCTCTCTCTTGGTGTGCGCACGACGAGTGCGCCTCACTGACCGAGGACAAACACGCAGGCCGAGCACAAGATCCAGTCGGGCAAGGGCTCGCTCGTCATCGAGATGGACCAGGTGCCCAAGGTGCTCAAGACGATGGTCGACGAGTGGAGCAACGAGGGCTTCATCGTCTCTTTCAAGGTGCGCCCCTCGCCTCTCTCTTCCCCCTCGCACTTGCACACCCTGACTCTTTGCCGCCGCCCGCCACACAGCTCGAGACCGACCCAGCGATCCTGATCCCGAAAGCGCGCGGTGCGCTCGAACGGTACGGGCACCAGATCGTCGTCGGCAACCTGCTCGAGACGCGCAAGCACGAGGTCGTGTTTGTCGAGCGAGACGGCGAGGAGTGGCTCCGGATCCCGGCCGACGCCGAGCGAGGGGCCGGTGGCGAGGTCAAGGAGATCGAGGAGGACATTATCGAGCACCTGGTGGCGCTGCACGACGGGTACTGCGGCGGGGCGAGCGTGTAGAGAGGAGGTGCACAGACCCCTTCCCTCTGCGTGCGGCGACCTCTCTCGGTCGAGTGCGAGCGTCTCGTGAGCAACCAGTCGAGAGCACAAGCCCGCTCGGACGAGCAGAGGGAACGAGGCGTCGCCGGTGGTCGAGGTTCGCGCGCCAACGCGAGAGGAGGCTCTCGTCCTCCGTCAACCACCCTCGGCGCTCGCTCGACCTGTCCGCCCTGCGAGATGACTACACCGCCCCGTGAAGGCACCTTCAAGCGCCTCGTGCGCTCCCTGTCGCGCTCTGGCGGCCCCAAGTCGCCCGGCAACGAGCGGCCCCCAGCTGCCGTCCGCCGCGCCTCGTCCCGCTCCAAGCGCCAGGACGACATCCGCCGCTATGCGCCAAAGGGCGACGAGAACGTGCCGCCCATGCCCAGCCCGTCCAACGGCATCGCCTACTCGACGAGCCCTCCGCCTGGTCCGTCCCCTCTCCTCGCCTCATCTTCCTCCGGCTTCTCCGGTCTCGGCGAGGGGGCGTGCGGGCGGTCGATGGCGCGCAGCTCTGGAGCGGGTGCGAGCAGCTGTCGGTCCGCAGCACGGTGCTGCGCTCTCCCCAGCACTCGCGGCGACGAGTCGCTCTCTCCCTCTCCCCCCACTCGTCCTCGCCGCGGGGGGCCCCTCGCACGATCGCCTCACAACAAGGCGCCCGCAGAGTCGCAGACTGACCTCTCCTCACCCGTTTACAGACAGCTACTTTCCTCCTCCTCCTCTCGAAGTCCTTCAGGACACCGAGGCGTCCGGCCGCGGCCGTCACCCCGAGTCGCACGGCGCGCGCGCGTTCGACATTGGCATCGCCGACGGCGGCCACTCGGCGCCGGGCGTCACGTTCGCGCCCTCGAGCCACGGCGCCGAGAGCAAGGTCCGGCCCGACTCGGAGCTCGAGGGCTGGCGCCCGCCCGTCCGCCGCTCGGCGTCGCAGCGCGTCAAGCGCCAGCCGTCGACGTCGAGCCCGGCCACGGTCGACGCCAACGGCGGCAACGGCAACGGCAACGGCGGCGCGTCCAACCTGTCGCGGCAGCGCTCGGCGGCGACGCGCAACAACGGCGCCAGCGCCAAGGACGACGACGAGCAGCTCGCGCGCGGGTTCGGCGAGACGGTCACGATCGGCGAGCGCACGGTCGACGCGGGCGAGCGTCGCGGCGTCACGCTCGAGGACAAGCCGCTGAGCCGCAAGACGTCAACCGCGGCCGGCGGCGGCGGCGGCGGCGCAGGCGTCAAGCGCGCCACGTCGACCTTCACCAAGCGGGCGGGCAAGGCGTTCGAGCCGCCGACCAAGGGCGCCGACGACAAGGCCGTCCTCGTCCTATGCGCCGATGGCACCGAGGAGATCGAGCTCATGACGGTGTACGACGTGCTCGTGCGCGCGTCGCTGTCGCCCGTCATCGTCTCGGTGTCGCCCCAGTTCTCGCCGTCGCACTCGCTGCCGCACATGACGCTCTCGCGCGGCGCCAAGATCCTCGCCGACACGACGTGGGAGCACCTCGAGACCAAGCAGCCCGACGTCCTCGCGACCTACTTTGACGCCGTCGTCGTCCCGGGCGGCGCAAAGGGCGCCGAGCGCCTGTCGACCGACAAGGGCGTGCAGCGCCTCGTGCGCGACTACTACGACGACGGCAAGCTCGTCGCGTGCATCTGCGCCGGGTCGCTCGCGGCCAAGACGGCCGGGATCGGCCTCGGCGGGCGCATCACGAGCCACCCGAGCGTGCGCGACGACCTCGAGGGCGTGTACGACTATGTCGACGACGAGCGCGTCGTCGTCGAGGCCAACTTGGTCACGAGCCGCGGCCCGGGCACGGCGCTCGAGTGGGCGCTCGCCATCGTCGAGATCCTCGCCGGCGAGAAGAGGCGCGACGAGGTGGCCGGCCCGATGATGCTCTGAGCGAGCGGGCTCCTCTCTCCTCTCGGCTTTGCGCATCCGCCATACAGACACTGCCTCCTGTCCCGTCCCTTAGTCCCCCATTCTGTGCCCTCTCCTGGTTAATCTCGCCACGGTCATCATCTCTCTCTCGCAACTCGATGGTTCCTTTCGCCTTTCGAACGCTCTCGGGCGCCTCTCGTGTTCCTCGAGAAGAGAAGAAAGAACGGAAAGCGAGACGTGCCCCGAGTTGCAGAGTGCGAGGGACGGAACGAGGACGAGGGAGAGAGCTATCTACAGTACACGAGGATGGAGAAAGGGGACCGAGCGGCGGCGACGACGACGACGACAGTCACCAGGACTGGGCACGTCACCTCGCCGCGAGAGAAAGAGAGAGAGAGAGAGAGGACGACCGCGCCCTCGCTCACTTGAACACGACCCTGAGCCCGAGCGAGAACGGCATGCTCGCGTCCGTGACCGTCACCTCGCCGCCGTCGGTCGCCGCCGCCGCGCCGGCGTCGCCGTCGGTCGCGAGGAGCTCGCCGAGCGTGAGGGCGAGGTTGGGGCGCGTCGCCTGCTCGAGCTGCGGCGGGGCTTGGAGGTACAGCGACTTTGTCGCCGTGCGGAGCGAGGGACGGCGGATCTGCCTGCGAGGGAGTTCGCAAGGGTTGGCCGGAACGAGGGTGAGGGCAAGGGCGAGTGCGGGTACGAGGGAGAGTCGAGGTGTCGAGGCGGAAGGGGAGAGACGGGGCGCGAGAGAGTCAGTGAGTGCGTCCTGGAGGTCCGTGCGGCCCTGACGCCTCGACACGTGGCCGACAGGGTGCTCGTCGCCGCATTCGAGAGGGCCGGCAAGGGCACGAGAGAGAGATGAAGAGAGCAGAGCGCGACGTACATGTCCTGGCGCTCGAGGAGCAAGTCGATCAGGTCCTGGAGGCTCGTGTCGCGGTCGAGCTCGACGACGACCTTTTCGCCGCCGCACACGGGGCACTCGGGCTTCTTCTGGTGCTCGAACGTGTACGTGTAGATCGACTCGTTGCCCGTGTACATCCTGCGAGGCGCGCGAGGGGGTTGTCAGTTTTGGCCGTCGACGACGAGCGCGAGGGGGCCAAAGAGAGGTTTGGGGGCCGAGAGACGGACATGTAGTTGTTGAGGTACGGGTTGGAGCTCGTCGCAATCTTGAACGCCTCGTTGCAGCACGCGGCGGCGACGATGGCGTTGGTGCTCGCGATGGCGGGGATGATGCGCTTGACGACGCCCTGCGTCAGGCTCCACGTGACGCCCGGGATGTTGTGCTCGTCGGCGCGGGCACGGGCGACGTCGTACAGCCACTGGATGTGCTCCGGGTCGTCGTTGTCGAGCTTCTTGTCTGCGAGGGTCCGTGCGCGTGCGCGAGGGAGGTCAGGCGCGCTCGAGGGCGACGACGAGGTGGTGCGAGCAGGACGCACCCTTGAAGACCTTTGGCCACTCGAGGATGCTGGCCCACTCGATGCAGTGCTCGGGGAGGCGGGGCGTGTTGGCGATGGTGCAGATGGGGAAGGCGGTCGGCGGGGTGAGCATGTCGAGGCTGCACTCGTAGCAGCTCGTGATGGTGGGCAACATGACGCGCGCCTGGCCCTTGAAGCCCTCGGTGCCGCCGTCGATGAGGGGCTTGAGGCTGTCGGGGTTGTCGCCGTCGACGAGGTTGACGAGGGTCGCGCTGATCCACCGGCGGGCGTCGACCGAGTCGAGGCCGCAGATGACGAGGTTGAACTGGAGGTAGTAGTCGTCGTCCTTGTCCTGGATCTTGCCGTGGTACCTGGGGGGGGGGGCGCACGGGGCGAGCATGTGAGCTTGTGTCGTCGGTCGCGAGAGCGGGAGAGAGGGGGGGAGGAGAGACGCACGGGGTCACCTTGCAGCCCGGGACGCGCTTCATGACAAAGTCGGCCGCGCATAGGGCCTTTGACTTGCCGACGTGCTCGGGCCTGTGCGCGTAGGGGGAGGTGGGTGAGCGAGGGATGGACGGGCGAGTCGACGAGGAGGAGGACGAGACGGACCGGAAGAGGAACTGGCGGTTGAGGTTGGAGATGTCGATCGTGTCCATGTCGATGACGTGGATGTCGGCAAAGCCCATCAAGGCGAGGTTGGCGAGAATCTCGCACCCGAGGCCGCCGGCGCCTGTTGGTGGTGGGGGAGGAGGTGAGCGAGGTGGGCTCTCTGTCTCGAGGGCAAGGAGGAAAGGGGAGCTGACCGATGACGAGGACCTTGCACTGGGTGTGGAGGAAGTGCTTGGCCTGTTCTGCGCCCGGGAACTCGTCTGGGTCGACGAACGGGCCGGGATGCGACAGGACGCGGTCGAGGTGCGCGAAGCGCGAGTCGGACTGGAGGACCATGGCGGTGGCTTGTGTAGCTCTGTGGGTGTGTGGTGGCACTCTGATGAGCGCAGTCGACGCAGAGCGGGACGAGCGAGGGTCAACCCGAGGAGGTGGAGATGAAGTCGCTCGGAGGTTGGCTCGCTGTCCCTCTTTGAGCTCACCGCCAGAGCAAAGCTACTGTGCACAGCATGGCTCGCACAAAGCCCAAATCGACCCTCGAGCCCTCGCGCAACCCTCCCACCCCCTCCCTCTCCTCGACCTCCTCCTCGTCCTCCTTCTCTCGCCCTCAGCAACCCGAACTCGTCCCCGTACGCCACTACCTCCCGCGCGTCCCCTTGCAACTCTTCGCCGTCGCCTTCTCCCTCGTCGCCGCATCCACCTCGCAGGACAAGCACCTCGCCGCACCCGCCCGCTTCCTCCAGGCCCTTCACCGCGAGCCCCTCAAGACCCTCCCCGTCGTGTGCGCCGCACTCGCAGCCATCCAGACCTGGTTCGCCTACTCGCTCCGCTCCAACCGCATCGCCAGCCTCGCCCGCCTCAACCACAAGGGCACCGACGCACCCGCTCCCGCTCCTTCTCGCGCCGCCGCCGCGAGGGGCACCGGCTTCCGCGGCAGCCTTGCCACCATGTGGGACGCCGCCATGAGAGGAGAGGCGCCCACAGAGGCCCTCTGGAAGAAGCGAGCACTGCGCAGGGGCGCCCACGCCAAGGCCGCCATCGACACGAGCGTCCGTCTCTTCCTCTTCTCCCTCGTCCTCTTCCTTGGCCGCCGACTGACGTACCCTCTCGTCGCGCACACAGTTCGTCGGCGAGGCCATCATGGTCACCTGGCTCGGCACCCTCGCCATCCACGCCTGCACCGTCCTCCTCGGCGCGCCCCTCACCTCGTGCGCCCCCTCTCTCGCTCTCGAGCCCCCTCACTGTCGTCGCGACACGAGCCTGACTCGTCTTATCACTCGCGCAGCAACCTCACGTCGACGTACCTCTTCTCGCTCCTCGTGTCGATCCTCGCCATCCTCCCGCTCGCCATCGCCCTCCCGCTCTCGGACACCTCGGCGCGCTTCGTCTGGCTCCGCCTCGCCTCGACCTTTACGTGCGTCTCTCGTCTCTCCTCCTCGTTCCTCCACAGCGCACGTCATTGACAGGTGAGCATGGTTCCGCGCCCGCAGCCCGACCGACGACCTCGAGCTCGCCCTGTTCGCGCCCGCGCTCGGCACGCTCGTCGGGGCCTGGCTCGGCGCCGTGCCCATCCCGCTCGACTGGGACCGGCCTTGGCAGGTGCGTCGCCTCGGTCCTCCTTCGTCGCCTGCGTCCGCATCGACGAGAGCCGCACCTGACGCCCGACCTGCCTCCCTTCCTCTCTCCCCTCGCTTCTCCTCCCGCCTCTCTTCCCTCGCTCCTCCCGCACACACACGCACACGCAGCAATGGCCCACGACGCCCGTCCTCGGCGCCCTCGCCGGCCACGCCCTCGGGTCGCTCGTCGCCCTCGCGCGCATCGCCTACGGCGGCGTCGTGCGCGCTGCGGTCGACGTGCTCGAGGAGGCCGGGCAGCAACAGCAGCAGCAGCAGCAGCGGGGTGCGCAGCAGGGGCAGGGGCGGGAGGGAGGGAGGAGGAAGCTCAAGGGGCAGTAGACGGGCGAGCGAGAGTGGCTGAAACGAAGCCTGTTCGCGCTCGAACCCTCTTGGACCGAGAGGACTCTCTCTCGTACTCTCGCTGGCTCTCGAAAGCTCAAGTTAGGCTCTATGCGCTCCTTTTGTTGCAGTGCTGCGCCTCGCCCCCCTCGAGCCAGTCCATCTCGAGCTTCGTCCCCGCTCCCTCGCCCGTCTACGCCCTCGCGCCCGCCGCGCCCCTCGAGGGCTCAAACACGGGGAACGGGTGCGCCTCGGTGTTGAACACGTACCGGTCGAGGGGCACGACCGAGTCCTCGCTGAACAAGAGGTACAGGTACTTGAGCGTCTCGGAGAGCCAGAACGTCTCCATGCGGTCCTCGTGCACGACGGGGACCCGGTCGACGTCGCGGATCCCGGCATAGCCGCCACTGGGGAGCTTGCAGTGCGCCGTAAAGGCGAGGAAGATGCGCCAGCCCTGCCGTGCGCGGGAAAGGAGGGAGGGAAAGAGGGGGGTCAGTGCGGGCTTGGGCAGGGCAGGAGAGGGGGCTGTGACAGTTGCGGAGAGTCGAGGTGACGTTGTCGATAGAGGTCGAGAGGCAAGGGCGGGAGAGAGAAAGGGGGGAGAGAGAGAAAGGGGAGAAACAGAGCGTGGACGCACCCAGTCACGGTACACCGGGTCGCCCGTGACGCGGTACGCAACAAACAGGCTCTCGACCGTCTCGGGCCGGAGGATGTTGCGCGCGTCGATCGGCGGCTGCGCGATGCCGGCCTGGCCCGGCTTGCGCGAGTTGATGAACCAGTCGCGGTTGGTCTGAAGCGCCTTGAGCGGCGACAGGTGGAAGTTGACGATCTGCGAGACGCAGTGCAAGGGGTCAGTGAGGGAGTCTCGAGGCGTCGGCAGGAGGAGGGAGGGAGGGCCAGGCGATTGAGTTGGCGAGAGGAGGGAGGAAGGGCGAGAGGGTCCGAGCGAGACGGCGACGCACCTCGGGCGCCAGTCCCGTCTTGCTGCTCGCGTACGTGTCGACGCACGTCCGGATGAGGGCCTTGCCGGCGTACCAGTCGTCGCGCTGCGCCTCGGAGAACTGCGTCTCGTCGGGCGGGACCGCGAGCCGGTTGCCGTCGGTCGCGCCGAGAAGGAGCGTCGCGCCAAGGAAGCACGCGAGGTGGTCTTGCTAGAGGTGTCGAGAGGGCGAGGGAGAGGGGACCGAGGACGAGGGAGGACAAAGTGAGGGTCAGTGAGGCGCAAGGGAGGCGAGGGAGGCTCGAGCGCACCTTGGGCGTGTCGGACATCTCGCTGCGGGACATGACGGCGAGTGTCAGTTCCTCGTCTCCTAGAGCGAGCGCGTCGAGAGAGAGAGAGGAGGACGCACAAAGCGCCCGTCATCGGGTTCCGGCTCGGCAAGAGCTCGCTCGTGTAGACAAAGTTCTTGGCCGCGCTCTTTTTCAGGAGGTGCTTCTTGATGCCGCCCATGGCCAGGTCGTGCATGTCGCGGTACGTGTCCTCGGTACGGTTCGTCTGGAGGTACTGCTTCGAGAGGTACTCGTAGTACGAGTCGCCGCGCGAGCCGAGGCGCACGTCCGAGAAGACGAACGAGCCCGTGTCGGGACTGTGGAGGGGGCGCTCGAGACGAGGTCAGTCGTCGATCTCGACGTCGAGAGGAGGAGAGGGACGCACCGCATGAAGATGGGCACGAGGCCGTCCTTGGACGGCTGGTTGCGGATCACGTCCATGACCTTCTCGACCTTTTGCCAGTACACGTCGTTGCCCGTCAAGTGCGACAGGTACTTGAACTCGAGCTGGAGCGTGCTGTGGACGGGCAGGGCGAGCCGTGAGTCGGTCTTTCCCTGGGTCGCTCGAGAGGGAAGGGGACTGAGCGCTCACCCAGCCTCGGCGACACTCGTCAGGCCGTTGTTGTCGACATCAGGGACGCCCTTTCGCTGCGCGAGGTTGACGAAGCTCGTCGGCAGACCAGAGGGCTGCAGATGAAGGGTCGTCAGGGCGGCTCGACGAGGAGAGAGAGGGAAAAGTGAGCGCACCGTGTCAAACGCGGGCAGGAGGCGGTCGGCAAGGTCGACGGCCTTGTCGAGGAGGACCTGGTCCGTCTCGCCCGAGAAGTGATACGCCGACAAGAGGCCACCCAGGACGCGAATCGTGATCTGTGGAGCGAGGGCTCGAGTCAGTCGTGCTGCTCGGCGGCGAGAGGACGATGGGGCGCACCTCGAACGTGTGGAACTTGTCGTCGAGGTCAAAGTTGACGTTGGCGACCCAGTCGCGAGCGCGCTTGTACTCGTCGTCGAGGCCGACGAGCAAGAGCGAGTCGAGCGAGTCGATGAGGAAGTAGCCGACGGGGCCGGCGGGCGACATGTTGGTGCCGTGGTGCGAGATCGGGTGGTAGCTGTGGGCGGCCGTCGTCAGTAAGGCTGCTCTGGTGGGGCGAAAGGAGGGTGGGGACGCACTCGTCAAAGCCGAACGCGTCTCGCTCGTACGCCGAGTACGAGTGCTGCAGGCGGGAGAGAGAGTGAGCGCGGGTTCCGCGTCAAGTCGGCGAGCGGGGGGGCGCACCTTGAAGGCCTGGAGGATGGCGTCCCTGCGCTCTTGGTCGCGCACGATAGGCTCGAACGCGGCCGGCTGCTGCTCGTCGTCGACGGTCGGCGCGGCCGGTTGCGGCGGCGGGGCGACATCGGCGTCGGTGTCGAGCTTAACCTTGTTGGCAGGCTTGGCGTGGAGGCGGTTGTAGAGGATGTAGAGGGCGAAAGCGCACAGCGAGATGCGGAAGCAGAGGAAGACGATGCGCAACGGCGAGGGACGACGAGGTGGGGGAGCCTTTGCCGGTTTCGAGGCGGCGGGGCGAGCTGGTTGTGCGGGTGCGGCGACGGGAGCCTTTGCTGGAGGCTTCTGGGCGTCTTTCCTGCGGGCCATGGTGCGGGCAGGTCGAGGTGGGAGAGAGCGAGCGAGCGAGGATAAGGTGGACGCGGAGCAACACCGCGTGGACCACTCTGATCAGCACGCGACTCGCCTTGACCATGGCAGACAGCGCAGCAGCTCCTCCAGCACCACTACCACCAACAGCCGCAGCCCCGCCCGAGCCCGCTCCCTCGACCTCGACCTCGTCCACCTCCGCCTCAGCTCCAGCACCGCCGCAGCCCACACTCGACCGCGATGCGCGCAAGCTGATCCGTGCTGGCGACAACGTCCTCCTCAAGCTCCCCTCGGGCGTCCTCAAGCCCATAAAGCTCAACCCGGCCTCGTGCGTCCTCCCCCCTTCCTCCTCCCTCCCCATCCTCATCTCTCGAGCTCACCTCGCCTCCCCCTCGTCCTCCTTGTTCCGCGCACGCAGCAAGATCTCGCTCGGCAAGTACGGCACCTTCACTGGCGGCGAGCTCGTCGGCAAGGCCTACGGCCACACGTACGAAGTCCGCGACGGCGGCAAGCTCCAGCAGCTCCGTGTCACGCTCAACGAGATCGGTGCGCCCCTCGTTCTCTCCTCTCGTGACCTCAGAGCGCAAGCTGACACGTCCGTGTGCGCGCGCAGAGGAGACCGAGGCCAACAACGAGTTCATCGCGTCGCAGGGCGCACAGACGCTCTCGCCCGACGAGATCCAGGCGCTCAAGGACAGCGGCCTGTCGGGCAGGGTCCGTTCCGCTCCTCCTCGATCGTTCACTCGACTCGACGCGTTACTGACATCGAGCGCACGCCCGCAGGAGATCATCCAGAAGCAGATCGAGGAGCACAAGTCGTTCGAGCTCAAGACCGAGTACTCCAAGGAGAAGTACCTCAAGCGCAAGGAGGCCAAGTGCGTCCTCTCCTCCTCCCTCTCCTTCATCCTTAGGTCAAATGTCCTGACGTGCGCCCTCTCGCAACAGATGGATGCAGGTCTTTACGCCGCTCGAGCCGACCGTGCACCAGATGGCCCAGTTCCACTTCGACAAGCAGCCGTCCAAGACGCGCGAGCTGCGGCCCGACACGCTCGCCAACATGCTCGCCATGGCCAACGTGCGCCCGGGCAGTCGGCTCCTCGTCGTCGAGGACATGGGCGGCATGATCGTCGCCGCCGCCGTCGAGCGCATGGGCGGTGCGTCGACGCGCGTTCTCCCTCTCTCGTCTTCTTCGAGCGTCACTCGAGACGCAGGACCTGACGTTCGACCCGATGTGCTCGTCGCACAGGCAAGGGCCGCATCATGGTCGTCAACGACGCCGACTCGCCGCCCGACCTGCACCTGCTCGACACGTTCAACTTTGGCGCCGCCGAGACGAGCCCGATCGTGTCGCTGCACTGGGCCGCGACCGACCCGTCCTGGAGCCCGCCCGACCTGCCCCTCGAGGTGGGCGACCTCGCGGCGGCCGACAAGGCGGTAGCGGCGGTCGACGACGGCGAGGGCGACAAGGGCAAGGACAAGGGCAAGGAGGCGGCCAAGCGCAACAACTCGCGCGACGTGCAGAAGCTCAAGAAGCGCAGGGCGGCGTTCGACAAGGCGCGAGAGGCGCGCGAAGAGTTCCTCACCGGCGGCTTTGACGGGTGCGCTTCCCCTCTTTCTCTCTCTCTTTCTCCCTCGCCCTTGCCCTTTCGTGGACGAGGAGTTCACGCGGCTCTACTGTGCCCGCAGCGTCATCATCGCGGCAGAGTACGAGCCGTACTCGGTCATCGAGCGGTTGCTGCCGCGCATCGGCGGCTCGGCGTCGGTCGTCGTCTACTCGCCCCACCTGCCTGTGCGTCCCTCTCCCTTCTTCCCCTCTCTTTCCCTCCAGTTCATCGCTGACTCGAGCCTCTCCCGATCCCTCGCAGCTGCTCCTGCCCGTCCTCCTGCGCCTGCGCCAGCACCCGGCCATCATCGCGCCGACGATCCACGAGCCGTTCCTGCGGCAGTACCAGGTCCTGCCCGGGCGCGCGCACCCCGAGATGCAGGGCATGGCGAGCGGCGGCTACATCCTGAGCATGGTGCGCGTGTGGGAGAACGACGAGGCGAACGCGGTGGGCGTCGGGAGGACGAGGGGCAAGCGCAAGGCTGGTGCGAGGGACGGCGCGGCGGCGAGTGGGACGAGGACGTCGAAGGAGGTGGGTGGTGACGAGGCGGCGAGGAAGAGGGCAAAGGTCGAGGACGACGCGGCGGGTGCGAGCGCGACCGGCGACTCGATGGTCGTCGACGGCGAGGCGGCATGAGGTCCTCTCGTCTCTCTCTAGACTTGGCGCACTCGCATGCAACTCTCGATGCATGCTGCGCACGTTGTCTGGTACCTCTCGCTTTCCTAGCGAGCGAAAGGCACTCTCTCGCGCACGCGCTCTCTTTCTTTCTGGCGAACAGCAGACTCGGGCACGGCGAGGGTGACGGCTGGCTGCATTGCGTGCGCCGAGACTGCGAGTCGGTGCTGGAGAGGGTATCGACGGCGAGGAGGGTATCTTTGAGCGCCAGGCGAGCGAGCGGGCGGGCAGGCGGGGCGAGGTGTCGGTCCGAGGGTTGAGAGCGAACGAGGACGAGAGGGTGACCTCGACGAGCCAGCGGCGGTTGCTGCAGGGTCACTGCGGTCAGTCTTGAGGCTCGGGCGGTACGCAGAGGCACGGTGGCGCACCTGAACGGGGGGGGGCCTGAGAGGTGCGGGATCTAGTGCTGGGCGGTGTCGGCGGCGAGGGCCCTGCGCTCGCGCTCGCGCTTGTCGTTGACCTCGAGGAACTGGTAGATGACGATGCCGGCGACTGCGAGGGTGCCAAGCGTGTTGGCGAGGTTGCTCAGGAGGACGTCCGAGATGGGCGACATGGTTGGTTGGTGGGTGGTCGAGGAGGGGCGAGTGGGTGGACCGGTGCTGCTCGGGTGTGCAGGCTGGGCTTGAGCTTGTGCGGGTGCTACAGCTGGCCGGTTTGGTCCTGGTGATGACAGCGAGGCGATGGTGGCTCGTCGTCGTCGTCGCTGGCGAGCTGGCGCGGCCTCCTCTTGACCTCTGTCCCTCAACTGCCAGCCACCCGCACCCAGCTCCAGCTACCCGAGACTCGCCCAACAGCACTCGCTCGACCTCCACCAGGCTCAACCACCCACCCTCGACCACCGCTCACCTCGCCCGCGCTCCTCCTCGCCGCACCGCCTCCTCGCCCCGAAGCACCCACCTCGCACCGAGCACACGCCTCGCCTCCCTCGTTCAGCGACCACCTCGTCCACCTCGTGAGTCCCACCCGTCCTCTCGCACCCTGCACCCCCTCGCGCGCCTCGTCCACCCGTGTCTCGCCCGCCACTCTCGCCCACCTCGGCCATGATGCGCTGCGTCCTCGGCCAAACCGGCTTGCGCGCTACAACCGCGCAGCATGGCCGCGTGCATCCCCTGCACCCTCCATGAGCAACTGTCTGCACACCCGCAAAGACCGCGCACTGACTCAGCGCGTCACCTCCCCCTCCTCCCCCTCGTTCCGGACCCCGCCTCGCGCCTTATCGCCTTCCCCCCCAGACTCGCAACCTCCCAACGCCATGCACTGCTTCGTTCGCGACCTCTCGGGCAACTCGCTCTCCTTCGGTGCGTCCCCGCCTCATCTCCCACTCGACGAGCGCGCCGGCACTGACCCCCTCTCGCGCGTGCACAGACGCCAGCACCGTCCACGAGCTCCAGTTCGCGCTCGCCGACCGCACCGGCATCCCCATTCCCGAGCAGCGTCTCGTGTACGGCTCGCGCCAGCTCGTGTCGACCCGCGACGAGTCGCTCGCCTCGTTCGGCATCGTCGAGGGCTCCACCGTCGGCCTCGCCCTGCGTCTCAAGGGCGGCGCGCCCAAGAAGCGCTGCACGGCCATGCTCTCGGCCACCGACCGGTGCAGCCAGGCGGCCGTCCGCATCGTCGGCGACTGCCAGCTGTGCCAGGCCGCCTTCTGCTCGCGGCATCGCCTCGCCGAGGGTGCGTCCTCGTCCACCTTGTCTCGTTCGCGTCCACGGTCCTAACCCTTGTCCCCCTTGCGCAGACCACCACTGCCCCAAGCTGTCCGACTGCCGCGAGCAGGCGTTCCTCAAGAACAAGACCAAGCTCGAGGCCGAGGCGACGCCGTCCGAGAAGCTCGCGCGGGTCTGAGCCCCTCTCCCTCCTTCCTCCCTCCCTCCCTCCCGATACCCCTTGCCCCCCTCCTGCATGTGCCTTCCCTGCCTCCCTCCCCTGTCGCGTGTATACCACCGCTCGTCTACCCCCGCGCCCCCTCTCTCCCACCTTGTTGCGACTTTCTTCCTCCTCGTCGACTTAGCAGGCATAGACTGCCCAGCTCTGTTCTCGCCTCGTGTCTAGATGCCCCGCGTCCCTCTTCCCTGACAAGTCAACAGCTTTTGCCGTCTCTCGAGATGCGTGCGAGCGAGAGAGAGCGGTCGAGCCCCGTGCGAGAGACCGGCGACTTGTTCAAGCCGGGTCGGCCTGAGCAGCCTGGCTCGCCCTGCACCGCAGCTTGCGAGTTGGCTTGCTGTTTGCTGCTGCTCTGCTACACACCAGCTCGCTTGACTCTGTGCGCGCATTCATCGATCCTCGCCCCGTCACGTGCACCCCGCCGCCGCCTCCTCCGACTCATCGCGCCGAATGCCTCCCTCGTCCTCCGCCTCGACCTCGTCTGCTGCTGCCCGCCTCCACCAAGTGTCGCACCACATGGCCGCCTCTACCTCGTCGTCGTCGACCGACGGTGCGTCGCGCCGCTCCTCTTTCCCCCTCGCTCCCCTTCTCCACTTTCCCCTCGCCCCTCCCCACCTTGTCGCCACAGCCTCGCGCCGCACCTGCAGCACGCCGAGCCCACTCGATGCACGCCTACCTGCGCACCCGAGCTGACCCCGTCTCACCCGCCCGTCGCCCGCCCCAGTGTTCGCCTCGACCCCTCAAGCTCCGGCCGACCCCATCTTTGCCCTCACGGCGGGCTACCAGGCCGACTCGTTCAAGCAGAAGGTCAACCTCGGCGTCGGCGCGTACCGCGACAACAACGGCAAGCCGTTTGTGCTCCCCGTCGTGCGCAAGGTGCGTCTTCTCTCTCTCCGAGGCGTGGGTGGTCGAGGAGGCGATGAGCGGGTCAGGCGGCGGTGGTCGTATCTTGAGTGTGGCCGTCAGCCGGCTGGGCAGATGCACGAGCAGGAGCAAGAGCCGTCACTGACCCCTCGCACTCGTTCCCGACCCGCAGGCCAAGCAGATCCTCGCTGCCGACGAGTCGCTCGACCACGAGTACCTGCCAATTGCGGGCCTGCCCGCCTTCGTGAGCGCGACGGGCAAGCTCATCTTTGGCGCCGACAGCCCGGCCATCAAGGAGGAGCGCGTTGTCTCGTGCGTCCCCCCACTTTCGCTCCGTCTTGCACCCAGCCCGGCGAGGCGGCACTGACGACGGTTCGAGGCGCGAACGACGGCGTGCAGGATCCAGACCATCTCGGGCACGGGCGCCAACCACTACGGCGGCGCGTTCCTCGAGCGCTTCTACGAGCCGTGGCTCGGCAAGTCCAAGGAGGACAAGGTCATCTACGTCTCGAACCCGACCTGGGGTGCGTCCCCTCTACTCTTCTCTCGCCGTCTCTCGAGCACCCGAGCCCTGACGAGCGCCGCCGAGCAACTCGCAGCCAACCACAAGGCCATCTTCAACTCAGTCGGCCTCACCCCGGTCGACTACCCGTACTACGACCCGCAGACGATCGGCCTCGCCCTGCCCAAGTTTCTCGAGTTCCTGCGCAACGCTCCGAAGCAGAGCGTGTTCCTCCTGCACGCGTGCGCCCACAACCCGACCGGCGTCGACCCGACTCGCGAGCAGTGGCAGGAGATTGCCGCCATCTTCAAGGACAAGAGCCACTTTGCCTTCTTCGACTGCGCGTACCAGGTGCGCACTCGCTCTCCCTCTCTCGCGACGAGGCGAGTGACGAACGAGGACCTGACAGCGAGCGACACACAGGGCTTTGCGTCGGGCGACCTCGACAACGACGCGTGGGCGGTGCGCCACTTTGTGTCGCAGCGCATCCCGCTCCTCGTGTGCCAGTCGTACGCCAAGAACGCCGGCCTGTACGGCGAGCGCATCGGCGCCCTCAACCTCGTCGCGTCGACGTCGGGCGACGGTCCCGGCGGCGCCGCCCGCCTGCGGTCGCAGCTCCTGATCCTCCAGCGCCAGGAGATCTCGAACCCGCCGACGTTCGGCGCGCGCATCGTCGGCATGATCCTCAACGACGCCGACATGTTTGACGAGTGGAAGCGCGACGTCAAGACGATGGCCGGGCGCATCATTGCCATGCGCGAGCGCCTGCACGACTTGCTCGTCAACGAGCTCAAGACGCCGGCGCCCGGCCCCAACGGGTGGGACCACGTCACGAAGCAGATCGGCGTGCGTCCCTGTCCACTCTCTCTTTCTCTCTCGCCTGGGGCGTGTCGGTCGAGGTCGTCTGACCTTTGCCTCCTCCCTCCTTGCTCCTCCCTCCTCCTCGACGCCCTCTCCCTCTCGCCTCCCTCACAACTCTCGCAGATGTTCACCTTCACCGGCCTCACGCGTGCGTCCCGCTCTCTCCCTCTCTCGCCCTTTCCCTCCCTCGCTCGGACCCTGACCTTCCTCTCCTCCCCTCGCCTCGCCCCTCTCGCAGCGCCGCAATGCAAGGCCATGGTCGAGCGCGGGCACGTCTACATGACGGGCAACGGGCGCATTTCGATGGCGGGCATCAACGACGGCAACGTCGAGTACGTCGCCCAGTGCGTCGACAAGGCCATGAGGGGCACGCTCTAGACGGCCGGCGCGGTTGGTGCGCTCGCCGGGGAGGCGTAGATGATCCTGCGCTCCGTCGAGGGCGCGGGCAAGTGTTCAGATGCAGTGCAGGAGCTTTGTCCGTACAGGCTCGTCGACGTCGAGGTCGAGGAGAGCGAGAGCGAGACCTTTCTTTGACGGCTCGCCTCTCGCCGGCTGTGTCGCTGGCTCTCACGAGCGGCTCTGTCGACGCTCTGGCTCGTCGTCGCGAGGAGCGGCGAGAGGAGGAGCTCGCTCAAGCGGCAATCGAGGAGAGGACAGCTGCAAGCGGTGCGAGCACAAGCCCAAGCCAGTGCGGGCCGGCAACGCGCCGCCCGTTCTGCACGATCGAGGGACAGCTCTGACGATGTGCGGACGAGGCGCAATTGAGGCGAACGGGCCCGTGCTTGACGAGGGGAGCGAGGCGTGTGCGTGGTGGGCGCGCGCGGGCGGGGAGTCTCTGGCTCTGAGGACGCGCTCCCTCTTGGTCCTCTTCTCGTCACTCGCCCTCCCTCTTTCCCTCCCACACCCACTCGAGCACCTCGCACCGCATCACTGTGAGCCTGTGCAGCTGTCCTTGCCCCCTCTCGTCGCCCACACGCTGACCCTCGCGCCGTTCCGCACCCTCCCCCTCCCCCCGCGTTTATCCAGATGTCTGCCGCCGTCGAAGCCGCCCCTGCGCCCGCCGCCACCCTCCCGGTCGAGGAGACCACCACGGCTACCACGCCCGCCATCGTCGAGCCCACCCCGGCCGCCGAGCCCGCCCTCGAGTCGTCGGAGCCCACGACGGCCGCCGCCGCCGACGAGCACCTCGACGGCGCCACCACGCCGCCGCACAAGAAGCGCCAGCCGTTCGCCGTCCTCAACAAGATCTTCCACCACAAGGTGAGCCCACCGCATGCAGCTTTTCTCCCTCCCCCGTCGTCTCGCTCGACCCTCCCGCTCCCCCGCTATCCGACCCCACAAGCGGGCGCGCGCTCGCCCTTACGGGGCGCGTGTGCGCCGGCGCACCCTCGCTCGGCCTCGAGTCAAGCTCGTTGGTTGGTGCTCGGGCGCGCGAGGGTCCACCTCGAGCTGCGAGGGCGACGGTCACGCGCCGGGAGCTTTCACGCGCGACTGTGGGCGCGGCGTGCCTCAACTCGGCGGGTGGGGCTGCGGGTGCGCGAGGGGGGCCAGCCATTGTCGGCGCCCATGGGCAGCTCGACCTTGTGTGCGACGCGTGTACGCTCGCTGTCGTCGAGCGCCGCCGGCTTCGAGTCTCTTTCGTCGAGCGAGCACCGCCTCGTCGAGGTCTCATCACCTCGCGCCGTCAATGACGACGAGCAGCATCCGCCTTCCTCACCGGCCAAGGAGCATGACTGACTCTCCCGTTCGCTCCTTGCGTCGCAGTCGAACCCGACCTCGCCGACCGCCGAGACGGCCGACCCGATCAAGGAGACGCAGGCGCCGGCTGCTGTCGTCGACGAGACCCGTGCGTCGCTTCTCTCTCTCTGCGCCTCGTCCGCCTCTCTCGACCCCTACTGACTCGTCGATCGTTTGCAGCCGTCGAGGCCGCCAAGCCCGTCGAGACCACTCCCGTCGCCGTCGCCGAGACGCCCGCTGTCGAGGCCGAGGCGGGCCCTGCCTCGCTCGCTGTCGAGGAGGACAAGAAGGACGGCGCCGCCGTCAAGGACAAGAAGCCCAAGAGCCCGGGCGTGTTCGACAAGTGCGTCCTCCTGTCCGCCCTTCTGACCTCCCTCGAGAACGAGTCACTGATCCTCGTTGCGAGTCCTCCTCCCAGGGTCAAGTCGTTCTTCGGCGAGAAGGAGAAGAAGGACAAGAAGGGTGCGTCGCTTGTTCTCTTGCCCACCCACAGCCAGATCTTGACCCAGCCCGTTCCCCGCTCGCAGTCAAGACCCCGACCGAGGAGAAGGCCGAGCCGGTCGCTGTCGAGGCCGTCCCTGTCGCCGCCGCCACCGAGGCCGACGCTCCTGTGGCTGCGGCCCCCGTTCACGCCGCCGAGCCGAGCGTCGTCGCGCCCGAGGCCGTCGCCCTCGCCGAGGCGTCGGCCGCCGCTGCCGCCCCGGTCCCGCAGGTCATCGAGCCCGTCGCGGGCGAGCCCATTGTCGAGCCGACCAAGGACGAGCTCGAGGCTGCGGCCACCGCCGTCAAGCCCGAGGTCGCCGTCGCCGAGCCGGTCGCCCCGGTCGAGGAGTCGTCGCCGGCGCCGGCCGCTGTCGAGGCTAAGAGCGACGACGTCAAGTTCGACGAGGCGGTGCGTCCTCCCTCTCTCTCCTTTCCGTGACTCTCGTTCTCTCTGTCGAGGACGCATTACTGACTGCCTCGCCTGTCGCACGCAGGCCAAGACGGACGACAAGGCGCCCAAGCGCGACCTCGCCAAGCTCGCCCGCCGCCTCAGCGGCAAGGTCGGCGGCTTCCTCGGCACGCCCAAGAAGGAGAAGAAGGAGAAGGACCTCGTGCCCGCCGTCGCCGCCACGTCGGCTGACGAACCCGCCGCGTCGACCTCGGCTGAGGCGCCCAAGATCGAGACGCCCGTCGACGAGTCGAAGCTCGACGCTGCTGCGCCCGAGGCGGTCAAGGCCGACGAGGTTGTCGAGCGGGTCAAGGCCGACGAGCCGGTCGAGGCCGCCAAGCTCGACGAGGTGCGTCCCTCGCCCTTTTCCTCCTTGCCTCGAGTCGCCTTCCCAAACTGACACTCGTCGCTCCTCGCCTCGCAGGTCATCGCCCCGGTCGACACCACCGGCGAGGAGCTCGCCAAGGACGTCGAGGTCAAGAAGGAGGCCGAGCCCTTCGTCGCGACCCCTGCGCCCGTCGCCGTCGTCGCTTGAGCGCGCTCGCGCTCTCTCGCCCTTTCTCTGTCCGCTCCCTCCCACACCCTCTGTCTAGCATACCCCGCCACTCGTCTGCCCCTCCCTCGCTTGTCTACCCTCTCGTTACCGTGCCGTCGCTCGCCTAATGTTCGCGCCTCGTCGACTCGACCCTCCCTCCCTCCCCCTCGATCATGCCCCCTCGTCTTTGCAGTCACCCTTATCGGCCCCGTGCCTCTCCTTCGTAGCGCCCCCCTCTCACTCGCTTGAGCTGTGCCATTCTATTCTAATCTCGACCTCTCGTCTCGTCGCCCATGAGAGCGCTCGAGCCTCTTTTCTCGCAGCTCCCTCGCTTCGCTGCTGGGCCGCCTGCTTGCGTCGACGCTCGACCTTGTCTCGGCCTGCGCGTCGCCGACGAGACTGAGCTCCTGTCCGCGTCGACGAAGGACGAGCGGAACGTCCGCGGACCGACAAAGCGCTGCCGAGAACCGCGGTCTCGTCTCGTTCTCTCGCCTCGCTTACGGCTCGATACTGCGCCAGAATGCCTCGCAACGACCCGTGCGTCCTCTTCCTGAGCTCTGAGCCCTGCCGGTCCAGGAATGTGAGCGCTCACTCGGCTACCTCGCCTCGCAGCGTCGACGACGAGCAGCACCGGCTCCGGCGCCCGGCTGTCGGCGAGCGCGACACGCGCCGTCCCCACGTCGTGTGCGTCGCCTTTCTCGCCTCTACTTGACCTGTACTGAGCCTCTTGCGCTCACAGGGCGAGCCACCAGGACCCTTTCCACCAGTGCGCCCTTTCCCCCTTCCCGTTTCTCGCTCTCGCCGACTGACGAGCGTCGTTGCAGAGCGCGCATGCCGGCCCACCTTCGCAACACTCTCGACAAGGCGGGCACCCGCAAGGGCCAAAACGACAAAGACGAGTGAGCCCGCTCGGTCCTCCTCGCCTCGCACGCCCGCAGTATTGACTTTGCCGGCGACAGGTTCACGGAGGCGATGAACCCTCACTGGGAGTGCGTCTTCTCCTTCTCGTCGTCCTTTAACTCGGACTTATGCTCCGTCTCCTCGCCCGCAGAAGGTACGCGGATGGCCGTCGGGCAGACGCTCGCCGGCACAAGGAGATCGTCGAAGACCACGAGCACGACCAACGCGTTCTCGACGGCCTCGGCGACCTCGACCCGACTCACGAGCACGGCGCCGGCTACGACAGCGACGAAAGCGGCGTGTTTGGCGAGGGAGTGCGCCCTCCCATTATTCGCGAGCGGGAGAGGCCTTGCCGGTACGCCTTTGTCTCCCACCCCGTTCCTCGTTCATGCCTGACCTTGTTCCCTGCCCGCAGCGAGAGCGGGATCTTCGGCGACGACGAGCCGCAGATCCGCCAGCCCGCCCCTGCTCCGAGCTCGAGTCGTCCTCAGGAAAGCCCGGTCTCGCCGCGCACCGAGCGCAAGCGCCTCCGCGACCTGTTCCGCCGCAAGAATTCGACCTCCGGCGACGCGCGGAGCCTTGCCAAGGGCGGCGGGCGCAGGTACCGCGCCGGCGAGGTTGGCACCACGAGCGACTCGGACAGCGACTACTAGCCTCTTTCCGTCTCTCTTCTCTTCCAGTCGCGACTGCCTTCTTTATCCCTCTCTCTCGTTCAACCTGCAACGTCGACGTTCCCTGGCCCTCGAGAGCGCGACGAGAGCAGCCGAAAGCTCAACTTGGGAAGGTCGAACCGCTTCCGACGGTCCTTGCTCGCGCACACACGGCGAGACAAGCAGCCAGGGTTCGACAGGCTCGGCGAGTTGATGGGCTTGTCGTCGGGCTTCGCGTGCAAATGACATGATTCTTCAGATATGGGAGAGCAAGCGAGAGCAACCGGGAACGAAGAAGCCTCGGGAGCAAGTCGAGGAGGAAGACGAAGATTGCGCTGCTCACAAGCGTCGTTGCACCGTCTCCTGCTCGGCGTATCTTCGTAAGCACCCGCAGGGAGCGCTTGTACGCGAGCAAATCGGCAGGAAGAGCGCACTCGGCTCGGTGCTGGACCGACTCGAGGGAGGTCGCGAGGAGGCCAACTTTCGCTGCACACGACAAACTAGCTCGGGAAACACGCTCGATTGCACCGCAGACACCTCCTCGTTCAATCTGGCGCGCGTAGAAGGCGTCAACCCTGCTAGATCAAGAGATGGCTTCTGAGAGAGGGTGCGCAGGATCCCCCTGTCTCGAGTAGGTGGCCGGGCGCACGGACGCTCCGCAGGGGTGCGCGCCGTGCGAGCGGCTCACCACGTGCGCCCGCTGCCCTCAGGGGCACGAGAGGGCGGGCGCGGCCTCGGTAGGACCCGTCCTCGGCGGCCGAGCGAGCCGAGCCGCCGGCACGAGTAACGGTCGCGGGACGGGCGTGTGGGTCTCTTGCGGCTCGCTCGAGGCATGCAGAGGGCATGTCGGCGTCGGCAGGGGCCAGCGTAGAGCAAGCAAGAGTGCGAGGCGGGAGCTTTCGCGTCCGAGAAGGAGACGGCGCCATCGAGGGCTCGACTACCTGTGGCGCGACGTCAAGAGGGTCAGTACGCGCGTCGGCGAGGAGCACAGACCCACATGAAGGTACTGCAGGGAAGAAAGAGAGGACGCGGGACGTACAAAGGACAACATGAGCCGCCTCGAGGTCGGGAACCCGCCTCGCCTCGCCCAGAAGACCGCTCGACGCCCCTCGCTCTACCGTTTCGTCCGTAAAGTAACCAGGTCAGTCCACCAAGGCTTCTGCACCGCGTCACCAGGTGACTGAGGGGGCGAGGAGAGAGGGAGAGGGGGGCCAAACACGGGGAGGCGGGGAGGAGGAGGACGCACTAGTCGCCCACAGCCCGCACGGCGCGGCCGCCTCGCCCAGTAGTCTCCTTGATGCTGCCATAGTCCTCGACGACGATGCCCACGGGCCCATGAACCGTTGCCACCAGTTGAGAGAGGTCGGACGACGCAAGTCACTGATGAGGATGCGACGCGCTCTGCGCCGGCGGCGAGCGCTCGCGGCGGTGCGGGCGAAGCAGAGGTGTGTTGTCGAGATGTCCAGGTACCGACTCGAGCCAGTCTGAGTGAGCCTAGTCGTGAGGGCCGAGGTGGGAGCAAGGAGGTGAGCGGAGGTCGAGCAGCGCCTCGTCGCAACGCAAGTTGACCGACTGCCGCGCGTTCTCTCGCTCTCGGTCGCTGTCCTTGAGCGTCAGGGAACATCTATAGAAGTGCAGGTTGCGTTGCGGGAGGGAGACAAGGGGAAAAGACGCTACAGCTAGGCCGCCCCTGCCTCGACGACGGAGCGGATCGCGAACGATCCAGTGCCCGCTTCAGGCGTGCGACCGACGACGATGCGAGCCGACGGACCGATCATGTTGTCGTAGTCGCCGTACAGCGCAGCCTCGGCGAGGAAGGCACTCGTGGTCCTGCGAGGCGAGAGAGGGAGGGGCGCGACACGAGGTCAGTGCGTGCTCGAGAGAGGGCTCAAGGCGAGGTGTGACGGCAGCGGCGTCGAAGCTTACTCGAACGAGGCCTTGAGGAGGGCAGACGAGCTGTTCGAGAGACCGGTGCGGTTGAAAGGCTTGTACCCGCCCTCGCACGTCTGCAGGGATGAGCAAGGGTCAGTGTGGGCTCCCTCTCGCCTCTCGTCGAAGGTGGGAGGGAGAGCTGGGTGCGCACCATGTAGTCGGCGATGATGGTGAGGTGGCGGTAGTCGACGCCGATGCCGTAGACCGAGAAGACGCCCGACATCTCGTTGATGATGGAGGACCGTGCCGCCTCGACGCCGTACGTGCGCAGGATGGCGCCGATGTCGTTGGTCCCGATGCGGTTCAGGTCGACGATGCCGTGCCCGATCTGCCACAGCTGGCGCAGGTTGACGCCCTCGGTGACGGCGTTGCGGTGCGCGGCCGCGTTGGCGTTGGCGGCCTTCTCGATGAAGCAGCGGGCGATGCCGGGCACCTCGTGGACGACGGCGATGCGGCACACCTCCTCGACGATGCCGACGAGCAAGAGCTTGTGCGCCTGCGACGAGAACTGCGAGTCGGCGAAGGAGAGAGGGAGGAAGGGACGGGAGGAACAGGGTCAGGACTGCCCGACCGCCGACGACGACGAACGACGAGAGAAAGAGAGAAAGAGACAGAGGAAGACGCACCTCGAGGTCGAGCTCGCACGACTCGCCACCCTCCTTGTCGAACGCGAGCTTGTTGACGAAGCGAGAGGTGCCCGGGACGCGGCGCTCGTACTGCTTCATGCGCTCGAGGCTCTCGGCCTTGGACCGCCGCGCGACCACCTCCGGGTCCTCGTCCTGGGCCTCGTCATCGCTCGAGTCGCCGTCGGCGCTCGCCGCATCGTCGGCGTCCTTGAACTTGGCCTCGAGCTCGTCCTCGGCGTCGGGCGCCTCGTCCTCGTCCTCGTCATCGTACGTCTGCTCATCGTTGGCCTGCCGGCCTCGACGCTCGTCGTCGGCGTCGCCGTCGATCTCCTCGCCGTCGCCGCGACCGACGACGCCAGCGTCCTCCTCGCCCGCACCGTCCTCGTCGGCGCCCGACGCCGCGCCCTTGCCGCCCTTGCGCACCTGCTTGCCCTGGCCGACCTCGGCCGCCTCGCGCATCGACTCGCGGTCGTTCTGCTTGATCTCCTTGGCGATGGCCTTGTCGAGGAGGGGCACGAACGTCTTGGCGATGCCGGCGAGGATCTGCTCGGGCGAGACCGAGTACTCGGCCTCGTAGTCGGCGCGCGGGAACAGGTTGAGCTTGACCGTGTACAGCTTGGACCGCGAGTAGTTGTTCTCGCTCGTCTTGGGCGTGAGGCGCTCCTCAACGACGACGTTGTCGACGCACTGCGAGAGCGTGAGACGGGTCGACGACTGGCAGAACGTCTTGAGGCGCGAGTCGGACACGCCCTCGACGATCGGGAGGCGCATCATGGGCGTCTTGATGTCCTGCGACGCCGTCATGACGATCTCGCGCAGTCGAGGAATGCCGAGCGTGACGTTGGCGGCACCGTGACCGGCAAAGTGGAACGTGTTGAGCGTCATCTGCGTCGACGGCTCGCCGACACTGCGAGGAGAGGTAGGGAGAGCGACAGAGTCAGGTCGAGGTACAGGCAGGAGGACGAGGGAAGGAGGAGGAGGAGAGGGGCAGGCGGGCGAGGAAGGGAGGGGACCGAGCGCGAGAGGGCAAGAGAGACGAGGACGCACCCCTGCGACGCCATGAGGCCGACGGCCTCGCCTGGCTCGACGAGGCTGCGCATGTAGCGCATGCACATGAGCGAGCGGAAGTGCTCGGCAGAGATGAGCTCGTCCTTGCGGATGAAGCCGGGCCAGTCGGCCATGTCCTTCTTCTTGCGCGGGCGCAGAAAGCGCTGCTTCGGGTTCTTGATGTACGTCTCGATCTCGCGCGCGAACCGCTCCGAGACGGCGCCCGACACGGTCGAGGGCGACGCGAGCGACAGGACGGGCGGATGCGAGTCCGGGTGCTTGAGCGCCTTCTTCATGGCGTTGGGCATGACGTCCTCGAGGTTGTCGGTGCGCGCGAGCGCCTCCTTGGGCTTGTACCGGTTGATGATGGACGACATGTTGCGGACGGCAAACTCGAACTGGAGCAGGTGCTTCTGCTTGGTGACGTCGAGCGAGTCCTCGCCGTAGTGGAACTGGAGGACCGACTGGTCGGCGTTGCGGACCGTGTGGTCGTAGTGAACGCGCAGGCCCTCGAGGTGCTTGATCAGGCACCGCTGGAGGTAGCCCGACCGCGACGTCTTGACGGCCGTGTCGATGAGGCCCTCGCGACCGGCCATGCAGTGGAAGTAGTACTCCTGGGGCCGGATGCCGGTCAGGAACCGGCCTGCGACGAACCCGCCGGCGCGTGGGGCCGTCTCGAACGCCTTGAACGACGGGAGCGTCTTGCCCGAGACCATGACGGGGACGCGGCGACCCTCGAGCGACTGCTGGCCGAGGAGGCACGAGATCTGCGACGCGTTGACGTTCGAGCCCTTGGCGCCCGAGACCGTCATGGTCTGCATGTTGTTGTGCGGGAACGGCTTGACGAGGCCGTTGGGCAGGCACGTCTTGATGAGCTGCGACGTGACCTGGTTCGTCTCGCTCTCGACCGACGCGTCGAGCCCGGCGAGCTTGTAGTCGTCGCGCAGGATCTCTTCAAGACGGTCGCGCAGGTCGTCGGCCGTCGCCGGGTCCGAGCGCTCGGCGCTCGCGAGGCCCGTGTAGTCGAGCGCGGCCGACAGGCCCTTGTCGTTGACGGTCTGGAGCATGCGGCGGCGGTCGTGGTTGCCCTTGGCCGTGAGGACGAGGTCGTCCATGCGGCACGAGAAGGCGCGGCTCTGGAGGTACTTGGTGAGGAGGCGCGACAGGATCGACAGGAGCTTGCCGGCGATGGTGGCGCCGTACAGCTCGTGGACCGAGTGGACGAGGCCGTACGCCGACGCGCCGATCTGGGCCTTGTCGATGATGCCGGTGAGCATGTCGCCGTCGTGCACGATGACCTCGGCCTCCTCGGCGCCGATCGAGCCCCAGCGGTCGGCGGGAATCTTGCCCTTGGACGAGAAGTGGATGCCGCTCATGTCGGCCGGCTGGATGTTGCGCAGGAGCGTCGAGATCTGTGCGAGGGGGAGCGACAGGGGCGAGGAGAGAGAGAGAGAGGGTCAGTCCATCGTCGAGCGAGAGAGGGGCAGGAAAGAGGAAGGAGGGGGACGCACGACCTGCTTGCCGGTCCAGAGCGGCTGCGGCTTCCACACGGCCGGCGGGAGCGTCTTGACCGTGCCCTCGCCGGTGTACTCGCCCTCGGGCCTGAGCGCGCCGTAGATGAGCTGCTGGTACTGGTCGCGCGTGAAGAACGTGTCCTTGTTGGTGAGCCACACGCCGGCGACGACGTGGTCCTGGATGAGGCCGCGCAACGGGTTGCCCGATGTCGGCACGAGGTACTGGTTGTCCGTGTTGGCGAGCATACGCGCCTCGGCCTGGGCCGTGAGCGACTGGGGGAAATGCATGTTCATCTCGTCGCCGTCAAAGTCGGCGTTGTACGAGTTGCTGCGCGACGAGATCAAGCTCGGGTCAGCCTCGAGCTCGCGAACGAGAGAGAGAGAGAAAGGGGGGCGAGAGAGGGAGAGGGAGACGGACCAGTTGGCGTAGTGCATGCGGATCGTCTTCTCGCCCTTAAGGACCTTGACGCGGTGGCACATCATGGACGGCTTGTGCAGGGTCGGCTGACGGTTGAGGATGACGATGTCGCCGTCCTGGAGGTGGCGGTAGACCTTGCGGTTGATCTGGGGCGTGCGGGTCGGCGGCAGGCCGACATCGGGTCGGGACGCGGCCGCGAGGCGCTGCGACGCCGGCGTCGACTCGGGCGCGAGGAGCTTGTTGGCCTGGGCCGTACGCTCCTCGAGCGTCATGCGCTCGAGCGAGATGAGGTTGCCGTCCTCCATCTGGATGAAGCTCGCGCCCGGGTGCTGGTGCGGCCCGTTGATGACGGCCTGCTGGAGCTGGTGGTAGTTGTGCGCCGTGACCGGTTCCGGGAACGTGAGCTTGCGCGCAAAGACGGGCGGCACGCCGATCTCGTTCGTCTCGATGTTGACGTCGGGCGAGATGACGGACCGAGCGGCGTAGTTGACGCGCTTGCCCTGCGACGACGCGACGAGTGAGGTCAGTACGACGTTCAAGGGCCTCACGCACACAGGCGAGGAGGACACGAGAGAGAGAAAGAGAGAGAGAGGGCGACGCACCATCATGTTCTTGCGGAAGAGACCCTCCTTCTTCTCGAGGAGCTGCTTGACGCCGGGCGTCGGGAGCTTGCCCTGCTTGACGGGCGCCGGGTTCTTGCCCGAGTCCATCATCGAGTTGACGGCGACCTGGAGGTTGATGAGGGCCTCGTACAGCTGGGTCGAGTAGCGCGCGGCGGCCATGCGAGGTTTGCCGTCGTCGGCGAGGAACTCGGGCGCGTCGGGCGCGAGCTCGTACCGGGCGAGGCGCGCGCTGTAGTCGCGCACGGCGATGGCCTGGCGCAGGATGCCGTTCAGGAGCGAGTTGTGCGGGTTCTCGAACACCTGGTCGCCCATGGTGGCCGCGGGCCGGAACCGGGTCGGCGGGACCGACACGACGTCCATGAAGAACATGTCGGCGCTCGCGGCGGGTTGCCCGCCGGCTGCGGCACGACTGCGCCCGTTGTGCGGCACGCGCGAGGCCGTCGCACGCGCGAGCGGGCCGTGCGGCGCGTAGATGAGGGTGACGAGGGCGCGCTCGTTGGCGAACAGGCGGCGCAGGTGGGCGCGCACCTCCTCGGGCAGGACGATGCGCTCCGTCTGCTTGCCGCGCGACAGCTCCTCCTCGATGGCGGCGTCCTCCTCCTCCTCGGCGAGGTTGGCCTTGTCCTCGGCGTCGCCGTCGACGTCCATCGCGTCCTCGTCGCCGTCCGAGTCGTCGCCGCCCTTCACGCCGTTGGCGTGACGGCCGCCGCCTGCGGCCTCGAGGCGCTCGTCGGCGAGGACCTTGGGCCGCTTGAGGCCCATGGCCGAGTGCGCGCCGCGCTGCTTGGCGACGAGCGAGTACTCGAGGATCTTGGTGTGGCCCTCCTTGCGGTAACGGTGGGCGAAGCTGTGCGCGGGGTGTGACGGTCAGTCAGTCCGGTCGTCGCGAGAGAGAGAGAGAGAGAGGGGCGAGAGGCGAGAAGGAGGAAGGAGGACGCACGCGCCGCAGTGCTCGCAACGACGCTTGGCGCTCAGGCTCTTGAGGAACTGGTTGATGGCCTTGCGACGGACGTCAAACACGGTGCCGCTCTCCTTGTACTCGTCGCGGCCCTTGTGCTCGAGGCCGACCTGCTTGCCCTTGTGCGCGGCGCGGATGCTGTGCGCGACGAAGGCGTCGAGGCGGGAGCGAAAGTCGTCGTACGACTCCTCGAGCGACTCGCCGGCGTCGTTGTCCTCGACGTTGTCGACGTCGATGGCGGCTGCGCGCGCCTTGGCGTCGGCCTTGGCCTTGGCCTTGGACACGGGGACGGGGCCCTGGAAGGCGGAGTCGAGCTCGAGGGCGGCGGTGACGAGGCCGTGCTCGAGGAGGGTGAGGCGTGCGACCTGCTTGGCGAGCTGTAGGAGAGGTCGAGAGGGTCAGGCCGCGGCGGGCAAGAGACCGAGAGAGGGAACAGGCGAGGACGGACCTGGGTGTCGGTCAGGAGGAAGCGGTGACAGTAGACGCAGCAGCCGCGCAGGAGCTGGAAGGCCTGGACCATGTAGAGCGGGTGGAAGACGGGCGCCGGGAGCTCGATGTGGCCAAAGTGGCCCGGGCAGTCGAACGAGGTGAGGTGGCAGGTCGAGCAGCTGCGAGGAGGAGTTCGAGGGAGGAGGAGGGTGAGTGTCGTACTCGCGCGTCGCGGTGGTCGCACCACATACGACGCCTCGTCGCACCCCTCGTGTAGTCGTCGTTGGCGCGTCCTCCCACGCCGGGAGAGAGAGAGAGGGAGAGGCGGACGCACATGTCGCCCTTGCCGAGGGGGCCAAAGGCCGGGTCGTACAGGCCGCCGGCATTCGGGTTGTTGAGGTTGTCGAACAGGACCGGGTTGACGACGGGCTTTACGGACACGCGCTTGATGTCGGTGGTGTGGAGGTACGAGAAGGAGAGCGAGGTGATCTCGGACGAGACGGGGTGGGCGATGTCCATCGTGGGCGGCCGCGGTTGGCGGTAGGGCGAGTTGAGGAGGTGGTGCGAGTAGGTCGAGCTCTAGTCGGAGCTGGACCCGGGTTCGAGGTGCGGCGGGACGAGGGTGAGATGAGCTCGAGGTGTCGGGAGGTCGGCTGGCTCTGGCGACTGGCGGGCGACGAGTGTGCCGTTGGGTGGGCTTGGACAGCCCTTTCAGGGTGGGTGTGACGAGCGCAGAGGGCAGTCTGCGCAGCTCGAGCCGTGGACGAGGGTGCGCAGGACTCGGCGGACACCAAAGCTCACGAGCGACGAGGCGATCAACTCGCTCACTGGCTCACAGCGCTCGTTGCTGGGCAGGGAAAATGTACGGGGCTGTTGAGACTGTGCTGCACTGCTCTGTCCAGCTACAAGTCACAAGAACGACAGAGGTGGGCGCGGTTGCACCGCCTCGCGCGCTCCCCTCCTCCTCCTCCCCTTGTTCACCGACAGGCTCGCTCTCTGCCAGCCACCACCGGCGAGCGCAGCACCCCATGCACGCCCATTCGCCATCTCAGTCGTACCGCATCCCGGTCTCGGCCTCGCCCCACCACCCGTCGTCGTCGTCGTCGTCGAGCCTCCTGCGCTCGTCCACCACCGCCGGCTCCCCGTCCTCGAGCTCGAGGGACTACCTCTCGCGACCACGCGCCAGGAGGTCCAGCAGCGGCCATCGCCCCAACCAGTCGCCCCTCCGCAGCGCCTACGACCATGCCGCGACCTGGCTCACGGCCCGCGTCGTCGGCAGGACTGGCCTCCGCCGCTGGATGCTCGTCGTCGCTCTCGGCCTCGGCGCCGCCCTGTACCTCACCCGGTCTGGCGCCGCAACAGCAGCCTGGAGCCCGCGCAAAGGTGCCGCCGACCGTCGTGTCGCCCTCTCGCCCGAGGGCGTCCCCGTCGTCGACCGCTCGACCCTCGACAAGCTGCGCCTCCTCGAAATCCACCTCGGCGCAGACGAGGACGACCCGGCCATCGACCCCGTCGACGAGCACCGCGACGTGCGCTACACGGCCCGCAAACGGCCCGGCGGCACTCACGACCTCGACCGCCCGCCGCTCGTGGTCGACATCCCCGACTACGTCAAGCCCGACCCGTCGGCCCCGCCCAACCCGGACAAGGTCCCCGCCGACGTCCTCGACTACGACGTGTGCGGCGCCACCGACGGCCGCCCGTGCCAGTTCCTCATCCCCGCCTGGCTCGGTGCGTCTCTCTCTCCCCCTCCTCTCTCTCTCTCTCTGTGCCCGTGCCCGTCCTGCACCGACCTTGACTCGTCGCCTTATCTCCCCTTCGCAGGCGAGCAAGAGACCAAGGCGCAGCAACACTTGTACCAGCTCGGCCTCCTCGCGCTCGCCCTCAACCGCACCCTCGTCCTCCCCAACGTGTCCAAGTCGCGCCTCGGCACCTGTTACCGCAACCCGTTCGCCTTCTACTACAGCGAGGCGTCCCTGTCCGACCTCGGGATCCGCACCATCTCGCAGGCCGACTTTGTCGTGTGGACGATCCGCCGCGACCGCCAGCCGTCGGCCCAGGTCGTCACCATGGCCAACGCCAAGGCGGGCTACCCGCAAGGCGCCGTCGAGATCGACTCGGCGTCCGATCCGGCCCTCGTCCCGTCCAAGCCGACCCGCAACCTGTGCCTGCGCGCGCCGAGGACCCGCCTCGACTTTGCCGGCCACTCGCCGCTCGCCATGTACCCGCCCGAGGGCTACCACAAGTCCGAGGCGGGCCGGCTCGGGTTCGGCGAGAGCGTCATCAACACGCTCAGGTCGCACGAGGTCGGGTCGAGGTCGTCCCGCGCGTCGTCGTCGCGCCTCGCCGCGTTCGCCCTCCCCGACGTCCTCGCGTTCAACTACGAGCTGCGGTTCCCGATCCTGTCGCCGGCCGTTGCCGCCAACCTGGCACCGTCGTCGTCGTCGTCGTCCGACGGCGTGGCCCTGGTTCAAGAGCCGCTCCCGTTCGCCCACTTCCCGTACGCCGAGACATGGACATCGCTCGCCGACGTCGTCGCGTCGCGCCTGTCGCCGTTCGTCGCCATCCACTGGCGCACCGAGACGTTGCCGCCGGCCAACCTCGCGCCGTGCGCCTCGTCGCTCCTCGCCAAGCTCGCCGCCCTCAAGCGCGAGCACCCGTCGCTGCGCCACGTCTACCTCGCGACCGACTACCCGATCGAGCAGCTCGACCCGCAGCTCGCGCCGAGCGTCGACCCGGGCACCGAGGTGGCGCACAGCGGCACGTTTGCCAAGTCGGTCACCGAGCAGCACCACGTCGCCATGCGCCGCTTCCTGCGCGACTTTAAGCGCACGTTCGCGCCCGGTCGAGGGCGCGCCGCAGGGCCGCCGCTCGAGTTGACGACGTTTTCGAAGGAGCAGGCGGCCCTCGCGCAAGGCGACGACGGTGCCAGCCTTCCTCCTCGACTCGCCGCCCAGCTCGCCAACCTCACCTCGCCGACCCTCTCTCCCGCCACCTCCTCCTCCACCGGCGCCCTCGACGACGACCCCGTATCCGTCTCGGCACGAGCGCAGGCCACTCTGCGCTCGCTCGGCACGCTCGACTCGGGCCTGTACGGCATCCTCGACAAGCTCGTCGCCGCCCAGGCCGAGCTGTTCGTCACGGGCGTGCCCGGCGCGGGCTCGTCGACGGCGGGCGCATGCGCCAAGCTGAGCAGCTTCACGACGCAGCTCGTCGGCGCGAGGGAGGTCTTGTGGGACGAGCAGGGCGGCGCGACTCGAGGAGGAGGAGGTGAGGGTCCGAGCGGGGACGAGGGCGAAGGAGCGAGGGCCGGCGAGCAGGGAGTGCTCGTGCCCGGCAGGCTGTGGAACACGGTCGCCCACTTCTCCCTCTCGGGGAAGGAGGTCGACTGAGCTTGCGGCGTCCCCCTCCTCATTCTCTCGTCGTCGTCGACGTCCGCGGGCGGCCTTTGTCTCGATACCCCCCTGCCCTCTGTCTCGCTCGCCTGGAGCGCTGTCTCGTCTATCGTCGTTTGCAACTCGCAGGTCTCCTCGTCGTGTCACTGATCGGCGAGGAGAGAGAGAAAGAGAGAGAGAGTGCGGACGGACTTCCTCCTCCTCGTTCCTGCAGACGGCGACGGCGGCCCGAGCCCTCCAACGGCACCGACCTCTCATGCAGCTCGTCTGCGCTCCTCACGGCTTCGTTCGCGTGAGCTTGGCGCCCAGCTCACTCGCCTCGAAGCACTCGCTCGAGCGCGCACTGACCTCCTTTTGCGCCTCTCTTTCTCGCTCTCGCGACGACGGGCGCCCTCGCCGCTGTGCTGCACGGCCCGCTACGACACCGAGACCGCCGCGACACGCTATGCGAGAGCAAGTGAAGCGAGCGGTAGCCTCGCCCGTCGAGCGCTCGCGCCGAACCATCCTGAGAGACTCGAACTGAAAGAGGAGCTCTCTCGAGCGGACGGGCCCGGGCGCGAAGTCGTCCGACGAAGGGTTGTACAAGTTCTCTACAAGGGCACAGAGAAAGAGAGTGATCGGGAAGAGGGGCACGAGGCGCAGCTCGGCGAGGTTTCGATAAGAGGAGGTCGGGCGCGATCAGGACATGTCGACGTCGTCGCCGCCGGCCGCAGGTGCGGGTGCAGCTGCAGGCTTGGGCTTGTCCTGCGGAACGCGATAGGGAGGGAGTGGGAGGAAGGCCGAGTCAGTTATCGCGGACGTGCCTGTCTCGAGCAGAGAGAGGAGGGAACAGGGGACGCACCTCTGCCGCCGGGGCCTTCATGAACGCCTCGAGCTCGGCATCGAGGTCCTCGTTCGTCTTGGGCGCGCGCTTCTCGCCCCTCCCGCCGCCCGCCGACCGCTCACCGCCGCGCCCACCACGTCCGCCGCGTACGCCGCCGCGCCCGCCCCGCTCGCGCTCGCCGCGCTCACCGCCACGAGGACCGTCTCGCGGTGCGCCGGCCGAGCCACGCTCGGCGCGAGGCGCACGATCGGGGCCGCCGCCTCCCGGGCCGCGAGTCGGGGCGGCGTACTTGGGGCCGCGAGAGCCGGACCTGCATTAGATCGAGAAGGTCAGTGTCGCGCACGAGAGGGATCCAGAAGAACAAGGGAGAGACAGGGACGCACTCGGTGCCGCCGAGACGAGCGAGGAGAGAGCCAGGCGCAGCTGCGCCGCGCTCTGAAGGACGGTCGTTGCGGTAGTCGAAGTCGACCTCGATCGGCTCACCTGCGAGGTCGAGGGCCGTCAGGTCTGCCACCTGGCTCTCGAGCGAGCGAAAGAGAGAGAGAGGTGGACGCACCCTTGGCCATGGCGCCGTTGAACGCCTCCTTGGCCTTTGCGGCGTGCTTGTCCTCGAGGTAGGTGACCCAGGCCGTGCCGGTCGAGCGGCCCGAGCGGTCGAACTTTTGACGCGACGCACGCACGACGAGGGAAGCGAAGGACGGTGCGACAAGAGGGGACAGGAGGGGGAGGGCGGACGGGGTCGTAAGCGATCCGGTCGGGCGAGGGGCCGTTGCTCGAGTACGCTCAGGGCCGGGTGGACGGGTGCGAGAGGAAGGGCGGCCGTACTTTGATCTTGGGCGCGGTGGCCATGGGGCCGATCTGGACGAACAGGAGCTGCAGGAGGAGAGGCAAGGGTCAGCTCGTGCAAGGACAGCGGGCGAGAGAAAGAGAGGAGGGAGGGAGGGAGGGAGGGGAGGACGGACCTCGAGCTCGCGCTCCGACACCTCGTAGTGCAGGTTGTGGATGACGAGCTTGTTGCTCGGGCCCTGGTCAGTGCTGCTGCTGGCGCCGGTGGGCCTCGAGGCCGGGTCGAGGGTCGACGAAGACGAGTCGGGCGTGTCGAACTTGTCGTGCTTCCACGAGTCGCCGACGGGCCTCTGGAGGGTTTAGACAGAGTCAGTGGCAGTCCTGCATGGCTCTCGCCGGCTGTCGAGGTGCTCGTCGCGAGTCGCGTCGCTCGTCGGACGCGGAGAGAGGGGGGGACCACGGCGGGAGCCCGCCTCGACACCGCTGGGAGCGACGCGAGTGGCTAGACGGGGACCGAGGAGCTCATCGGAGCAGGAGAGAGGGGACGCACTGCGTAGGGGCTGTTGCGCGACTGGCCGCCTCCGCCGCTGGTCCTGCGGCTGTCGGCGGGCGCGTTGTCCTTGCGGATGCCGCCGAGGGTGCGTTCGAGGAGCGAGGCCATGGTACGAGGTGCAGTCGGGACGAGCTGGTGCAGTCTGGCTGGCGATCGAGCCGACAGAGAGCGAGGACGAAGGCGACAAAGGTGGGGGCGACGATGCTGCACCCTCCCCGCTCTCCTCTCTCGCTTCAAGCGCTTCGCCGACACCATTGCTGGTGCCTCGTGCACCGCCACGAGACATCTACAGTCCCTCCACCAGGTCTCGCAAAGCGCTCGAGTCCCGCGCCGCCTCGCCTCCCTCCCTCTTCCCGCTCCTCCTCCCGAAGCGTGCCAGCCACCTCCTCAGCAACTTGCTCCCGCACGACCGCCTGCTTCCGCTTTGCGCTCGTGTGCCACGCTTTGGCCGGAGAGAGCTCCAGGAGCGTGCTCGCCATCGGCGAGCGACGCCGTCCCGCTCGCCCGGCTCGAGTTTGAGTCGCTGCCGCCGCGCCACCTCGACCAGCTCGTCTCCTCGCAGCTGGCTCTCCTCCTTTCACCTCTCCGACCTCCACCGGTCGCCAGGTCATCGACGACCATGCGGCCCCGACCCTCAACCCTCGCACTCGGCGCCCTCTTGGCCTCGCTCGTCAGCGCCATCCCTCTCACGATCCTCCAACGGCACCGACGGCAGATCCCCGACACGCTCTTTGTCGGCATCCGCGACTCGAGCGACGCCTTTCCCGCCGTCCTGTACCGCTCGACCGACAACGTCACCTGCAGCACGTACAAAATCACGTACGGCGGCTCGCAGCCGCCCTTCCACCTCTCGGTCGTCGGCTTTGCCAACCCCGACACGGCCTTCATGGACATCGGCGACTATGGTGCCGCCGGCACGACGCTGTGGGCCGTCGAGGTCGACCCGGGCAGGACCGTGCGCGTCAAGGTGACCGACGCGGCGGGCAACACGCGCATGACGGCCGCCTCGACGGTCCAGGACGGCCGCCCAGACGGCGCTTTCTGCTCGTGAGCACCTCTCTCTGTTCTCGACGGCTCTCGAGCAGGGCGCACCGACTGATTGCGGCTGTCCTCTCGCAGATCCTCGTCGGACGGTCTCGGCGCAGGCTACTACGCTTTTGTCCTCGTCGCGGGCGCATTCGGCCTCTCGGTCCTCGTCCTCGCCATGTGCCTCGTTCGCTCGGCGTGCCGTGCCCCGAGGGTTGTGCGACGCATCCGCCGCTCGAGCCCGGTCCTCCCCTCGCCCTCGGGCAAGCCTCCTCCCCTCCCGCCTCGTCCCGGCTCGGCGCAGGGCAAGAGGGGCTCGACGACGCCGACGGGTGAGCCGCCCATGTCGCGTCGCGATGGCGGCCGACGGCCGCCGGCGCCGCAGCACGGGCGCTTCCACGAGGTCGACCTCAAGAAGGCGGCCAAGGAGGGCCCGCCGCCTTTCGTGCCCTTGCCACCTCCTCGGTACCAGGCCAGGGCGCCAGAGAAGCAGTCGAAGCAGTCGAGAAAGAAGTGAGCGAGCGTCTGTGTAGCCTGTACGGGTCGGCGTGCTCGCAGTCGTCGCAGCTGCAGTTTTGACTTCGCGTCTCGGATTTGGGTCCGTGCGAGCGAGGTCGGCGTCTCAAGTCGGCTTTCCTCGCGATTACGCTGCTTCTTTGTCCTGCAAAGGCTGCGCTCTACGTCTCGTCCAACGGCCTTTCATTGACATCGGGCCCGACCCTGTACGACGCTGACGTCGAAGCGCCGCACCGATCGCCAACATGAGCGCGGCCGACTTGGTTTCGCTTCTGCATGCTCCCTCGCCGCGTCGCACAGCTCACGAGTACCGCCAGTCGACTGAGGAGCACTATGAGCACCACTGCGCCCCCACCAAAGCCGTTCAGCTACGCCAACGCGGCCGGCGCCTCGTCCTCCTCCTCGTCGACCCCACAAGCACTTCCCGCTCAAGCACGCGCCGAGCCGCCTCGAACGTCGCACCCTCCCCACCAGAAGCCTCGACAGCACGACCCTCGCCCTCAACAGCCGCAACAGCCTCGGTGGCAGGCGCCCCAACACGGGCAGACCAAGGTGCACCGGCACCGGCCAAAGACGTCGCGCGAGGAGGAGCACGTCTACGTCTTGTCGCTGCGCCTCTCGCCTCCACTGCACGATGCGCTCAACACGCTCCGCACGCGGTACTTTCCCGCCGAGCGGCTCAAGGTCCCGGCGCACCTCACGCTCTTCCACGCCTTGCCGCGCTCGCAGCTCGAGCGCGTGTGCGCCGACGCGCAGCGTGTCGCGAGCGCGACGTCGCCGTTCGTCGTCACAACCGGGCGAGCGTTCCTCCTCGGCAAGAACGGCGTCGCGGTCGCGCCGGGCGTCGGGACCGAGGAGGGCGCGAGCGTGCACGCCCAGCTGCGCGAGCGGTGGGAGCCGTTCTTGAGCAAGCAGGACGCCAAGGGCTTCAAGGCGCACTGGACGGTGCAGAACAAGGTCGACGATGAGGACAAGGTCCTGGCGGCGTTCGACGAGGTGCGCGACTGGGCCAAGGACGAGGGCGCCGAGGGCGAGGCGAACGGGCTCGTCCTGTGGCGATACGACCGAGGGTATTGGCGCTTCGAGCGCGAGTTTCTATTCGGCGAGGCGGCCAAGGAGGGCGAGGACGGGCGGTAGCGGCGGCAGAGTGCAAGAGCCAGTCGACCTTCTCAAACTCGCTCTCGAGGACCAGCTCTCGTTCTCGACGAGAGATGGCAAAGCGAGGATTCCAACGACATCATGACGCTCGAGAGAGTACAACATGAGGAAGAAGGAGGGAGAGAGACGGCCGGCGTCGCAGAAAGAAAGAGAGCATCGAAAGATGAAGGTCGGTTTCAGACGTTGTCGCCGCCTGCGACGACGGGCTTGAGCCAGACCCGGCCAGGGCGGCTCTTCTCGCGCAAGATGCGCCACGGTACGGGCTCGGCCGAGGCGACCTGCGAACAGGAGCAGAGAGTAAGCTCGCCGGGACGAGGAGAGGGAGAGAAAATGGACAGAGCGACGCACTCGAGCGAGAAGCAGCGTCGCCGCCTCGGTCGTCCCCTCTGTCTCGACGACGATCTCGCCTGCCCAGTCGGGGTGCACGACCTCGATCCCTCCTGGTCCTGCGCCGCCTGCGCCGGCAACGTCGCCGATCATCTGGCCCGCGAGGAGGCGCAGCGCGGCTCGGTACACGTAGCGCGACACGAGGTAGTTGCCCTGCGGCGACGAGACGGCGACGCGGTCCTTGCACAGGACGAGCGACTCGCGGACGGCGTCCACGTAAGGCGCGAGCGAGAGGTCTGTGCGCGCAGGAAGGGCAAGGTCAGGTTGATGCTGGTCGACAGCGGCGACGGCGCCGACGAGGGAGCGAGGCAGGCCACTCACAGAAGACGGGGTTGGACGACGAGGCGACGATGATGTTGTGGAAGTGGCTCGGCGAGAAACCGAGCATGTTGAGCCATGCCTGCGAGGAGGAGAGCTCGAGTCAGTCGAGGTCGACGAACGAGAGAAGGGAGGGAACCACACGCACAGGGAGATGCCCGACGACGTCGTGCTCAAAGCTGAGGTCGCGCAGGAACTTGCCGTCGAACACGAGCGTGCCGACATTGCCGAACGCCGGGATCGCCACGTTGGCGACGACGTCCCCCCTCCTGAGCTGCGCCCACGCCCCGCTGCTCCTCCACACCTCGCGCTCGCACTCGATGACCTCGCCGTCGGCCATCCAGCTCTCGCCGTTGCGCGTCGGGACCCACACGCGCAGGCTCGGCGCCCGGCCCGTCTTGTACACGGGCGAGCTCGTCGCCGGCAGCTCGGGGAAGGTCGGCGCGGCGAACGACGACGACGGGAGGGTGGTCTGCAGGCGCAGGCGCAGGACGACGCGGTTCCAGGCGCGCGTCGTCGCCCGAGCGAGGCGCAGCGACGCCTGCGAGAACCGCGCGGGGTCGTGCGTGTAGACCCTTGCGAGGTGGGCGTGCTCGTCGAACGAGACGCGCAGGGCCGCGCGGAACGCCGACAGGTCGCGCAGGTCGAGCACGATGTCGCTCGCCGAGGAGGGAAGGAAGCCTGCCGCCTTGGTCGGCGCGGCGGACTGACGGGCGAGGCTGCGGTACCCGTACGCGCCGAGGAACCGCTCGAGAACGAGCTCCTTGCTGTCGACCTCGACGGCGCGCCGAAGCGTGCGCGAGACGAGCTGGAGCGAGACGATGTCGGCGTAGTTGATGTGCCGCAGGAGGGACCGGAGGATGGGCAAGGGGTACAGGGCGAAGGCGAGCTCGACGCGTGGGCTCGAGCGGTCCTCGACGACCGGCTCGACCGGCTTGACAGGCGCGACTTGCTCGATGGGCGAGCCGTGGTCGGACAGGGGTGGCGAGATAGGCGCGTGCGACGAGATGAGGGCCGGCGCCTCGTTCGACGACGCGAGCTTCTTCTCGCGCTCCCTCGCCGCCGCCAGTGCCGCCGCTCGTGGCGTCAGCGCACCCGACGTGCCGATGCGCTTGGTCGGCGACGGCTGCTCGTCGACGACGCGCGAGCGCGGCGTCGTCGGGCTCTCCCGCCACTGGCGCGACGGCGAGGTGGACGAGCCGAGCTGCGAGGCCGAGCCCAGTGACGGCGGGACCGACGCCCTTGGCGTCGACGGGACGATGGCGCTTCGAGTGCCCTGGATGAGGGACGAGCGACGAGGCGGCGGGCTTGTCGCCGTCGACTCGGGCGCGGGGAAGAGGGCCTTCCTCGCTCGGTCGGGCGATTTAGGCGGCGTGATTGGCCTCGCGGCTCGGCTCTTTGACGGCAACGTGTGCGTGGCGAGCATGGTGGGCGATGCGGCCGAGAGCGAGGGAGGAAGGGGAGGGCGAACGATCGGCTGAGGAACAGGAGGTGCGGGCGGGGCGAACGTCGACGAGCGACGCTTGACGAGCTTGGTCGGCGTGTCGGCGTTGCGCACCTCGACGTGGTCGGAGAGACGACTCGGCGGCAAAGACGAGCGCTCGATGCGCGGCGAGGTCGGAGAGCGGACTGTCGACTGGGACGAGACGCTGCTCGCCGGGCGAGGCAGCGGCAGCGCCGGCGCGCTCGACAGCGGACGACCTCGAACAGGCGACGGGAACCCTCCGACTTCTTGCGACGCCGGTGGCGCAGGCGCACGTGGTAGTTGTCGAGGCGTGACGTGGCCCGACAGGTCGTCGGCCGCGACGAGCGGCTTCAACGGGACCGGCGCGTCGAGCTCGTCGCTCTGCTCGCTGTCGGACGCTCCAGGCGTCGTCGCGCTGCCGTCGCTGCCCGAGTCGTTCGACACTTGCCGGGTGAAGAGCGTGACGGGCGAGCTCGTCGTCGTCGTCTCGGCGAGGGACGTGGCCGACCGACTCGAGGTGGCGGCGATGGGCGGACCGTAGAGCGCTGCGAGTCGGTCGTACGATCCCGCCGAGCCGACGGGTTGGGGCGGTGCCGCGCCAGGCGGGAGCGTCGGGCGGCCGGCGAAGCTTGACGGCGGACCGAGCGAGTAGTCCAGCTGCGACGGGGCGCAGTTGCGGGCGCGAGAGTCGAGATCTGCAGGGAGTTCGAGTCAGGTGTACGTCCACTCGCAGAGATAAAGGAGGCAAGAGCGCACCTGCTTGACCCGGCTCTTGAGCAAGGCTCGCCGCCGCCGCGAGGCTTTCCCTCCTCTGCTGCGCCCTGCTGCCCATGTCCTCGCCGCCGACGCTCCTGGCCCTGCTCATCTCCCTCGCCGACGACGCCGTCTGCGGCCGACCGTACACGGCCCGAGCCTGCAGGCTCTCGCGCCTCGGCGGCGCTACCGACTCGCCGTTGCCGCTTGGCGGGAGGCTCGCCGCGTCGACGGACCAGAACGATGACGATGGCGCGAGGCCCGCCAACACGTTCTGAGAGGCGGCGCGAGGCGGGCCATGCTGCGACAGGCGCTGCGTCGGCGTCGCACGAGGCGAGACGGGTCCGGCGGCGGCCCTTGCCGACTGCGCCGAGGACGAGGACGGCTCGCGGCCGCGCGGCACCGTCCCCGAGTAGTACGCGTCGACCGCCGTGTCCCGACGAGGCGAGGGCGCGCGCACACCGCGAGCGACGGGCGCGACGACCTCCTCGCGCTGCGGCCTTGCCTCCTCGAGAACCCTCGTCGCGCTCCTGCTCCTCCTGCGCTGCATCGGCTGCGCCTTGTCCGCCTCGCTCGGCGACGCTGGCGACGCCGGTGCCGGGCCGACCATGCCCTCGAGGCCAAAGACGCTGAGACGGGCAGTCATGGGCAGGGAGGGAGGTGGTTCCGGGACGGAGGGGGCGGGCTCGGGGCGAGGACGAGGAAGGTTGGCCTCGGATTTGCGCCGCTTGAGCGACGAAAAGAACGAGGGCATGTCGAGCTGGCGGACAGTCGGCGGTGCCGGGGAGGGAGACGAGAGGCGAGGCTGAGGGTGCTCGACGAGGCGGGCGAAGAGAGGCGAGGGGTGCTGGGTGCTGCGCCGCGCTCGTGCTGCTCGTGCCGTGTGCTAGCGAGTGCTTGGGCGTGGCGTCGGTGGAGCAGAAAAGTCGACGCGTCGAGGGGGAGTGTGCTCGGGACGGGGCGAACCGCTGTGTTGTTGAAGGACGCGAGGTGAGCGCTCGTGCAGCGACGAGCAGAGTGGGAGTGGGGACGCACGGGTTGCTGGCTGCTCTGCCGAGGTGCTGGACGCGGTCGAGAGCAAGGGCGAGGTGTGGCGAGGTGCCGAGCCCTGGTGCGGCCCGCCGGGTGTGAGGAGGACGGCGGTGCGAGCGAGGCGGGGAGCGCGGGTCGAGCGCGCGCACTCTCCGTGAGAGCTTGTCCTCGAGCTTCGAGATGGACAGGCGGAGGAGAGCAGTGCTCGAGGGCGACGAGAGAGGCGTCAGCGACCGCAGCGGAGACATCAAGGTGGGGCCGGTGCGACCGCAGCGGGCGAGCTTCTTCTCGTCGGCACAGCAGCTTGCAGCTTGTTCCTCGATCAAGGTTCGCGCGACAGAGACACGGCTAGATTCGAATTGCCTCGCGATCTCTCTCGAGAAGGGCGGGCTCGCACGAGTCCCGCAGCTCCCAGCAGCAGCGCGCGCTCGAGTACAGACGCAGGCTCGGATTGGCGGGGCACGACTACACACAGTGGGAGAGCGAGAGGAAGGGAGGAAGGAAGTGGAGCGGGCAACACAGGGATGAGGGAGAGGGGTCTTTAGAGCGACGCAGCTCGCGAGAGCCACGCCGCCCGTGGGTCGTTACGGGTACTGGATAGGGACGGTCGTGAAAGTTAGAGAGCTCGTGCGCGAGCGGCACCCTAGCCGAACAGGTACGGCGCCGCAGCCGTCGCGCCGACCGCGACCGCGAGGCCGAACCCGGCCGCCCACCGGCGCGCCTCGCCCTGATCGCCGTCCTCCTCGCGCAGGACGACCTCGGGCGCCGCCTGGCTCGTCGTCGACGACGACAGGGCCGCGAGCGCACGCGACGGGGCCGGGAGCGCGCGCGTCTCGCGGCTCGCCTGCGTCGGCTGCTTGCGGCGCTTGCCGTTCGCCTTGCGCCGGAACAGCTTGGCGAAGAAGGACCGGTTGTCGACCGTGCCGAGCGCGTCGGCGAGCGTGCCCGACTGGGGCAGCTCGTCGTCGTCGGCCTCGAGCGCGCGCTTCTTGGTCGAGCTCGGCGCAGACGAGGTCGAGGCGGACGACGGCTGCGGGTCCGGAATGTGCGACGCGTCGGCGAGGTCGGCGAGGACGTGCTCCTTCTTGAGGCTGTCGACGAGCTTCTGCGCCGCCGCGATCTGGGCCGCCGCGTCGTCCTCGAACTGGGGCGCCTCGTCGCCGGCGTCGCCCGTCATGGGTACGTCGACCTTGACCTCGGTCGTCTCGGTGATGGCACCCGAGTCGGACGTGGCGAGCGTCTGGAGGATCGAGATGCCCGGCCCCGACGCGCCCGAGAGCGCCTGCACCGTCGAGGCGGACGAGCTCTTGTTGGCGAGCGGCGACGAGACACGGGCGCGCTTGGCGCGAGGCGAACGAGCGGCGGGCGACTGCAGGAGCAAAGGAGTCAGGTCGGGTCGAGTTTGTCGTCGAGAAGGAGGAGGAAGAGGACGCACATCGTCGGTGGCAGCGGCAGATCCAGGCGTCGCCTGCTCGTCGTCGGCCGCACCTTCAGGCTGCGGCGAGGTCGGCTCGACGTACTCGATGAGCTCGGCGGCGTAGCGCACGATGCCGTACTCCTTGGCGAGCGCGACGGCGTGCTGCGACGGAATCCTGCGCGGCGAGACCGAGTCAGGGAGGTGGACGGGCGACAGCGGGCGAGGGAAAGAGGGCGGACGACGACGCACCAGGTCCCGCTCAGCTTCTTGCTCTCGTCGCCCTCGTTGCCGGCGACCTTGGTGTCGCCGTACTGGCCCCTCGAGCCGATGGCGATCCACCGCATCTCGGCCGTCTCCTCGGCCTCGGTCGCGGTCGGGAAGGCGGCGCGGAACAGGGACGAGGCTGAGACGGCGTCGGTGTCGAAGCGCTTGATGATGTGGCTGTCGCAGGAGGGCATTCTTCGAGTTAGTGAGAGGTCCTCGACGGGTGAGAGGTGGCAGGACGAGCAGGAGAGGCGCGAGGACCCGGCCGTCAATGCCGTGTCAACAAAGGCTCGCGGCCGGTCCACCCGCAGCCGCGCCCACTGCGCACGCCTCTCCCGTTGCGCCCCACTCTGCCGAGAAGTGAGAGAGAAGCTCACCCAGGGACGCCCTTGGGGACAGGGCACTTGACGCGGGCGATGGTGATGGTGCCGTTCGGGTCGCCGAGGTGGAGGGTCTGGGTCTTGACCTTGTGGATGCGGAGCGCCTTGGACGCCTTGGCCTCGTCGGCGAGCTGCTTGTTGGCGGCATGGGCGGGCAGAGCTGGGCGCTGGAGCTTTGCGGCGACGCGGGGCGAGAGAGCGCGGGTGGTGGCCGACTTGCGAGGTCCACCGCCGCGAGGGCTGACGGGGAGGGTGTCGAGCGAGGGCGGGAGGAGCGAGTCGGACGACGAGGTCGGGAGGCCGACCGCACTCGAGCGCGTGGTGCGGGTCGTGGTCGTAGTCGAGGTGGGCGGTGGGGAGGCGAGGTGGTCGCGGGTCGGGGTCGACTGGCGCGACGAGCGGCGCACGGGCGGCTGGGGCGACTTTGTGGCGTTCCTGCCGGCCATGACGGTGGCGTGTGTGCGGCGGTAGGGCTGCGGGTGGGAGCGAGGGAGCGTGAGGTGATGAGGACGAGCAGGCGAGGGAGCCTGGACCCGACGCTTTCCTGTTTGGGCTCAACCTCCCTCGAGCGTTGCATTCTCTCAACATTCGGCCACCTGCTCTCTATCGACACTTGCGGTCCGGCTCCACGTCGCGTCTGTTGGCGCACGACCGTGCGGCCCGCCGCACGAGGCAGACCGACGACCCGAGCCTCCTCGTCCTCTCCTCCTCTTTCTCCTCGACAGCTTTCGTCCTCGTCGACGAGCGGCTCGTTCAGCTGCCCTCTCGCCCTCTCTCCATTGCGTCAGAGCCGTCCTGCCGAGTCGCAAGGGAGGAACTGCTTCGATTTCAGGTCGTGGTCGGAGGAGTGGCGAGGCGGCAGGCGGAGAGGGTCGGTGCACGAGCGCGTGACGCTCTAGGCCGTCTCCTGCTGGTCGGCTGCGAACGAGGAAGACAGAGTCAGGACATGAATCTGTGCTGGATCCAGCGCTGCACCCTGCGCCCACGCTGCTGGACAGGTGAGCTTCGAGAGAGCGACTCACCGCCCTCGACGGCCTTGACGCCGGCCCTGCGACGGACGCGACCGAGACACTGTCAGTGACTGATCGTCGACGTCTGACAGCGAGAGCAGGGACGCACCAGCGGTCCTTGACGAAGAGCTCGGCGCCGTACGGCACGCTCTTGAACGAGCTGCCGAGCGAGGCGGTCTGGACGGCCACTGCGGCGAGACGAAAAGGACGAGGGTCAGGCCGAGCTACGCTAGAGGGAGAGGGGGAAGAGACGTACTCGAGTCCCCAAAGACCGACGAGTTGTGCGCAAAGGGCGAGCCTGCATGGACGAGGAAACTGGGTTAGTCACGTCCTGTCCGGCTGCCGTGCTCGTCGCCCCGATTCGAAACGTCGAGTGAGAGTGAACGCACCACAACCAGTGCAGAAGATGCGCGTCACCTCGTTGCCCGAGGCGGCCTTGGACGTGTACTTCCCAATCTTGCCCGTGATCTCGACGTCCGACTCCTTGGCGAGGATGTTGCTCGAGTTGGACGTGCCGCTCGTCTGCTGGCAGTCGGTGCCTGTTCGCAAAGTGGAAAGGAAAGGGTCAGTCGGTGCCCAAAGGTCCTGCTCGGTCCGCGAGGAGCGGCGACCCGATCCTTCGAGACGGCGAGCGGCACGAGGACCGAGAGCCGCAAGTCGTGCGAGAGGTGTGGGCGGAAAAGGGACTCACAGTGGCACTTGATCTGCTCTGCGAATGGGGAAAGAGAGAGAGAGTCAGTGCCGCGGCGAGGAGGATCTCGAGGACGTGAAGGTCGCGAGCCGGCGGCATCGAGCAGGACTGGGCGCCGGTGCCTCGAGCCGCGCAGCCCGCACACAGGGCCACTCAGGAGTGCCCGGGCAGGGCTCGTAGGTCCCGCCCTCTGTCGCCATGCCGTCGGCCTGCGACCCGCTGTCCTGGCCCCCCGACCTCGCTCCCCGCCTGCACGAGGGCGCGCTGGCCGCCGTGCAGCATCTGCCCCTCCTTGAAGGACCGCTGCGGTGCACGTCTGGCCCGCCGAGAGCGTCTGGCCCTCGCCCTCTGCTCCTCCATCCCCACAGCTGATGACGCGGATCGAGACGAGGGAGGCGAGGGACGCACTGTCGGCCTTGGGTCCGTTGACGGTGATCTCACTCGCGCCGCAAAGGCAGGTACCGCTGTAGGTAGACATCTTGTGCTGGTTGAGGTGTGGGAGGAGGAGGAGGAGAGAGAGCGAGGCCGAGTGGGGAATCGGCGGCGACGATGCCACTCAAGGGCGAGTCCACCCGGGGCGGACTTATGAACGAAGCGGGGACAACCGAGCGTCCGTTTGTCAAGGGCGCACGAGTGCGCGGGCTTGCGAGCTCCTCGCTCGGACCTCGGGCGACGAAGCTCGGGTTGCGAAGGTCGGCTTCTCTCGAAGAGAGGCTCTCTTTGCTGCCATGCGTAGGCAGTCGGGCGAAGCCGACACGGCTTTGCAGATGTACGCGCCCGAAAGCGCGACAGGAAGAAGCTCGCCCGCGACAGACGTGAGCTCGCACGACGAGAGGCACAAGAGGCGGGAAAACGGCGAGCGTTGCACGACCGCATGCATTCTACGCAAGGACTGCACATGTAAGACCCGGATACTGACGATTTGAGGAGGGGAGAGAGACGAATGGATGAGGGGGATGTAGGACACTGTCCGTGGGAGGTGGGAGGAACGGGAGGAGGGCGCCTGGCTCTACGCCTGGTTCTCGTAACCCTTGGGGTTGTTGCTGCGGGAGGTGGATAGGTCAGTGCGAGGTCCTGGAGGGCGAGAGGAGGGGGGACGCACGACTGCCAGTTCCACTGGTCGCGGCACATGGCCTCGAGGTCGCGCTTGGCCTTGAACTCGAGCTCCTTCTCGGCGAGCGCAGGGTCGGCCGTCAACTCGGGAACGTCACCAGTGCTGCACGAGGGACGAGCGGGAAGCCGTCAGGATCCGTCGAGCGAGGAGAGGCGGTCGAAGCGGGAAGGAGGGGACGCACCGGCGACCGACAATCTCGGTCTTGTACTTGAAGCCCGACGCCTTCTGCATGGCGTCGACCATGTTGAGGACCGACATGCCCTTGCCCTTGCCGAGGTTGTACGCCTTGTACTTGCCGCCCGACGAGCCGAAGCCGGCCGCCTGGCCCTGCGCTGCGTAGATCTCGTCGCGAGGAAGGGCGGCGAGGGCGAGGACGTGGCCCTCGGCGAGGTCCATGACTGCGTGAAGGAGGAACGAGTCAATGACCGGACACTGCGAGTCGGCGGCGAGCGAGCGCTGCGAGAGGACGACGCACTGTGGATGTAGTCGCGGACGCAGGTGCCGTCAGGCGTGTCGTAGTCGTTGCCAAAGATCTTGAGGCCCTCGGGGAACTTGCCGACAGCCATCTGGGCGAGGAGCGGGAGGAGGTTGCCCGGGCGACCGCGCGGGTCCTCGCCAATCTGGCCCGACGGGTGCGCGCCGGCCGGGTTGAAGTAGCGGAGCGAGATGGCGCGCCACTTGTCCGGCGCCGAGTCGCACACGTCCTTGATGATGAGCTCGGACATGAACTTGGTGCGGCCGTAGCACGACTCGGGCTGGAGCGGCGACGACTCGGGGATGGGGCACTGGGGCGGCGCGCCGTACACGGTCGCCGACGACGAGTAGACGAGGTTGTACACCTTGTACTTGTCCATCACCTGTTGGCGGCGTAAGACAGTGTGCATCAGGTCGCTGTGCGCGTCGCTGCGAGACCGAGAGAGAGAGGGACGCACGTCGAGGAGGTTGATCGTCGCCGTGATGTTGTTCTCGTAGTACTTGATCGGGATCTCGCCCGACTCGCCAACGGCCTTGAGCGCAGCGACGTGGATGACGCCCCAGATGCCGCCCTTGCCCTCGTAGTCCTTGAAGATCTGGTCAATCTCGCTCTTGATCGAGATGTCGCCGCGGTAGCACTTGATCTCGAGCGCCTTCTTGTCCTCGTCCGACGCGCCGGCGGGGAGAGCATCCTGCGCGATCTTGGTCACGCGCTCGAGCGCGGTCGGGAACGAGTTGTGGAAGCTGCGGGCGGAGTCGGGACGCGTACCGAACGAGGTCAGCGAGCTCTGGCCTCTGCAGGTCTGCGCGCCCGCTCAGGATGTCCCACGCAGACGAGGAGGAGGACGGGGACGCACTTGTCGATGGTGACGACCGAGTACTTGCCAGAGAGCAGGCAGCACAAGGCGATGTGGGAGCCTGCGAACGCGGAACGGTCAGGACGCTCCTCGCGGGCATGCGAGGACAGAGACGAGGACGCACCGATGTAGCCGGCAGCGCCAGTGATGAGGACGGTCTTGCGAGGAGCTGCGAGCGAGAGAGAGCGAGCATGTGGGAGGGGGCGGGGGGAAGGAGAGGGAGGAGAGGGTCAGTACGTGCGAGGCGGCAACGCTGCTCGCGCCAGAGTGAGGGGAACACGCACAGGCCATGTCGTCCGTCTGATTCCGTGAGCTGTACCGGAGCAAGCGCGAGAGGGTGAGGAGGAAGAGCCAGACGCGTCCGGCCGGACCTCGTCCTCCTCCTCGCGGCGCGCATGTGCGACCTCAGCCTGCAGGCGCCGGTCGCGCTTGAAAGTCGCGCAGCATCTCTCGCGACCGACTCTGATAGCGAACCAGGAAATCTAAACACAGCTTGTTGGCAGTCGCTCCCCTCGCCTCCTCGCCGCCTCGCAGCTACAGCTCCTCCAGCGACTCTAGATCGCCTTGAGGTTTTCTGCCGTCGCCTCCCGCTCTGCGACCTCGAGCGCCTGCTTGACCGCGAGGTGACTCCTCGCCTGCTTGAGCCAGTCGGACGCGAGCGCCTTGGGCCATCCTGCGCGTGCGAGTCGACGGTCGTCAGTGGCTGCTCAACGGCGACGAGGGACAGGGAGGAGAGAGAGAGAGAGCGACGCACCAGAGAGCGAGTTGGCCTCACGCGCCGCCAAGTCGAGGTCCTTGTTGGCGAGCCAGAACTTGACGCGCGCGACGGTGCTGACGACGTCCTCGCCGTCGGCCCAACCCTCCTTCTCGAACAGGGCCAACGAGCCGACGACGCTCGTCATGTACGCGACGGGTCCGCCGTGCTCGGGCAGGAGCGACACCTTCTTGAGCTGCGGCGCGACCGACGACGTGAAGCGGGCGGCGAGGGCCGGGAACGACGAGACGCCGGTCGACGCGACCTCGGCCGGGATGGTCGACAGGGCGAGCGACAGGAGCGAGTCGGACGGCGACGGCTTGTCGTCCGACGACGACGAGGTCGGGACGGCGGCGAGGCGCTGCAGCGTCGCGAGCTCGGCGGCGAACGGCGCGCCCGACTCGACCTTGTGCTCGAGCGCCTTGACGGCCGTGAAGATCTTGCGCGCACGGACAGCCTCGCCGAGAGCCTGCGTGCGTAGAGCCATAGGGGCGCGTCAGTACGGTGACAGAGGGAAATCGCGAGAGAGTACGAGAAGGAGAGAAGGGGGACGCACATCCTCGTTCTCGCGAGCAACCTTCTCGAGCTTGCGGACGCCCGACTCGAGCTCCTCGAGCTTGGCGAGCCTGCCGCCGCGCTCCTGCTCGACGCGCGTCTTGACCTCGCTGACCCACCGGCGCTGGAGCTCGATGCCCTGCTGGATGACCTCCTCCTTGAGGCGCTGGTTGATGAGCTCCTGCTGGGTCGCCAGCTCGGTGTCGAGCTTGTCCTTGTACGCCTTGACGAGGCGCTCGCGCTCGTCGTCGAACGCGCGCTTCCAATCCTCCTCCTGCGTGTCGAGGCGCTCGACGAGGTCCTTCTCGGCCTTGACGAGCATGCCCGAGTACTTGGACGCTTGCTCCTTGAGCTGCGCCTGGAGCTTGTCCTCCTCCTGCTTCTTGATGCCCTCGATGCGCGCCGCGAGGCTCTCGATGTCCTTCTGCGCGCCGCTCAGGACCGTCGTCGCCGACGCCGACGCGACGCCGTCGTCGTGCTTCTCGACGTACTGCGCGAGGCTGTCGATCGTCGCCGCGAGCTGGCCGAGGACGGGCTCGGACACGGTGACGTCCTTGAGCGCCGGGGCGACGAGGGGAAGGGGAGGCGGAGGGGGCGACACGGGCTTGAGCTCGCCCTTGGGCGCCGGCGCCGCACGAGGGAGCTCGTACCCGGGCGCGGGCTCGAAGCCGATCGGGAGCGGCGGGCCCTGGTAGACCTCGTTCGAGGCGCGCTTGGGCGGGATGGGCGTCGCGTCGAGCTCGCGCGGGCGCTGGGCGTAGACGGGCAGGGTCGACGCGGGCTCGTCGACGACGCGCGGGGCCGAGGCCGGGGCGGCAGCCGACGCATCGTCGGACGCCGAGTGGACGGCGTGCGAGACGGCGGCGGGAGCGGCGTGGGCGACGTCCTTTGCGGCGTGGATGGCCTGCTTGGCCTTGTCCTCGACGACGCCCTCGGCCTTGACGGCGACCTGCTTGACCTCGCTCGCGCGCGCCTTAGCCGCCTCGACGATGTCGGTCACCTTGCCCTTGGCGGCGCCCTCAACCTTCTTGGCCTCGGCGGCAAGGCGCTCCTTGATCTCGAGGCGCGCCGTCTCCGGGTCGGTCGGCTCGGGCTTCTTGACCTTCCAGCCCTCGGCGCGGGCGCGCGACTCGGCCCAACGGGTGAGCTCGGTCTCCTTGCCCGGGCCCTTGGGGGAGCCCGGCGCCGAGGCATTGGGCGCGCCCTTTGCGCGCGAGACCTGGAGCTCGTCGAGGAGGTCGCCGAGCTGCTCGCCGCCGGGGACGGTCTCGACGAGGAAGTCGCGGTACCGGAGCGAGAAGTAGCCGAGGGGGACCGACACGCCGTAGAAGGCGACGGTGAGGAGGATGAGAGGCGACAGAATGCGGCGGGTGATCGACTTGCGGGCTTTGGGAGGAGGCGGCGGCGGGAGGGAGCTGGAGCCGCCAGGCGCCGGGAAGACGTTGCTTTTGGTCGGTGCGGTGGCGAACTGGAGGACGAGGGACGAGACGGGTCAGCGAGGCGACAGGGGGAGGAGGCGAGACGGGGTGGGGGAGACGAGGACGGACCCGACGAGTCGCGAGCTGCGAGGACCGAGTCGAGACAGTCGACGTGACCGAGTTGAGGCCCGAGGAGCGCACTCCTGCGCGTTGCGCGGCGAGAGCGCGAGTCGGCAGCGTTCGGGAGAGCACTGGGAGGAGGAGGACGGGGCGAGGGGTAGAGGCGCAGGTCAGTCGCTGACGCTTGTTCGACGGGTCTGGCGGCTCTGATGAAGGACTGCGAGGGACTCACTGGCTCGTCTGGGTGCCGGAAGGAGGCGGGTGATGAGGCGAAAGTCGTCGTCGTCGTCGACCTCCTCCTCGGCCGCTTCTTGCACTCGACCTCGTCACTCGCCGCACGCGCTGCCCGTCTAGCGACCGCGATGTTTGCGCGCAAAGCTCAAGCCGCACCACGCGACCTGTCGAGCTCCCCGGCCGTCCCTCCACCCCGTACATCTGCGTCGCTCCAGCTCGCTCGCCTCGCGCTTCCCTGGCTCGAGTGCCGATGGCTCGAGCTACTCGATGCGTAGCTCAGCCTTCTCGTCAAACTCGAACTCGAGCCGAAAAGGCGCGACTGTCTCCTGAACGACGCCGAGTCCGTCCGCGGACTTGCCGGTCCGCTCGTACTCGAGCGGCTACTCGCCTCTCGCTCTGCGTTCGCTTCTCGCTCTTCTCTCAAGATGCGCCCTGCCTCGCACGAGCTTCGACAAGACGCGCCAGCCGACCGCCCACCCTCGGCGCTCCAGTTCGAGGCCGCGGTCCGAGCCGCCGCCGGCCGAGTTCGCGCGGCACTGGCGAGGGTAGCGCCGGAGCACGACGAGGTGGCGCGCGACTCAAAGGGTCGCGTCGACTGGTGGGAGGGCGACCTGCTCGGCGAGGCCGTCGTGCGCGAGTACGCCGAGCTGCCACGTTCGTGGCAGAAGAAGCAGGTCCTCGACAACCTGAACGCGGCCGCCGAGCACATGGCACACACTGCACAGCTTGGTGTCGTTCAGCCGGTGCGTCTGCGTTTCTCTCTTTCTCCCCTACACGGGCACGCCCACTGACTCGAGCCTTGCGCCCGACCGCGTCTCCTCGCACAGCCCGCCCGCATCGACATCTTCCACACGCACTCGCTCGCGCACCCGCCTCTTTGGCTCGAACCTCTCGTCCCTGCCGCGTCGCTCCCCCGGCCGCCCCGCGTCCACGCCCTCAGGGGCTCGTCGCAGCCGCCGCGAGCCCCGCTCCCGCGGCCCCTCTCCGACGCGCTGCGCGTCCGCGGTCCCGACGAGCAGCGCGAGTACCTCGAGCAGCGCGAGCGCGATTCTGACGAGGAGGACCCGGGCGTCGGCGCGTCGCGGTCGGGCTCGCCCAGGCCGACGTACGAGCTTGGCGGTCGTCGACTCGACCGGCGCATCGGGCTCAGGACGGCGGCGCGGTACGGCATCGACCCGGCGGCGTTTGCGCGTGGGTACTAGCGCAGCAGAGGAGACGGCGAGGTCGGCGGGCAATGAGAAGGAGACGCGGTCGACGTCGTGCACGAGCCGCCAAGGGCGTTTTGCGACGGCGAGAGAGCGAGGCTCGACGAGCGTTGCCCGACTCGAGACGAGAGAGCTTGTGCGTGCTTGCGACTGAGCGAGAGCGAGAACGCGGCCGTCGCTCGCTCGAGCTTGCACACGTGCAACGACGAAGGCGAGAGACTCAGGGGAGGGAGAGCTTGGCTTGGGGCGCGGCGACAGAGTGCCTCCCTCTCGCTCCTCCTCACCGCCCGCCGCCTCGCTGGCTTCGAGTCGAGCGCCTGCGTGTCTGCCACCGCACCGCATGGCCGCCTACGCCACCACCGCGCCCGGCCTCGACGACCCGTCGCCCGTCGTCGAACGATCGCTCCCTCGGCATCACACGTCGTCACAGCCAGCCCACGGCGAAGCCCAGTTCTACTCGACCACGACTGCTCCCGTCAGGGACCGCGACCACGAGCGCGCCGCCCCAGCCGACCCGCGCTCGAGCAAGGGCTCGACCCCATCGTCGCCCGGATCGAGTGGCAGCGTCCTCGACCGGGGCAGGCCTCAAGCCCCGCACCAGTCGCGCCAGCAGCAGCAGCAGCGCCCGTCGAGCTTCTTTGGCGTCGAGGCCGAGGCGGGTCAGCACGACGCGCTCGCTCAGGGCGGAGCTCTCGGCGCTCCTCCCTTGGCGCCGGCGGTGCAAGGCGCGGCCGCCAGGGGCAGGGCTGTCGACGGCGGGCAAGGCGCACCTGTCGGGCCGACCAACAGCTCTTTCCGCGTCGACACGGCCATCCCCCGCGAGCAGCAGGGCGTCGACGGCCTCGCGACGGCAACCAACCCGCAGCCCTTGAGCCAAGCCGACGGTCACGCCGCTCGCCGCTCGTCCTTCTACGGCCTCGATGCCGCCCGACCGTCGCCTGTACCTGCCGGCGTCGTCGCCGCCAACGCGTCGCGCGAGGGCAGCTCGCCCGGGCGGGACACGCCCTCGACGACCTCGCACCACAACCCGTCGTCCGGCTCCGGGTCGGGCTCGTACTCGTCGGACGTGCACCCGCACCCGCGCATGCGCTACTCGAACGCGCCCTACGCGACCAGTCGCTCGGCGTCCCTGTACGGCGCCGGCTCGGGCGAGGGCGGCGAGGGTGGGTCGGTCCCGCCGCCGCCGGCCCAGCTCCTCGACCAGAGCCACCTCCGTGTCGGCAGCATGGCGTCGCTCCTGTCGCACGACAAGACGCTCGAGCTGTACCGCCAGAACGCCAAGAAGACGAACGACCCCGACATCCAGTACGAGTTCGCGACCTTCACGATGGACGTCGTCGCCGACCTCGAGCAGTCGACGCTCATGGCGCGCGCCGCTCGAGGCGAGGACGCGCCGCCGTTGCCGCAGGAGGCCGAGGCGCGCCAAAAGCAGCAGGCGCTCGTCGCCGAGAGCATCGCGCTCCTGAACCGCCTCGCGACCAGGGGCCACGTCCCGAGCTGCTACTTCCTCGCCGACTGCTACACCCAGGGCATCGGCACGAGCAAGGTGCGCCTCTCTTCTTCTCCTTCCTGCGTCTCTCTCGGCCCGAGCGCGTCCTGACTTTCGCTCTCGTGCAGGGCAAGCGCGACTACGACAAGGCGTTCCCGCTCTTCCACACGGCGGGCAAGCACGGTCATGCCGCCGGCTCGTTCCGCACGGCGCAGTGCCTCGAGCACGGCTGGGGCACGCGCAAGGACTGGAGCAAGGCCGTCTCGTTCTACCGGTGCGTCCCTCCCTCCTCCACGTCATCCTCCTGTCCGGCCCCTCGTCGACTCCCCCTGACGCTCCCCTCCTCCTCCTCCACCACAGCCGCGCAGCCGTCCTGTCGCACACGGGCGCCATGCACCGCCTCGGGCTCGCCGAGCTCAACGGCGAGCTCGGCCTCTCGAAGCGCGCCAAGGACGGCGTTCAGTGGCTCACGCGCGCCGCCGAGCTCGCCGACCAGGTCGACCCGCCGCAGCCGCAGAGCCTTCACGAGCTCGCTGTCCTTCATGAGCAAGGCATCGACAACGTCGTCTTCCAGGTGCGCCCTCTCTCTCTCTCTCTCCTTCTGTACCCGGTCGGGCCCGACCGAGCATGACTGACCTCCTCGGCGCCTCACCTGCAGGACGAGGACTACGCGGCCGAGCTTCTCGCACGTGCAGCCGAGTTGCAGTACGCGCCGTCGGCCTACAAGCTCGGCGAGTGCTACGAGTACGGCAAGATGGGCTGTCCGCAGGACGCCGCGCTCAGCATCCACTACTACAGCGCGTCCCCTCATTCCCTCTCTCTCTCGACCGCGATGGCGTGACTGACTCGCTCGCGACCTACAGACATCGCCGCTCAGCAGAACCACGCCGCCGCCTGCTTCGCCCTCACGGCCTGGTACCTCGTCGGCTCGCCCGGGATCCTGCCCCAGTCCGACACCGAGGCGTACCTGTGGGCCAAGAAGGCGGCCGAGCAGGGCCTCGCCAAAGCCGAGTACGCCGTCGGCTACTTCAGCGAGGTCGGCATCGGCACGTACCGCGACGAGCGCGACGCGCTCGAGTGGTTCCGCCGCGCGGCGTCGCACGGCGACAAGCGCGCCATGGACCGCCTGCGCCTCGCCGGCCAGCCTCTGCCGCCCGTCGTCGGCCCCGACGCCGCCTCGCAGCCGCAGCGCCGGCCGTCGCCGGTCCACGGCGGCGTCCACGGCGGCGCGAGGCCGGGCCTGCCGTCGACCGAGTCGCACATGAGCGGCCTGCACCTGCCCGCCAAGACGCGCCGCCTGTCGTCGTCGCGCATCCTGCTCCGCAAGGAGAACGCGTCGTCGTCGGGCGGCGCGGCCGGCAGCCTCGGCTCGAAGAAGAAGTCGGCGCTCAACCTGTCGGCGAGCGGCGGCGCGTTCGGCGGTGAGCTCCGCACCCGCACGACGAGCGCAGGTGCGCTCCCGGCGGCGGACCGCAAGGCCAAGGGCAAGGAGAAGGCCCTGCCCGACATGCCGTCGCTGCCGCCGCCGAACGGGCACCCGCACGGCCAGGGCATGCCGCCCATGACGCGTCAGCGCAGCTACTCGCAGCCCGAGGCCGTCATGCAGCCGATGCGCCCGCTCGACTACAACCTGCGCCCGCTGCCGGCCGGCGCCGGCGCGCCGCAGCCTCTCGCCGTCGGCGGCCCGGGCGCGCACTCGCCGCTCGCGCTCGGCGGCGCGACGAACGCGCTCCAGCCGCCCTACGTCGGCGAGTACGGCGGTCACGATGCCGGCGTCGGCGTCGGGAGCCCGGCCAGGCGCGCGCCGCCGTCGGCGGGCCAGGTGCGCATGCCGGCGCGTCAGGGTCCGACCGACTCGCCGCAGCTCGGCAGCGACGAGGTCGAGCGCAAGAAGCAGGAGCGTGACAAGGTGCTGCAGCGGAGGAAGAACGCCGGCGAGGACAAGGACTGCGTCGTCATGTGAGGGCGGATCGCGCGGCGTCGTCGTCGTCGACGAGGAGGGGAGAGTCAGACGGACACTGCATTCGCTTCTCGGGACAGACACTCTTCCGCCTTTCTCGCGCATCGCTGTATAGACGGAGCTCGCTGCATTACCACGTTCCTTGGTCCAGTCCCGACGAGCTTTGCGAGAGATGTCACCGCGTCGACCCGCGTCGTCGTCCGACTCACTCTCGCGCTCCTCGTCCACTCTCTCGCTCGCCTGCTGTACACTGGCTGGCACCAGAGCCACTCGCGAGCCGCACACCCGCCCATGTCGGCGTCGGCGGCACCGGGCGCCATCCCGTCCGTCCTCGCCCATCCTCCAACCTTCGCTCCCGCGCCCTCGCCCGCACCCACCGCCCCTCTGGGGCAAGTGCGCTGCTCGCAGTGCAAGAAGGACAAGCCGCTCGACGAGTACCCGCTGCGGCTCATCAACCTCAAGCCGTACCAGGTCTGCAACGCCCACGCGTGGTACTGGACCGCCGCCAAGCAGCACTCGCAGTGGGCACCAGCACGGTACACGGCGTTCCACCACGTGTGCGACGAGGTCCTCATGGGCGGGCCGAGCGCGCAGGGCAAGTGGCTCGTCGAGGGCGCGTTCGAGGATCGCTCGAGGTTCGTCGAGCAGGTCGCCGCAGCGGGCAACTGGACGGCCCAAGAACTGTGCGTCGTCCGTCTCTTCTGGAACCACAGGAGCGTCACGCTCATTCAAACACCCTCCCGGAACAGCATGACCCGCCCGACAAAGGCCAAGGGCGACGCCATTCCTTCGCCGACCTGGGTCTACTCGCTCTCGCCGGCGAGCACTTCGACTGCGCCTGCGCCAGAGCTCCTCAAGCTCCAGCTGTGGCACCACGCGGCGGCGAGTGCCTTCACGATCACGCTCAAGTCGGACGATGCGGCGCAAGAGCCGGGACCCTGGGCCAAGAAGGGTCGCGTCCGGCGTTCGGTGGCCCAGCAGGCGCCGAGCGTCCCGCGAGCGGCGCTCACGCTCCCGCAGCCACCATCGTCGTCCGCTTCGACGACGGCCTCGCCCGGTGCAGCTCTCGGCTCGACCGCCGCCACGCCGCCCGAGGACCGCAACCGCCAGCTCGCCACGTTCGCGGCTTTGGCCGACGCCGCCGGCGCCGCCGCCCGCGACCGCGACCGCGAGCAGATGCCGCCGCCGCCCGTCCCGTCTGCGCGACCGGCCAAGAGGGCGCGGCGTGTCGAGCCGCAGCTCGTCTCGCCGACACCGACCTCGCTCGGCTCGAGCGGGCTCATCACGCCGTTCTCGGCGGCGCACGCCGAGTGGTCGCACTTCCTGTCGTTCCCGACTCTCGTCCAGCAGCCCCAGAACGCGAGTGCGCCGCCAGCCCAGCAGCCGCAGCAAGCTCAGCAGCGCGACTTTCCCCTCGACCCTCTCCTCCTCTCGTCCCTCGTCCAGCCCTCGCCCTCGTCAACCTCCATCCGCCACGCTCCCGCCGCACCCTCGCCGGCGCACAACTCTCGCCCTTTGTCGCTTGCCGAGCTCCTTTCCTCGGCCATCTTCGAGCCCCCCATCATCGACCTCCCGCCTCGACCGCCACCGACGCACCATGTGCGCGCGCACTCGCATGCCCCGGCCCCACGTTCGGGCCGCGAGTTCGACGCCGCAGTCGCCGACGCGCTCGGAGCGACGCCCGACGCGCTCGACGGCGACGAATCGGGCGAGGGCGACTCGGACGACGAGGGTCGGGGCTACTACGAGGACTCGATCCCGGACGAGTCGTCGGCCGACGACGACGAGGAGGAGGAGGAGGGAGCCGAGGGAGCGGGCGACGGCGCAGACGGCGCGAGCGTGTCGAGCTTCTTCGAGTCGTCGGCCGAGGAGACCGACTACGGCTCGGACGACGAGAATGCGCTCAGCGACGACGAGGGCGAGGACAACTGGCTCGAGGGCTTTGCGGCGCAGCAGATGGGGCTCGGGCCGCGTCGAGGCGCCGAGCGTGGGCGGCAGGGCGCGTCCGAGGAGGACGAAGGCGACGACGAGCTGAGCGAGGGCGAGGGGCGCGTCGCGCAGCCTGCGCGGCCGACTCGTGCGTCGACGGCGGCGAGGAGGCGCGGTACACAGCAGGGTACGACGGCTGCCGGTGCGGCGGTGGACGAGGACGAGGTGGACGAGCTGGACAGTCCGTCGTCCGGCGGCGACGAGCGGTAGTTGGAGAGCGGGGGCGCAACTCTGTGTAGCTTTCGTTCCTCTGCCACGACCGACGATGTGCTTTGCCGTGCCTCTCGTGAGCGAACGAGGCGGTGCGCGAGCGAGGCGGTGCAGAACTCGAGGGGAGGGTCCGCAGCTCCGAGTTGCGTCCGGCCTCGCCCCCCTTCGCCGCCTCGCTCTCTGTCATCTCTGCCATTGTCGACATGGCGCCTTCAAGCGGGGCACAGCGACGACGGCACCAGCTGTACCTCGCCATCGCCGTCGTGTGCGTCCTGCACCTCGTGTGCTGGCGAGCCGCGACCCCACTTCGCTCGCTCGCCGCCTCGAGGCGACCGCAACACGCCGCCCACCTCGCACGCCGCCAGGCCGCCCTGAGCCCCAACGATCCACCAGCAGGCGACGACGGCGGCGCCCTCATCGACTGGCTCGCCCTGTGGGAGCAGGCCCGCCCCGGAGGACCGCGAGCCGCCCTGTTCGCCGTCATGGTCCTGTGGCTCACCTTCCTGTTCGCGTTCGTCGGCATCTGCGCCTCCGAGTTCTTCTGCCCCAACCTGAGCCACATCGCGAGCCGGCTCGGCCTGAGCGAGAGCGTCGTACGTCCTCCCCCTCCTCTCCTCCCCCCTTCCTCCGTGCCGGCGTCTCTCGCGCACAAGGACATTCGCGAACGGGAAAGCAGTCACTGACTCTCCTGATTCCTGTCATCGCTGCGCGCGACGCTCACAGGCCGGCGTCACCTTCCTCGCCTTCTCGAACGGCAGCCCCGACGTCTTCTCGACTTTCGCCGCCCTGCGCTCCGACTCGGGCAGCCTCGCCATCGGCGAGCTCATCGGCGCAGCAAGCTTCATCGTCTCGGTCGTCGCCGGCACCATGGCCCTCATCACGCCGTTCCGCGTCTCGAAGCGCACCTTCCTGCGCGACGTCGGCTTCTTCACCCTCGCCGTGTGCATCACGCTCGGCATCCTGTGGGACAGCCACATCCACCTGTGGGAGGCCCTCCTCATGGTCGCCCTCTACTTCGTCTACGTCCTCGTCGTCGCCGTCGGCACGTGGTGGGAGAGCCGCCAGGAGGACAAGCGCAGGAGGATGCGCGACGCGAGGAGCGAGTACGGCGACGACGACGTCGACGTGCTCGCAGGAGGTGACGTCGAGTGGGACGTTCCGCCAGGTGCGTCCTCTGGCCCTCTCGACGACTGCCAGACGGGCCCTGACAGCTCGTGCGCAGGCCGGTCCCGTCCGACATCCGGCGCCTCGACCCCTCGCTCGACCCATTCCCTCTCGAACGGCGCCGCGTCGCCCACCTACTCGTCCAACACCATCGTCTACCATCCTTCCGCCGCCACCCCGCCCGCATCTCCTTCCCTCGCCCGCTCTCGAGCCCATTCCGTCGCCTCGCTCACCTCGAGTCGACCTCCTCCGACCCCTCTTCTCGGCGCCCGCCGGCGGTCCCGCTCCGTCCGCCCTTCCCTCCTCGGCGCCATCGAGTTCCGCGACGTCGTCAACTCGCTCTCGTCGGACCGCTCGAGCGCCGCCAACGTGCTCGCCGTCTTTGGCGGCGCGCACCAGCACCACGCGCACTCGCACGACGCCCTCGAGGAGGTCGAGCACGAGCACGAGTACGCTCGCACCGAGTCGACGAGCCGGCTCGAGATGGGCCTCGGCTTTGGCGGCGGGCGGGAGGGGCAGGGCCGGCGCAGGGCTCTGAGCCAGCCGGGAAGGCCGGGCGCGCTCACGCTCGGCGAGGGCGACGACGTGCTCGCCGAGGGCGTCTTGCGCGAGGCCGAGGACCGCAGGCGAGGGCGGGTACCGCTCGGGAGCCGGCAGTCGAGCTGGACCGGGTCGGCTCGGAGCGACGGGTCGGACGCAGGGTCGGTGCACGCGCGACGAGCGCCGAACGGGCTCATCGACCTGTCGGACGGCGTCGACGACCCGTGGAAGGGCGCCCGCTCGCCCATGGTCGACCACGACGGCCGCGCCATCAAGCGCGTGCCGAGCATCCTCCTCACGACCGACAGCGGGTCCGACACGATCCTCGCCGACCCTCCCTCGCCCTCGCCCGCATCCATCGCCTCTCGACACCCTCCCCGCAAGGACCACTTCCTGCACGCCATCCGCTGCGCCCTCTTCCCCTCGCTCCAGTCGTTCCGCTCCAAGTCGATCGTCGGCAAGTGTACCGCCCTCCTCTGCGTCCCAGCCCTCCTCGTCCTCAACCTCACGCTCCCCGTCGTCGAGGAGCCGAGCGACGACACGACGGCGTCGTGGCACGAGGAGAAGTACGTCTCGACGCCCGGGTCGGGCGTCCAGGTCGAGAGCCGGCACGTCGACGCGCCCTCGTCTGACGAGGACGACGACGAGCACGTCGACGCCGACGTCTACGTCGACGAGCGCAACGCGTACGACCGCATCGGCCAGGCGCTGCACTCGCCCGCCGTCGCGCACCCGCCAGGGCGCACCGACTCGCCGGCGCACCGGCTCCAGCACGTGCGCGCCGCGGCGGCCGAGGCCGAGTCGCCGCACGGCGCGTGGGCCGAGGTCGCGACGCCGCCGCTCGGCGTGGTCGACCGCCCGGCGTCGCCGATGGACTACTTCCGCGTCGTCAACTCGAGCGAGGCGAGCCAGGTCGGGCGGGTCGGGTCGGACGAGGACGAGGGACGGGATCTCGTGCTCGGCGATGGAGGCGGCGAGGTGAGCGAGGAGGAGCGAGAATGGCGCGCGCAAGAGGCGGTCACAAGGTGCTTGACGGCGCTGCAGTGCGCGCTCGGACCCGTTTTCTGCGTCTCGGCCCTTCTCGGTGCGTCCCTGCTCCTCTTCTTCGACGATCTTTCCTCTGGACCATGCACTCACTCACCACGTTACACGCACGCCCGCAGCCGAGGACATGAGCTGGTGGCACCCCGTCGTCGCGCTCGCCGCCGGCGGCGTCTTCTCGCTCCTCGCCTTCCGGTACTTCGACAGCTCGCGGCATCCCGGCCGCATTATCCTGTGCTTCCTCGGCTTCCTCATCGCTATGGTCTGGATCCTCATGATCGTCAACGAGGTCGTCGGCGTCCTGCAGGTGCGTCGTTCGTCCTCCCTCGGCCCACCTTTCGACCTCGGCGCCTACTCGAAGATGAACCTGCCCTGACGCAGCTTGTCCTCTCTCGCAGACTCTCGGGCACATCTTCGGCATCTCGGACGCCATCCTCGGTCTCACCATCTTCGCCATGGGCAACTCGCTCGGCGACCTCGTCGCCAACGCCACCGTCGCTGTGCGTCCTCGTCTCGCCTTTCCTCCTCTTCTGTCGCCTTATTACTGACTCTTTTCGTCGCCCACAGCGCATGGGCTACCCGGCCATGGCCATCGCCGCCTGCTTCGGCGGGCCCATGCTCAACATTCTCCTCGGCGTCGGGCTCTCGGGCACCTACATGATCCTGTTCGACCCTTCTCATCGTGGCCAGCAGCTCTACATCGAGATGAACACGACGCTGCTCGTCTCGGGCGTCGGCCTGTTCGCCATCCTCGTCGGTACCCTCATCGTCGTGCCGCTCAACTCGTACCGCATGAGCAAGCGGGTCGGTGCGACCCTCATTTTGGCCTACCTCGTGCGTCTCTCCTCCTCGACCTCGTCTCTCTCTTTCCTCGAGGACGACGCACTGACCTGGAGGAGCCCTTCCTCTCGCACCCACAGGTCGTGTTGACTACGAACGTCTGCGTCGAGATCTTTTCGTAAAGTTCTCTCTGTCCGTCTTAGCGGTGCTGTCCCACTCTCCTCGCAATGTACCACACTCTCGCATCGGGCAACCTCGAGAGACGACGAGAGAGAGTGTCCATTGCGCCACCGACCGAGCGAGGGCGACGAAATGTCTCCGAGAGCGCGTGCACGGACCCGGTCTCGACAAGTCTAGGGATCGAGAGGAGAGTGCTCGGCCAAGGAAAGAGATGAGGTTTGCGAGGATGGCGAGAGGAGCGGCTATATGCTGGAGACGAAGGAGGGAGAGTATGAACGAGTGCGAGTGAGGAAGGGAGAGAGGAGGGAAAGTGGGAGGGGCTCGAGGCAGAGGACGGGAGATTACGACGAGAGGGGTATAGGGTACGTCGAAGGAGGCTCAGGCGAGGACGACCAAGGTGCCGAGAGCGACGAGGAGCGTCGCGAGCGTCGAGACGGGCGACAAGCTCGTGGCTGCGCTCGTGCCGTCCGACTTGGTCGCGGCGTTCGACGTCCCGGTCGTGGACGGCGAGCCCGATGCGGTCGAGCTCGAGCGCGCCGCAGAGCTCGACGACGACGACGACGACGACGACGACTGAGCAGCGGCGTCCTGGGTCGACGAGGCCGAGCCGCCCTCGCCTCGAGGGGTCGTGAGAAGGAGGTCGTAGGCGCGCTCGGCGATGCCGTAGACGGGAGCTGCGTGGATGCGACAGCCAGTCAATCGTTGTACAACGGCGAGACCGACAGAGAGGGAGAGAAAGAGAGAGGCGTACCGGTAGCGTGTGCCGAGAGCGAGATCGGGATGATGGACGCGTCGACGATGCGCAGGTTCGAGATGCCGTACACGCGCAGGCTCGTGTCGACGACGCCGCCGAACGACTCGGGCATCTGGGAGCAGCTCGACGCCGGGTGGTACTCGGTCGAGACGACCTTGCGGATCCAGGCCTCCCACTCCTCGTCGGTCGAGACGGCGTCGCCCGGCGAGAGCTCGTTGAGGACGTACTCGGAGAAGGGCGGCGTCTGCGACACGGTGCGCGCGTACTTGAACGCCTGGCGGAGGACCTGGACGTCGCCCGGGCTGCAGAAGAGAGAGAGAGGGTGCGGGAAGAAGGAGAGGGGGCGAGGACGAGGACGGCGAAGAATCGGTGAGCTCGACGCTCTCCTCTGCGACCCTGAAGAAGAAGAACGAGCAGACGCACTGCGTGAGGTAGCCGGCGTCGACCATGGGCTTGTCGAACGTGCTCGTCGAGTTGATCTTGACCGAGCCGCGCGACAGAGGGTGCTGGATAGCCGCCTGGATCTGGACCGTGACGGCGCCCGGGTAACCGCCGTAGCTGCCCGTGTTGGACAAAAGGATCTCGGCTTGTCCGACGGCAGAAGGGTAGACGTCGCGAAGCTCGGCAGAGTAGGTCGCGTCGTAGCCGGCCTGGACGGCCGAGTTGGTCGAGTACGCCTGGACCTGCGCCGTCTTGTTCGCCTCGAGCTCGTCCATGAACGTCTGGGCCGCGTCGTTGCCGAAGAGCGTCGTGAGGTTGATGTAGGCGACGGCGTCGTTCGGGCTCGTGTACAGCGAGTTGGCGTCGCCGGCCTTCCACAGGGCGAGCTGCTCGGCGGCGTACGTCGCGTTGGCCTCGACAGGGTCGCCCGAGAAGGGGAACGACGTGTTGAGCGTGATGGCGCCCGACAGGTGGTCGGCGAGGTGCATGCCGACACCGGGAAGGTCCTTGACGACCGTGATGCCGAGGCCCTCGAGCAGGTCCGACGGGCCGACGCCCGACACCTGGAGGAGCTGGGGCGAGCCGATGACGCCCGTCGAGAGGACGACCTCCTGCGACGCCGAGACGGTGAACGTCTCGTTGCCGGCGCCGGCCGAGAACTCGACGCCGGTCGCGGTCGTGCCGTCGAAAACGATCTTGGTGGCCTGGTGGCCCGTCAGAACGACGAGGTTGGTGCCGTAGTTGACCAGGTAGCCGTTGGCGCTGTAGCTGCGCGTCCAGTTTGACGGGTTGATGGCCGACGTCGCGATGAAGGCGCCAAAGTTCTCGCCGCCGGCGGGATCGCGCGTGTCGACGCCGAGCGCCGCGAACGTCGGGATCCACTCGTACGTCGAGTTGTAAAACAGGCCCGGGTACGAGTAGTGGACAGGGCCGTCCAGGCCGTGCAGGCTCTCGTCGAGGACCATCGACGCCTCCTGGATGTGGTAGTCGGACGGCGGCGTCCAGGTCCTGCGGCACAAGACGAGCGTCAGGACGGCTCGACACTGCGAGGAGGAGAAGAGAGAAATGTCGGCGACGCACTCGCTCTTCTTGAGATACGGAAAGAGCGTGTCCCAGGTCCAGACCGAGCTGTCGTTGTTGAGCGACGCCCACGAGTCCTGCTCGATCGAGCTGTGGCGGATCATGTACAGCTGCAGAGGCGAACGGCGAGGCAGGCGAGGTGTACGAGGGGAGTGGAGGACGAGCGAGTCAGTGCGGGTCCATAGAAAACGAAAGAGAGCAGAACGGGTGGACGCACCCCGTTGACCGCCGACGAGCCGCCGAGCATCTTGCCTCGTGGCCAGAAGACCTCGCGCCCGTCGAGGTTGGCCTGCGCCTCGGTCGAGTACTGCCAGTCGTAGGCCGAGTCGGCGTTGGCGATGCCGCCAAAGTAGGCCATGGCGGGCGCGAGCACCTCGTCCTCGACGGCGCTGCCGTCCGTGCCGGCCTCGATGACGGCGATCGACAGGGACGAGTTCTCGGACAGGCGAGAAGCAAGGGCGAGACCGGCCGTACCGCCACTGCGAGAGAAGAGGAGAGGGTCAGTCTCGCGTCGTGTGCGCCTCGTCCGCTCGGCTCGCCCGCTCGGCTCTCGCGAGGGGTCTTCGCAGCAGAGAGAGAGAGAGGTGGACGCACCCAACGATGACATAGTCGAACGTCTGGCCGGCGAGTTGGGCCGCGTCGGTCGTCGTCGCGCGTTTCCTCAGCCGCCAGTCACGGTCTGCACGGCGCTCCAGAGCAGTGCCGGCCACAGGTTGAGCGTTGTCGACGGCCGAAGCTTGTGCGCCGAGAGGACCGACTGCGACGGCGGCGGCCGCAGCGAGGACGCCGAGGAGGAGGTCGAGCGAGGCGACCATCGTGCGAGGAGGGTAGCCGGGTGCGACTGGCGGGTGGTCGAGAGGTGCTGGAAACGAGCGTCGACCGAGGGCGCGCAAACAAAGGCGAGTGCTGCGCGGTTGCGTGAAGGCGGCGGAAGGTCGAGGGGAGGAAGAGGGCTCGGCACGCTCGGCGGACGCGGCTGGTCCGTGTGGAGGGTGGTCGAACGAGGGGCGGTGCGGGTCGAGCGGCGGCTGCTTCGACTGGGCGTGTAGCGGATGCGAGAGCGCAGCACAGCAGGCGGGCGTGACAGCGACGACGGCTCGGTGTTCTCCTCGCCACTGCGAAGAGGACGGAGCGCACAAAACTCGCCGCAGCTCCCCCGAATCTCCATGTTTCATCTCTGCAGACGCGTCGGCGCGCGGAGACAACATGCAGATCAAGAGGTCTGTGCGGAGCCCTCGTCCCTTTCTTGGTGCGACGCTTGTGGCTCGCACTCAGCTTCTTTGCCGAGAGCGGCACCGACGTCGAGCGCGATTACTATGTAGCGAGTTCGGTAATGCCAATTGCAAGCCGGCTCTCGCCCGTGAATACAAACCGCCGTCGCTGCTCTGCTCCCTTCTCCTCCCTGTGTTCCTCGCCCGGTGCCGACCGCGCTCAGTCCACCACGAGCAGCGTGTGCTCTTCTGCGCACGCGCGGCACACTTGCGAGCTCTCGGCTGCTTTGCCCCGATCGTGCCGCGGATGACACATCGTCGTCGGCGACCGACCGCTGTGAACGGGCCGACGGGTGGTCGCACGCCTTGCGCTGCTTAGCACAGCACCTCTGCCTCTTCCTGGCCTGTGCGACGCTCCGCACTTGCTCTCTCGCCCGCACCCTCTTGCCTCGCCGTCGCTCCATCCGCGCCGCCCACCTTGTCGACCCACCTCGCCCGATCATGTCGTCCACCACCACCACGTCGGCCACGAGCGTCGACTTGCTCGCCCAGGCCGCCACCGAGTCGATCAAGGCCCCGCTGTACTATTTCGACGGCCACACGACCGACCGTGCGTCCCACTCTCCCTCTCGCCGCCGACCGACCTCAGGGCGCGCCCGCTCGCTGACCCTCCTCCTCCTCGCCCGCGCAGACAAGCAGCCGTACCAGCTCCAGTACCCTTCCCCTGGGCCGCACCTCCCCTTCACCAACGCTGTCGTGGCGACCTACCCGACCGAGATCTTCGACATCCGCCCGCTCGTCGGCACCGACCAAGCCGCGCAGATCTCTATCGAGACGACCGGCTTCGGGCTCGTGCCGGCAGAGAGCGCCAAGACGGCGATGCGCTACGACGACTGGACCGACGAGGCCAAGATCAAGAGCGTCTACTACAAGGAGGTCGAGGAGTGCGTCCTCGTCTCGCCGCCCTCTTTCGTCGGCGCGTCCTGACCTTGCGCCCTGTCCCTCAGCCTGTTCAAGAAGCAGTACGGCGCCTCGAGGGTCATCATCTTCGACCACACGATCCGCCGAGGCGAGAAGCCCGGCGAGGAGACGCCCGACACGCCGACGAGTCGCAAACCGATTCCTCGAGGTGCGTCCGGCTCCTCCTCGGCGCTCCCTGTTCGAATTTGCGCTCACTCTTTGCTTCCCTCGCAGTGCATGTCGATCAGACCCCCGAGTCGGGCAGGCGTCGGGTACTGCGTCACGGCGGCGAGGATGGCGAGAAGCTCCTTCGAGGTCCGTCTCGCTCTCCTCTCTCTCTCTCTCTTCGGTCGGCTAGACCGTGCCGACCGCTCCTTCCTGTCACCTCGGCCGGGCGATCCTTACTGACGGATCTCTCCTTCCCCCTCTGCGACAGGCCGCGCTCAGCTCATCAACACGTGGAAGCCGCTGCGCGGGCCCGTGCGCGACATGCCGCTCGCATTTGCCGACGCGCGCACGCTCGACACGGACAAGGACCTCGTGCGCGCTCGCCTCCTGTACCCGACCGAGGGCGAGTACGCGCAACCCGAGGGCGAGACGCTCACCGTCAAGCACAGCCCGAACCACAAGTGGTACTACCTGAGCGAGATGCGCCCTGACGAGGGTGCGTCCGCCTCCTTCTCTCTCTCCCTCTCTCTCGAGCTGGGTGGCGAGCAGTAACTGACATCTGGGCCTTTGCAGTTCTCCTCCTCAAATGCTGGGAGAGCCTGCCCGACGGCAAGATCGGCACGATAACCCCGCACACCGCCTTCCACGACCCGCGCTTCTTCGGCAAGGAGGGCGTCGAGCTGCGCGAGAGCATCGAGGTGCGCGCGCTCGTCTTCCACGAGGTCGACGAGTAGACGCACGATCCCTCCCCTCTCTTGTCCTTCTTCTCGCCGCGTCGCCTCCATGTCAATAGCCTGTCGTGGAACGTTTTTCGCCGCGTCGTTCGCTCTCGTCGAGCAGCTCTCGAGAGATATTTGGGCATCGTGCGAGGACTCTGCGCGACCCGGGCTTCCGAGAGATGCTCGAGAATCTCGCGAAGACTCTCCATGACCGGGCTCGCTCGGAGAAAGACTCGCATTGCGCAAGAGAGAGAGAGAAGGTACGAGTACGTAGAGGTCGGGCAGGAGCTAGACAGCCGCCGGGGCGTGTCGGTAAAAGTACGGCGGAAAAGTCGAGGGAAAGGTCGGGAGATGCGGGCTCAGTCGGTGCGGGCCTTGCTCTTTTTCGGCCCATCTGCGCGCTCGCCGACAGGTCAGCTTGAACCTGGCGGTACCGAGGGCGAGGGAAACTGGCCACGCACACTTCTTCTCGTGCTCGTCGCGGTTCTTGTCGTGCGTCGAGCCCGCCAAGTTGGACACCTTGCCGAGCGCCCAGGGCACGTTGAACGACGACGCCTTCCAGCCTTGCATGATGCCCCTGAGATGAAAGAACTGGTCAGCTTTGCGTGCCGGGCGCGCTGTCGGCGACGCAAGGGGAGGGAAGTGGGGGCGGCGGGAGACGCACCGCTGGATGCGGTCCTCGGTCTCTTCTTGCGTCAGCGCGCGCTTGTTGGTCTTGACGGATGCACTGTGGAGGTGTGGACGGTCAGCTCACGACCTGTTTCGGGGGGCGAGGGAAGGGAGAGGGGGCGCACCCGGACGAGGAGACGGCGACGCCCTTCTTCTCCATGGCCGCCTTTGCCGAGCTGTGCGCGGGTCCGGGTGAGCGACGTCCGATTCTCGAGAGGGGGCGCAGAGAGCTGGACGCACTTGATCGAGTCGTTGATGGCTGCGAGCGCGAGCTTCGCGCCGTAGCCGAGGAGCGCGAGGACGAAGAGGGTGATGACGAGCTTGAGCCACGGCTTTGGCGGGTCTTGAGCTGGGAGAGTGCTGTGCTTGTCCATCGTCGGCAGAGGCTCTGGGCGGGTAGATAGGCAAGGAGGACGAGAGAGAGGAACGAGGCGATGCACCTCGGGACGACGACAGCTGCCGGCGCACTCGACCTCGAGAGGCTCTTTCGGCTGCTCGACGCTCTGCAAAGCTCAACTCTCTGCCTGCTGGGACCAGTCGTGCACCCACATGCGCCGAGGTGGACGGAGCCGAGGCATTCTCGTCGGGTTCGCGGCGGCTCTCGCACTTGCTCGCCTCGCAGCTCTCGTGAGTGCGCAAGAAGACAGGCGACGCGAGGTACAGGATTGCAGGGACAGGCTAGAGAGGTCAGCGTACACGAGAGAGGCCTGCCCCGCTCCTCGCTCCGCCGCTCCGCCTCGAACGACGACCTCGGCCCTCCCGCGTGCCCCGTCCTTCTGACAGAACCGCCTCCCTCGCCCGAGGGCATGTCACGACCTACCGTCCCGTCCCACCCACCGTGACCTGCCGCCCGTCCCCGTAGAGAGCGAGCAGCGCCGGCGAGAGCGAGGAAAAGGGCGCTGAGATGGCCAGCGGCGAAACGCCGAGTCTGCGCGCGCACTTCGGCTCCCTGTGCGGTTGGGGCTGAGCTGCAGCTATGCAACCCGGCGCAGAGGGGAATTTGACATGGCGGCGGTGAAGGAGAAGAAGAGAGCCGCGCGCGAGCGCGAGGCGCGAGCAGAGCGCGCGCTCACACCACTCGGGAAATCGGATTCTGCTTCGAGAGGGACTACGAGATCTTCTCGGTTGCGTTACAGGTACGCTTGTGGCACTCGAGAGCGAGCCGGACGAGAGAGATCAGGCGAAACCAGCTCGGACTTCGAGCTCGACGGCGGACCGTCGCTCCTCTCGACCAACTCTCCAGCCAGCTCATCGCCCGCCAGAGCATCATGGTGCGTCCCAGTCCGCTCAAACTCTCCAGCCATGCCCCGCTGACCCGCCCCCCGTCGCCTTCTCGCAGGGCCGCCGTCAAGCCTCGAAGCAGTCGGACCCCGCCCCGCTCTCCGGAGCCAAGGCCCACCCGGGCGCACCAGAGCGCAAGGGCAAGCGCAAGCTCGCTCTCGAGGCCAAGCCCGCATCCGCACCGAGTCCGCGCGCCACCAAGAAGATCAAGAAGGCCGCCGACGGCGGCGACAAGAAGGCGGCCGCCGCGGGCGCCAACCGCAAGGGCAAAGGGCGCGCGAGTGCGGGCGGCGCGTCGGGCGCGACCAAGAACGGCAAGGGCGTCGACTGGGAGACGGACGACGAGGACGACGAGGACCTCGACAACCTCAAGGCGCAGGACGGCTTCAGCGACGACGACGACGCGATGAGCGACTCGGAGAAGCGTGGCCTCGAGCAGGCTCGTTCGTACGTCCCCTTCTCTCTGTGTGCGTGATGACCGGCTCCCGAGCAGACCCCTGACCCGCTCGCCTCGCCTACAGCGCCCTCTTCGACGACGTCGACCTGCAAGAGCCGACCGCCGGCGACGACTCGCTCGACCTGGACGAGTTCGACGTCGACCGCGAGGACGATGACGAGGACGAGGACGAGGACGAGATGGACGACGAGTTCGATGTCGAGGACGACGAGGTCGCGGGTGTCAACGGGGAGGAACAGTGCGTCTCGGCTCGCTCGCCCGATCCCGTTCCGCGCGCATTCTCTCACACTTCTTCGTCTACAGGGGCGACGCTCTTCCTCGGTTGTCCGCCAAGCGCGCAGCACGCGCCGCCGCCTACAACTCGGACGACGACGACGAGGACGACGATGAGCCCCTGCCGGCCGGCCTCGACATGCGCCGTCCCGAGCCCGAGTCGATCGAGGGCCAGGTCGACGCGACCCGCGAGGAGCTCGAGATGGGCGGCAGCGAGGACGAGGACGACGAGGACGACGAGGAGGCGCTGCAGAGCGGCAACCTCGAGGACTTGCGGCAGGTCGAGAAGCGCATGCGTACGGCGGCGAGGGTTCTGTCGCACTGGAAGGAGCTCGGCCCCGCAACTGGCAGGTGCGTCATCACCGTCCGCCCTCGTCCCTCTGCCTGTCGCCCTCACTGACACGCCCCGTCCATCCGCCGCAGGTCCCGTTCCGACCTCGTCGAGCAGCTCATCGCAGACATCTGCCAGTACCACGGCTACACGCCGTTCCTCGCCGAGAAGCTCTTTGAGATCTTCGGCGTCGAGGAGGTGGTATTTGCTCGAAGCTAGACCAGTCGCGGCCGTAAC